TAGTCAAACCATTTAAGAACAGTTTGACAATTTATCTGGGGTCTGCTGGGATATGGAGCAGTGGTGCAATGTGTGAGGGGTGCAGTGTGTGTGAAAGGTTCAGTGTATGCGTGTGGGGGGGTGTAGTGTGTGAATGTGTGGGGGGGCAATGTGTGTATGGGGGCAGTGTGTGAATATGTATGGTGTGTGTGCTGCACGGTGCCTGTGGAACGGGGAGGGAGATCGGCTGGCAAGGGAGAGCCCTGTGGGGGGGGGGGAATTGCCCTGTTGCCTCCCCCTCACTGCTCCTCTGTGTCCATGTCTCCCCTCTCCTTTCCAGTCTCTCTATTCTCCCTCTGCCTCTTTCTCCTCCTCCCCTTGTGTGTGTCTCTCCTTTCCCCCTCTGCCTCTTTCTCCTCCTCCCCTTGTGTGTGTCTCTCTCCTTTCCCCCTCTGCCTCTTTCTCCCCCTCCCCTTGTGCGTCTCCTTTCCCCCGCTGCCTCTTTCTCCCCCTCCCCTTGTGCGTCTCTCTCCTTTCTCCCTCTGTCTCTTTCTCCCCCTCCCCTTGTGTGTCTACCTGAGAGGAGTCGGGGGCCGGCCGCATTCCACGCTGGAGCCGCCGGGCTGAGTGGCAGCCTCACCGGTCCGGCGGCACTCCTGTCACTGATGGCTGAGGAGTGAAGAGGGAGGAGCATGTCTCTGTACCATGCTCCCTCACGGTTCCCACAATCCCCAACACAGGAACCGCGAGGGAGCATGGTACAGAAACATGCTCCTCCTCCTTCACTCCTCAGCGATCAGTGACAGGAGTGCCGCCGGACCGGTGAGGCTGCCACCCGACCCGGCGGCTCCAGCGTGGAATGTGGCCACCAGCCCACCGGCCCCCTCAGAGTGTGTGCCACCTGACCGGCCACCTGATGGCACATACATGCGCAGCGCAGCCCCCAGATGCTGCGGCCCACCGGGAAATTTCCCGGTATCCCGGTGGGCCAGTCCGGCCCTGGACATAGTGCATGAACTTACCTGTGGTAAGGACTGTATCGGTTCAGTGGTGCGTATGGTGGTGTGCCCAAAAGCGTAACCAGTACCTTAACCGGACACCCAGCATTGCTTGTAAGGTAGTAGGTTATATGCACTGGCTCGCCCATCTGACTCGTCTTAGTTTTAGGAAGGGACCGGACATAGTGGTCTGTGTGTTTTAGAAGATAAGAGGTCAACAGGCACTCTTGTTTATGATGTTGGTAGATAGTTATTTTTTGGCTTGAGAAAGCCGTTAAAGGCTAGATAGATAGCAGTTTTGATAACTGCATTTGTGCATGGCTTGGAAGGTGCATGGTCGAGTGGTTCTAACATGGTTTGAACATTGTATGTCTATGGCCAGTATTTAGTTTTAGCGGGAACGTCCGCTTGGCTATGTCTCTAAGTAAGGTATGGATGGGTTAGGAGGATAGGAACCCCTGTTGTTTGGGAAGGAGAAATACGTATAGTGTTGAATGCCTGTGAGATAAGATTAATTGTGTTGTGCGAGAATCTTTAACTTAAGGTGGCAAACAGAGGCGAAGGCCATAAGTGGTGAAACCTCAAACCAGCTAAGTGATATTCCGACATGAAACGTATTCTATAAGTGGAAAACCCTGTAGCAGGCATGTTGAGTGCTGGTGAACAAGGCCAGTTTTGTCACATCCCGGCTATGTTGGCGAGGTTCATGTAATCCATGACCTTGACCATAAATGACCCCCCTGCCATGGCGGCTGCCACGGCAGCTGCCACAATAGTTTACCATTACGTGTGGTTAAGAAAGTCCACCATATGTGTAGGTCTGCTGTGGCTTGGTTGTCTAGGGACAGCCCCTGATCATCACGCGGGAGTGTGGAAAAAGCAGAGTGGTCTTAGATGAAAGCGCGGCCTGCGGTATGATGCGCATGGCAAAATTTAAGGAACTTGGTAGGAATTGTAGTTCCATGCGGTTGCAATTACCAAGCAGGAGGTGGTAATTGGTGTTGTTGCGACTGTTACTATTTCTCACGTGGTGACTTGTTGGCATGGATGCAGAGTCAAGTTGTGTGCCCAGGAATGTAACGATAGTGTCTGGGTCTTCTGTGACCTTAGGGAATACTGGGACACCCAAGTGCTCAGACATACTAATGGCTTCCTTGAAGCTTCTAGAGGGAAAGGCGTTTCCTTTGACCAACAAGAAATCATCTTGTGAGTGTATGACTGTGTGGCATCTGGATATGTTTAACCACACCCAGCAACGAATATATTGAAGATTGTGGGCTGCTCTTGACCCGGAAGTTAAGCGGGAAATATATAACTGCTGCCCATAAATGCCCTGTAAGTGCCAGTGTAGGGTGGATGGTGGCAGTCTTAAATGCATTTGTGATATCAGTTTTACTTAACCAGGCTTCCCCCCGCTTGAGTGATAGCTGTAATGGTATGAACAATGGTGGCATACTGTAATGAAAACTCCTCGGAGGGTATGAGTGAGTAGAGACTTGGGGTAGCCGAGGCGTAAGGTGCAGATAAGTCTATGATCAGTTACAGTGTGAGGGAAGATTCCCTGTGACAATCCCAATGGGATTGCCCCACGCTGTAAATGGTGTAGATCGGAGAGATCCAGGTAGAAATCTTTCTGCCATTTCTTTGGCTATGAGTGTAATGCCAGCTGTTGGATGCTGCTGTGATGACTGCAAGTTAGGGCATTCTAGATTCCCCCAGAAGTATATGGCAATACCTGTACGGAAGGCCTTTAAAATTCGTAGATTAGGAAATCAACTATATGTCTGGAAGGGTGATGAGTTAGAAAGTACTGGAAATGCATAATGTTTACAGACATGAAGTAAGGTTCAGGGTACATTTATCGGGACACATGGTTTGCATGTGCCCTGACATATTGAGAACATATCTGCAACAGTCTGCATGCACTGAAATTACATATGCCAAAATGGAAATTGTTGCAAATCTGGGATTTGCCAAAGAGCATGAGATGACCTAATTTGTCTCTGGTAGTTCTCTACGTACTAACAGAGGTGCTAGAGCCTGGAGCCTGAAACGTGATCGTCCGCTGTGTTGGAACAAAATTGTCATGTGGGACTTGCAACATTTTCTCCAAGTGAAAGTGTGTTGACTCTAGCTGGAGTGTTAGGTAGAGAGAAATCCTTACCACCTGCTTGATACATACTAAAAACATGAAGATAGCCATTATTATATGAACCCACAGTGTGCTAGTACTGGCTTACTAGCTAAAGCCGCATGGCGAAACAATTAATCCTTTGTTTGGTGACAGGTAAGACCCTGCTAATTGCCAAGTGGCTTGAGAGGCTCTCTCAATGCAATGGCGCGAGGGGATTTTTGTGGCCACCAAACGTAGTGGCAGGATGTTGGCCTCTTGGTGACTGTAACCAGAAAAAAGGGGAAGGGAGTGACAGGTGAGGCCCTCTCTATATACCATGCAAGGCGGCTATCTCACGAGTGGCCCGATGGGTATTTGCCTCCGAGCGTTGAGGCGGGTTATTGGCCTCGCGGGACCACTATACGACAAGCGTAGATGCCAAGAAAGGAGAATACCTATTGGAAACCTATAGTCCCTAATTGCCAGTACTCTAAGGACATACCCAGGGGGAAACAGAAAATGTATGTATATACCACATGAGCAGGTGTATGTATAGAGCAAAGTGCTCCGTCCCAATGTTTATTGTATGCTTGTAATACCCCTGTTTGAAGGAAATTAACTTGTCCGGGAGTGTTCTATCATGTGTGATAAGGTATACTACTGTACCCCGAAATATGAGTGTAGTGAACCATGACCGGCAGCTGAATAACCTAATATGTGAAAATACGTAATTGGAAGTGTTAATGTTATCACTGGTGGCATCATTGGAGATTAGTGGATTGATGATCAATCCACTAACCTCCAATGATACGTAATTGGAAGGACTTATATTTTAAGTGTGCAAATATGCAAATATTCCGTATTAGACTCTGGAATCCTGCACAGTGCTTTAAGTAGTATGTGCATTCTTGGGTAAATGTATGCGTATTGTCAGTAAATGTAACTAAATGCCTATGTAGGCAGGTATGCAGGAATGATTATATCATAACAAGCATGAGTTGTAAGGAAGTGTGTAATTATAGTGGGAATGTTATGAGGGGAATAACCATATGTCTGAAAAGCCTGTAGTATACCATTTGACAGATAGGAGTCAGTATAAAAGCGAAAATGCTGTAGTTAGTTTGTTTGCTTTTGAAGTGAAATAAAGTCTGAGAAGCCTGTAGTATACCGATTTGACCGGTAGGGGTCAGCATGTAGGCGAAAATGCCGTGGTTCGTTGGTTTGTACATGAAATGCAATAATGTCTGAGAAGCCTGTAGTACACCGAATGACCGATAGGGATCAATGTGTAGGTGAAAATGCAGTGGTTTATTGGTTTGTACATGAAATGCAAAAAACATCTAAGAAGCCTGTAGTACACCGAATGACCGATAGGGGTCAGTGTGTAGGTGAAAAATGCAGTTGTTCGTTGGTTTGTACATGAAATGCAATAATGTCTGAGATGCCTGTAGTACACCGAATGACCGGTAGGGGTCAGTGTCTGGGTGAAAATGCAGTGGTTCGTTGGTTTGTACATGAAATGCAATAATGTTTGAGAAGCCTGTAGTACACTGAATGACGGTAGGGGTCAGTGTGTAGGTGAAAATGCAGTGGTTTATTGGTTTGTACATGAAATGCAATAATGTCTGAGAAGCCTGTAGTACACCGAATGACCGGTAGGGGTCAGTGTGTAGGCGCAAATGCAGTGGTTCGTTGATTTGTACATGAAATGTGATAATGTCTAAGAAGCCTGTAGTACACTAAAAGACCGGTAGTGGTCAGTGTGTAGGCGAAAATGCAGTGGTTCGTTGGTTTGTACATGAAATGCGATAATGTCTAAGAAGCCTGTAGTACACCAAAAGACAGATATGGGTCAGTGTGTAGGCGAAAAAAATTGTATTTCGTTTGTAGTTTTAACCCAACAGATTTTAACCAAAACAGATTTTAACCAAAACAGATTTTAACCAAAACAGATTTTAACCAAAACAGATTTTACATGAACAGCTAAGTGAGTATAAGGTAACGAAATAACCGTGCAAAACTAAAGGAAACCGTAAAGTGAGGACCTGTGCTGTGCTGAACGCCATGGGAACTAATCCTGGCGCGACAGGTGGTTCAACTTACGGTTTGAGAGTCCCTGAGACACCAAATACGATGCTGACCGGAGAGAGAGCCACTGGATTAATGGAAAGCCCTGCTGCAGGATTCCTGGACACTGCTTGGAGTAGGAGACCTCATGGAGCAAATGTGAAACCAAAATGGTGTCTTATATGACCTGGAAGTGGATCTCATGCAAATGCTGACCTTGAACAGTCTATTCGTCTGACCAACAAAGGTAAGTAGGGAAAGGGGGGAGTCCCTTTTATAGGTCTATAGCCCCTCCCACAACTTCAGGCCATGCCTTCCAATATATATATATATATATATATATATATATATATATATATATATATATATATATATATATATATATATATACATATCTCCCAAATTGTTCTTTGGTACGCTCCACCCAGGGGAGTGTCCCTGGTTAACCTGGAGTCTAGATTAATGGGAGCAGACTTGCCCCAATTTTTTATATGGTTTGACAAGCCTCAAAGTGCTGTCATCAAGCCATCTTGCATTCTTTTTTTTTTTTTTTTTTTTTGAGGTGCGTTGAAATTCACGTTGGTAACATGTGACAGGGTTACAGTATAGGTAGGTAAAGTATTAGCAAGAAATATTTGTCATATGTAACGCACCATTTTTGATAGTATATAACATGGTTAAACATTGGACAGAACAGAGGTTTTACATGACGTGTATCTCTTTGTATAGTTTGTAGACCTGATCTGTCCTATGTGTGTCGACTTATACATGTCTCTCTAGTGACAGGTTAAGTTCCTAGTGTGGCCAGTTGTTAGTCGACATGTTATTGTGATGTGGTCGTGAGTCCGTAGAGCTTATGGGCGAGATGTACAGGTGCCTCGTGTTGTGTGTCTGAGTGTGGTTCATGGGTGACAGTTGTGCCAAAGCTTGTTCCGAGGCCGCTTTGTGAGTAGGCCCCTGACATCTGGGGTGGGTGCCCCTAACCAAGGGGGCCGCGGGGGTGGGAGTGTTGGGCTGGAGGACGCCAGCTGGTTGCAGTAGAAGTGTGAGTAGCTGCGCTAGCTTATTGTGGTGTTGGTGTCGTGTCTATCACTAAGCGCTGTGGATAAGGTGAGTGTGTAATAATATAACTGTTAACATAAACTTTAAGAGCGACAAAGCATAACCAAATTATATAAGAAGTATAACGAGATAGAAAAATGCAAATATCTTTTGCCCGTTTAGCCTAAAAAAGGTAAATTAAGTTAAACTCCCACCCTACCAGAACATAATGCTTTCCTCAGCTGTTCCCACTTCCTATAACCTGCTATCCAGTACCAACACTTTACTTAGTCTACCTCAATACAAAAAGAAAGCAGCCCGATCCTCCTCCTCCTACAGAGCACCGCAATTGTAGAACGACCTACCGCACAATTTAAAATCTTCCCTAAGCCTAAAGTTCTTTTAGAGATCCCTCTCTACTTACCTCAAAACAGAATGCACCTGTCATGGTTGATTATATATTTCCTGCCTGTTCTATGTTAAATTTTGTATTTATTGTGTATTAATATTGTTTTTGTATTTTATTGTACCCTACTTGTAACAATGCAATGATTTGTGGACCCAGGACATACTTGAAAACGAGAGAAATCTCAAATCTATCCTGGTAAAATATTTTATAAATAAATAAATGCGGAGATCACCCCAGAGGTTAGCGAGTTCTTAGTTCGCCAGTTCCTGACGACTCTTTTGTTGATCCATCTTTCAGGCTGCAGTGTGTCTCTGTCCCGAGAGTCATGGGGCCGCATTCTGCAGTCTGGATTCCCTTGGGACGAAGGGGACCACCGTGGCTGGGTCCCAAAGTCCTGTTGTTGCAGTTCCAGTTGTCTCAGGGTTTGGAGTAGAGATCTCCAGGTTACGAAGGAATGTTGGTGCCTCACTCATTGTTGTTAGTGTATGAGTAGTCCCATCTCGGGTGAGTATGATTGTACAGTTTGCAACCCACTTGTAGGCCAGGTTTGCTGCTCAGAGTTGTGCAGTGACCGTGCCAAAAGCTTTGCGTTGCAAAAGTGTTGCCTTTGTGAGGTCATGGTAGAATGTGAGAGAGGTGTTTTCAAACATTAGTGGTGTTTTACCTCTTAGGGCCGACATGATTTGGATTAGGATCACATCCCGGGGCTGAGTAGGTTTGACCGGGGTGGTGCTGGCGAGACGATAGACTCCATCTATGGTGATTTTTTTTTTTTTTGCCGCTGTGTGAGGCAGGATTGTAAGTAAGAGTCTGCGGATATAATGTGGGAGTTCCCCTGCCGTGATTGTAGCTGGGATTCCCCTTATTTTAATATGGGTGCGTCTTTGGCTTCCCCGCTGCTAATTTGTGTGTGAGGGTTTGCTGAGTGGTTTGCATTTGGATTATTGATTCATCAAGTTTAGCTAGTTGGCTCTGCACTGCCATCACGTCTTTCTCTGTGGCTCTCACCTTTTCTGTGACCGCGTGTACCTCCGTTTTTAAGAGGGTGGAATCGGCGGCCAGCAGTTTGTGGATGTCTGCTAATAATATTTTTAGGTCCTGTTTGGTTGTCGAGACAGAGTCATCAGAGGGGTCTTGCACCGTGGTTAGTGGGGTCTCCTCACCTTGTTGTTGTTCCCGGGTCGGGTGGTGTCCGGGTGTCGCCACTTGCGGTACTTCCGCGGACTCGGGCCTGTGAGGAGTAGGCCTCTGGAGCAGCTCTCCAATGTCCCTGGTCTCCTTTGCGGCTTGGTGTGTTTGTGATCGTCTGCCCATTGACTGCGTGTGTGCCGTCGGGGTTGAGGTATGTGCCTGTTCGGCTCCTCTTGCCGTTATGCTTTCCAGCAGCTCCCCCAGGTCCGGGATCAATGGCGTGTGGTAGGCCCGAGACGTTCGTATCCTTTGGGGTAGTCTCTGGGTGGTGAAGAACGGCATCAATCAGTGCCGGCTGTTTACTGGAGCGAGTGGTGAGGGTTTCGAGTTCGGATCGGGCTCAGGTTGGCTGATATTTGTGGGATTGATCAGATATGAGTCGGAGCTGGCAGAAATGGCGTCCTGTTCATTTGCTCGTAGGCTCCGCCCCATCTTGCATTTTTTAAGCTTATGGCATAGGGCCACACTGAAATATACACTGTCTAGCTGCCTCTCTCCAGTGACTCTGATTTTGAGGAACAGAGAATTACTCCTGGGTATGATGGCGGGGGACTTCGCCAATATCAAAAAATCTGGGCTCCAACATCTCTATCAGGGAAGATAGATAATACCTGTCCAAGAACTATCTAAGATGCCACCTATACGGCTAAATATTTTTTACATTCAGATTAGAGACTGTGCAAGAAGGGAAGATATCAAGCAGACGGCCAATTATTGTATGTAAAATGGTGGGAAAGGGATCTGGGGGAGAACAAGAACGAGGTACTTTGGAAGACGTTGGAGGCAGGCAGAAAGGTTTCCACATATGTAGGCATGCAAAAACTGATGTTCAAAATCCTCCCGAGGTGGCACACTGTGCCAATGAAACTCTATAAAATGGGGAACGCTGCAAAAGATATATGCTGGCAACAATGTGGGTCACAGTGGTGGGATTGTCCTGAGGTTCACAATTACTGGGAAAGCATCACAACATGATCATGGCATGTTTGTCATTTGACTTGGACCCTTGGTGATTAAAATCATACTGGCAGCCAGAAGGACTCTGGTGGTGAATATCCCCCGAAAATAAGCCAGGGCCTTTTTTGAGGGATGTCTTATTTACAGGAAGAAATGGTAGGCATATTTCTGTACAGTTTATCACACCTGGTCTTGAGTTCTGTACCGCGTATTTACTGTACTATGCTTTATCTGGAACATTTAATAGCCACTCACTGTTATAAAATGAGGTAAGGCCTATCTGTATGCATATATGTTATTTGCAATTGCTCTTGGTCAATTCCTATCTGGTTTCATAGGATTGTCACATACTTTAATAAAAAAGTGACTGAGGGAAAAAAAAAAAAAGTTAATCTGAGAGAGAAATCATCTCAAAGTAATGGCATTCTGCTCTCTGTGAACGGCTTGCAGCAGATGTGATCTATTTAGAGTTTGCTAAAGCATTTAATACAATTTTTAAGGTTGCTGGTTTACAGGAAAGGTTATTAAATTGAAAACGGGCTTAAAGAAAGCGTGCAGAGTTACTGTTGGAATAAAAACCTAAACTTGTTGAAAGCACGATAAGCAGATTACTCAGCGGTCTCTTCGTAGATCTACTTAGACTTAAAGGAACACTCCAACAAGTATGCGAAATGCATGAGGAAGAGCAGCCTCTTGGGGTACAACTTAACAACTGTATGAAAGTGCCAATTTCTCTTGGACATTTTACTAACCCCTAGTACGCAGAGTGTTTCGAGTGTTCTTCTAAAGAGGAGCACTCACATGCGCAATTTTAACACAAACTAACAGTTATGTAAGAGAGGTAACGATTGCATGTGCTAAAATGTTTTTACAATTCTTTCCTTCTAAAAAAAGAAATAATGAATATGTTTTTATTTTCGTTTATACGTTTTGCCAGGCGTACACTACGCATTTGTGTTTATGGCATTGCTGAAGAAAATGACAAACATCCATGCGCATGTACATCATTCTGTTAGATCCCTGAGCACTCTCACGCACTCCACAGATGACATCGGACAGCAAAGAGCACTGGAGGTAACTCATGCTTTATGCTGTTATTCATCCTGCTGAATCCTGTTGTAGTGTTTTACTGAAGGAACCGAAACACGTGTCAAGCTATTTTCCTTTTCACACTTGGTAGCACTTTTTTTTATCACTATGCTATTTAGTTCTTTTAGTTATATGTTTTCTTTTTTAGGCAGGGACAGTTTGGTTTAGGTAGGTACTAATGGATTTATCCATGGTGCCGAGGTATTTCTAGGTTCAGTTTTTTGCTATGTAGCCTGCTCCTAGGATCCTTTTTGGGGGATTGTCTCCTTGTCGATATCTACCTTCACCTTGGGGTGGGGTGGGGGGGGAGGGTTGTGTTTGGTTTAGGAGGTTTTACCATTATAGGGTCTAGTGTGGAGTTAATCTCTGTTGTGGTTTCTCCACAGCTGTTTTTATCCCTTTACCCCTCCTTTGTATAAATACCTCTCCCCTTGTGTTCCCAGTTCCTGGCTACTGTGCAGACCCTGTTTTCTCAAGGGATTCCCCTTTTTGTTTTTTATAAAAGCTTCCTTACAATCTAGCAGTGGTAACCAGGCGATGATGTTTTTCTGACTTGTGCACTGAGAATGTCAAATGTGTCATTAATCTGTTCTATTCCATAAAGACATTGCAGTGTGTTTCCTAGCTACCTCTAAATTGACTTTTTAAATATTGTGCAGATGTATATTTATTATTATTATTATTTTGATACTTCTATTTTAGTTTGAGTGCCTATTTTTATTTTGTTTGGTGCAATTGACTAGGGAGGAATCATTAGTTAAAGGGATTCACCGGGCACCAACTTTACTGCATTTTGTTTTGGCCCCATTTATATGCTGTATTTTTGCATGTTAAAATCATAAAATAAACAGTTTTGTAGGATGCTGCACCATAAACCCGCCTCCTTGGCCAAATCCCCTCACTCCTGAAAAAAAACTTCCTAAAGTAAGCACTGAGGGAGCTGCTTTTAAAGGTGCTATGCGCAACAGATGCAGCCTCAACCCAAATTAAATTAAAGAGACAAGCGCCGAGACTCACTCCTACAAAACTGCTGTTTTACATTATAGGTTTGAAATGACATGGTCACTGCGCCAGGACCACTTCGTTGAGTTGAAGTGGTCTGGTTGCCTTTAGTGGTTCTTTAATTCTTAACCTGACTGCAGACAGTCAGATAATGTACAAACAGGTAGTGATATTCTTACTATATGTCTCCCTGGGTGCCTTTTTTCTTATTCAGGTTGCTATGTAGCTCAGATCTCTCAGGCCAAAAAGTAACAAACATTTAAGTTGTATTAGTGCCCCGATTGTCCCTTTCTGCTTCTCTGCACAAGAATTTGAATGTATTGGAATATTACACAGGAATATGGCAGATGACAATTGCTTTACACATGCAGAATGGAAGCATTAACAAGCTGTACCCTTATCTGTTAAGGAATAAATTCTCCTCCCTCCACTCCTCTCTATCTCAACCTCACTTGGACCGTACCATCCCTACCCTCCAAGCCTTTTTTCCAGCTACTGAACAGGAGGTGGCTGCACTACTCTTTTCCTCTTGTCCCACCACATGTCCACTTGATTCTATCCTGTCTCACCTCATCTCTCGCCTCTTGTCTTGTGCCATCCCCAATGCACATCTTCAACTTCCTCTGGTGTTGTCCCTGCTCCTCTTAAGCATGCTACTGTTGTACCCATCCTAAAAAAGTCAAGTCTTGACCCAGCTATCCCTTCCAACTATCGTCCCATATCCCTGCTCCCCTTTTCCTCAGATTTTCTGGAAAGACTTGTCTTTAACCGTCTGGCTCGTTCCTCAATTCTAACTCTCTCCTCGACCCTCTTAAGTCTGGATTCCGCCTCCTCCACTCCACAGAGACCGCTCTAATGATCTAATTTAGGCTAAATCCAAAGGCAACTACTCCATACTAATTCTTCTCGACCTCTCTGCTGCCTTTAACACTGTTAATCATGGCCTTCTTTTCAAAACTGTTCAATCACTTGGTCTCTGTGACACAGCCCTCTCATGGTTCTCCTCCTATCTCTCCCAATGTTCATTCAGTGTCTCCTTTTCCAATGACACCTCCTCCTCTCAATCTGTTTCAGTCGGAGTCCCTCAAGGTTTTGTTCTCTCTCTATACTGCCTCTCTTGGCAAACTCATTAATTTGTTTGAATTCTGCTACCACATGTACGCGGATAACACCCAGATATATCTCTCCTCCCCTGACCTATCCCCAGCTGTCCTGCAACGTGTCACCAATTGCCTTTTTTCCATCTCAAACTTTCTGAAACTCAATCTCTCTAAAACTGAACTCCTTGTCTTCCCTCCTAGTAATACCGATCCTCCTCTTTACCTCTCCTTTCAAGTTAGTGGTACACATATTAGCCCATCCTTGCAAGTGCACTGTCTTGGCGTTATTCTTGATTCTGGCCTCACCTTTGAGTCTCACATCTAGTATGTTACCAATTACTGTCTATTCAACCTTTAAAATATAGCTCACATCTGCCCCTTTCTTACGCAGTATACTACTAAGGAACTTGTCCATGCTCTAGTAATCACAAAGAATGGTATGTCTACAAGAGTGATACTAGCTCTTAACACCTGTGAGGTATCCCCTACACCTTCACCTTAAATCATATATAACACACAAAAAAATAGGTGTAGCAAGTTGTGACAAATAAAGATATACTTCCCTCTCTTCTTACTGTATCACTGTAAAAATAGAGAGGTACATAATAGTGCAGATATCTCAATACATAATATGTCGAATAGATATTACTCAAACACTCTCACAAAGAAAGAGCCATATACTGGACCTGGCTCTGGTATGAATCTCCTTAGGATCTCTTTTGGGTGATACAAACACCTTTGGTGGTGTAAAAGATGTTTGGTACTTCTTTCCCAAGGATAGGCAGCAGAGATGAAGTTAATTCCAAAGATAAATTTATTAAATAAAACACTGGATAAAATAAATGCCAATAAAAAGTCTACTAGTGTCCAAAGTTTTGCCAAAATGCGTTTCGCCGATATGTGGCTTCCTCAGTTGGCGTGGATAATGTTGTGTCCTTTGGTTTCTTAAATACTGTATTTTGATTCTGATTTTCGCGGTCTTTCTTGGTGGAACGCATCCTGCGTTCCACCTCCTACTTCCGGGTTCTCCGCGTCATATCCGGTTGCGTCTGATTCTGCGTCTGTCAGGATCGGCTTCAACGGAACGCATATTGCATTTCATTTGGTCAAAAACTTATATTGAAATGCCAAAAGAGCCATGATGGAATTTATATGTATTCAACAGTACAACAATTTCCAAAGTGCAACTATACATGTATTTCATCCTTAAAACATGAATAAAATACTCTCAATCTCATAAAATTTGTCTCAATCGGTTCTATTATATGACAGTCATTTCATTTGAAAGTAATTTTTTTTTTAAATTCTGCCCTTCCCTCTTTTATAAAAAGATAGTATATTTCCTAAAAATATTTATTATATTCTAAAAGGATCCAAAATCTACATAAAGACTTATAAACCTATATTTTGTGTTAATAACACAAAATATAAATAAAAAATTTCAATTTTCATAATTATATATAAAAATAAGGAGTATGGAACCACTAAAAACATAAGAGAGAAAAGTGGATAATTCTTATCTTGAAGGTACTAAATTATTAAAATATTGTTAAAATGTTCAAAAGTAATTTAAAAAAATATTTTAAAAGTATAATTACATATTTAAATGCAACTTTAATTGGGAATAGAATCATATAGTTAGTTACAAATATTTATGCTAAGAAATGGCATAACTCGAAATCTTGATTTAAGACCATCAGGAATAAGTGTTTTAAAATTATAAATACATTTCTTCTCGTAATCTCTTGCATGGATTATTGTAACCCTTCCCCAGAAGCCCCATTGCCCCACTACAGTCTGTAATGAATGCTGCAGCTGTCAGACTGATTTTCCTCTCTAGTTGGTCCTCTCACACCCCACCCCTCTTTCAGTCCTTACATTGGCTTCCTGTATCCTATAGGAGTCAATTTAAAGTACTAATCCATACCCATAAAGCACTGAACAATTCTAGCCCATCCTATATCTCTTCACTGATCCATAAGTATGCCCCTTCTCGGTCTCTCTGCTCTTCTGCTCACACCCATACGGCCAACTCACACTTGCAGAACTTCTCACAGGTGGCTCCCTTCCTATGGAATAGCCTGCTTACCGCCATCAGTCTCTCTCTTAGTCTTTAATTGTTTAAAAAGTGCCTTAAAACCTTTTTAGGAAAGCTTATGGCTTCCCAGAGTAACCTCTACCTCACATACCTCTCTCCTAGAGGGCAACACTCTACTCTCTCCTACTGCCTTACTCCCACCTACTGTGATTGCTATCTCCTGTCCTACTGTGTTTTACACCCCAGGTCCTCTAGACTGTAAGCTCGTTTGAGCAGGGTCCTCTTCAACCCATCGTTCCTGTAAGTTTTTGTAATGGTCTCATTTATTATTAAATCTCCCCTCCTATAATATTGTAAAGCGCTACGGAATCTGTTGGCACTATATAAATACCAGTAATAATAATAATAACTGTCATTCTGCCACCATCTGGGGTCTGCTGCTGGGTGTCCACCTGCTGGGCGATACAGGGGGAGGAGAGTTATACTTACCTGAATCTATTCCTCGCGGCCGCCACCATGCCCTTCCTGCCAGTACTCTTCAGCTCCTGGCCCACATCAGTGTGGTATACATATTCTTTACACATTTTTTTAAACTTGTCCAGCTTAAGAAAACACAGTTTCTACTTTGTCTTACTATATTTTTTTTAACTGTATGGAATGTCAGCGAAATTCCAACACCGTCAACATGAGTATTTCAGGCTCATTTTATCTTCATTAAATATTAGTTTTGGAGGGCCGGGGTCGCTTTAAAGATGTAAGTAGATGAGAATAATTTGTAGATAATATAGTGTTATGAAGTTGATGTATACCTATAAACTGCCCTACAATTTTACATATTTTCATTTTAGGTTGGCTTTACAACCAAGAACTAATCCGTTAATACAAAGTTGTATAACAAGCTGCATTAATATATTTCCCTTTCACCTGGCAGCATTTATAGTTCACGGCTATTGTGTATTTACTCTATTTTAGTAGTTTCTCCTCGGGTGAGAGGACACCCCACGGCTCAGTGCGGTTATTAGCCATGGGATGGACACCCATGGCCTCAGTGCAGTTATTAGCCATGTGATGGACACCCCGGGGCTCGGTGTGATTTTTTTTTTTTTTTTTTTAGCCCTGGGGGGCTCGGTGTGACGTTTTAGCTATGGACGGACACACCCTGGGGCTCGGTGTGATTTTTAGCCATGGGATGGACACCCTGGGGCTCGGTGTGATTTTTAGCCATGGGATGGACACCCTGGGGCTCGGTGTGATTTTTTTAGCCATGGGATGGACACCCTGGGGCTCGGTGTGATTTTTAGCCATGGGATGGACACCCTGGGGCTCGGTGTGATTTTTAGCCATGGGATGGACACCCTGGGGCTCGGTGTGTTTGTTTTAGCCATGGGATGGACACCCTGGGGCTCGGTGTGATTGTTTTAGCCATGGGATGGACACCCTGGGGCTCGGTGTGATTTTTAGCCATGGGATGGACACCCTGTGGCTCGGTGTGATTTTTAGCCATGGGATGGACACCCTGGGGCTCGGTGTGATTGTTTTAGCCATGGGATGGACACCCTGGGGCTTGGTGTGATTTTTAGCCATGGGATGGACACCCTGGGGCTCGGTGTGATTTTTAGCCATGGGATGGACACCCCGGGGCTCGGTGCGGTTATTAGCCATGGGATGGACACCCTGGGGCTCGGTGTGATTTTTAGCCATGGGATGGACACCACGGGGCTTGGTGAGATTTTTAGCCATGGGATGGACACCCTGGGGCTTGGTGCGGTTATTAGCCATGAGATGGACACCCTGAGGTTGATGTGATTATTAGCCATGTAATGGGAACTTTATGCGAGGGTCACTAGGGCTCAACGTTGTCTGTCTGCTTCATTACCATAGAGAAAGACTTGGAGGTTGCTTGTGTCTTTGGCAGGATTCACTGTCTCGCCATTTGTGATGTAACTGAGCCAGACTTCAGAGGACCATTAATCAATGTCATGGCCAATTAGTGGTTGCCAGTGTTTACTAATGAATATTAATCTGTTCCTTCACCATCTGTGCTCTGTGGTCTTACAGTGAAACACAATGTGTTTTTATATAGGAATATTCTGGTTTTATAGTCTCCACATATTATTGTGATGGAGGGCAGTATATTCTATACATTAAACTCTCAAAAAGGAACAGTAATTTCTTTAAACCTGATTACCAAATGTAATACCAGTTATTCATCCAAGATGATGACTGTTTTTAGTAGTTCCAGAAAGACTCTGTGGACAAAATTTGTCTCTTTCGGTGGCCGTAGTGTGGCCGTATGCCCCTATCTAGAGTTACGTGAGAGATTCACATTTGTATTGTATATAGCTACATCAGAGAGGCCCAAATGGTAGATCGCCAGATGTTGTAGACAGGGCTGCCACCAGAAATTTTGGGGCCCCTGACAAAGCACAAGGTCTGGGCCCCCGGCATGCCCACGAGACTCCTACCTAGTCCGCTGACAATGATGCAGGACTGAATGTGGTGTGTATAGTGGAAGTGAATTAGAATGTGTGTAATGGATGTAATGCTTGTGTGTATTAGATACTGTTTGAGTAGTGGATGTAGTGTGTATTTGTGTAGTGGATGTAGTGTTTGTGTGGACTAGATGCAATGTGTTTAGTGGCTGCAGTGGATGTAGTGTGTATATTAGACGCAGTGTCTCTGTATAGTGAATGCAAAGTGTTTGAATGTGTGGTGGATGTAGTGTGTGTACTGTGAATACAGGATGTTTGTGTAGTGGGTGCTCTGTGTATAGTGAATGCAGTGGGTGTGTGTCAGTGTAGTGAATCCAGAGTGTGTGTCAGTGTAGTGGATGCAGAGTGTGTGTGTTTACTAGTGTATGTATGTTGTGTAAATGGAGCATTTTCCCCTCCCCCCACATTAAATGTAAAAAAAAGCTATGCCCCCCTCCCCCCCCCCCTGCTTCTTACCTGCTTCAGGGAGGGGGGAGATTCCATTCCTATTAAATCTAAATAAAAACTGTGAAAGAATGGTTTTACTTACCTTTCACCCCTCTGTCCCTCCCCCCCCCCAATAACCAATATAGCGTTCCTGCAGCCTCTTGCCCTACCCCCAGTGATGCTTCTAACAGTCCTATTTAATACTCTTCATAGAGGAGCATTGGGGAGGAATGTGCATGCGCAGCACCCCTATTGGTGGTTAGCTGTGTGCCTTGGTTCTCATGGTCGATGCGCATCTAAGTAGACAGCCACTAGACGCGTATTTAACCCTGCAGTGTAACCATTGTCGTTTCCAGTAAAAGATAATGATTTACTTTGCAGGGTTGAAGCTATAGGACCACTGAGCAAAATGTTGTACTTGCATAGGGAAGCACTTGGAGGCTACTGCACATGTGTGGCTATCACTTCACTGTCCCAATCAGCATCTTCTTATAGAAATATATAAAAAAAAGCAGAGAATGAGATGCTGTACGTAGGTCATGGAATCTTTGCAGGACCTAGTCTAGGAAGTCCAGCCACTATAGGTGGCCTTAGGCAGCAATGTAATCACCATCTTTTCTTATAAATTTGGAAAGCGAGCTTATAAGAAATAACAAACAGGGTTCAGTACACAGACAAATCAATCAATTAATTACCAGTGTTCCTTTTAACATGGAAGGTAACTATGTCTTTGCCTACATCACTTCTATTACGGTTTATCTGCTCCAAATAGTTCTACTACAATTGAAATACTTATTATGGGGTGGTTATGTGTAGTGAGTGGAATTTTCACCCAAACAGTCACTCGGCTCATGATATACATATGTACTAAAAAACAAACAAAAGAAAAACATTCGGAGGTCACTACCCAAAACATACCTTTATATAATAACAGACATTTTAGTAAGAATTTCAAGTTTTGTAGATGCTCTTTATTTTTTGTGATCTGAAGAAGGTTAATGAGCAAAGTCTCTGTAAAAGGGCACTGTATCTTTAAATACAGCAGAGGAGGTTGTTTGAAGGAGGGCAGAGGGAGGAGGATTTCATGTGCAAGGCTTTAAATGCAGAGAGAACGTAGAGAGCGAGAGAATAATCAGAAGATGGAGAGCTAGAGCTGGTAGACGAGTAAACTGGGTTGATAGTGACTCCGTGCATTCCGGGCGGCAGGAAAGCTGGTGATGATCTGAGACCCTGCAACAGGCAAAATCTGTGAAGACTCAAACCTAGGAACCATGGAGATAGAAGACTTATCAGAAACTCAAAAATTTTTGATCCGAGACAGCTGGCACATAGTGAGCCAGGATCAGCTCCACCATGGCACGGTACTGTTTACCAGGTGAGGGTTACCGGCACAGAGGAACTGTGCTACTCAAAGGCTGGGCACGCGCCCCTGAGGGTTAACAGGTAAACACGAATACTGATAGGTTCACCAGGTGAAAGGTAACTGACACATGCTGGAACTGTAAGGAATTAACTGGCGCAGACTAGCACTGTACAATTAACCTGTTAAGATATAACTGGCACACTGCTAGTCAGCAGGTAAGACATTCCATAAACAGCCTCTGCCAGTATTCATCAGGTGAACAGTGACCATATAATGTAAATAATTGAAAACATGCCACTGTGATATTAAATGGCACACACAACAGGCTGTTTAAAGTTTGCAGGCACTACACTATTTACCTGGTAGGGGCTAACTGGTGCAAACTGGCAAGGTACCATTCACCAGGTGAGGTTTATCAGACGCTGTGATATTCTCCAGGTTACAGTTAAATGGCACTGTGTCTCTGTGCTGTTTAACAGGTAAGAATTTACGAACACCTTAATTGGATGCGAAGACCACAGCCCTTTGCCATTCAAAAGGCACGTTACCTGGCACTATTATGTAACTGGTGAAAGAGAACTGCACGGTGCCATTTGGCACTTAATTCAGGAAATTAGTAGAGTGACTGTATGTGTTTCACCCGGTGAGGATCTACGATCCTTAGAACCCAAACTTGTTTGTAAGGCAGCCCCCGACCCACCCTGGAGTGGAGGACGAGGGCATCTATGAATAGTATCGTTTTATTGAATGCTATGAAATGCCTCTTTAATGTGATGATTATATCACATCAGTGACTAGACTAACGTGGTTTTGTGGATGTTTAAGGAAACACAATAGTTAAGAGCTGGGAGATTTTTAACTTTTTTGTGCTGGTGGGCTGTTGTCCTTCGGAAAGCCAACTTCAAGAGGATCAATAGTACTGAAGAATTTGGAGGATTGAACTTGTGGATGGAAATAAACTTGGAGTTCCTAACCGCACATTAGGTCCTGGGGGTCTAACCTGATGTATCAAAAGGTCCCTCTGCACGGGGTTGCCTTTGTCTGGCTAGGGTCCATTTCTGCACTAGATATTGTGGTGTAATTTCATCCCATCCTCTTTGTTTTGACCAAGGCCACATTCCAGTGTGTTAGTTGATCATATTCTAGTTGAACATGATCACATTCATACTTTGAGGCATGCCGAAATTGTGTGCTCTGCAGGATAAAAACATTTTCATGGAGTTCTGTGGGGGTCTGACCGTTCCACTTTTAATGAGGATGATGGAGATTCTATGGGTAAGCTAACAATGTACATTTTGTTTTAGCCAGTGCCCTCCTTTTCCCAAATCCTAATCCTGTCCCCTAATTTCCATGGTCTAATGCCTAACCTTTATTTTCTTACTCTAACCTTTCAGTTTATTTCCTGACAGTGTGAACCTGTTTCCTTATACCTCTCAACAATTCCTATATATTCATCTAACACTAAGTGAAGTGACCTGCTTGGTTATGGCGAAGTATCTGGGCTCAGTCAAATAGATTAGACTCCACTTGGCAATTTGAAATCACTTGCACTAGTGCCATTCTGTCTACAGGAATGCTTGCTTTTCTGGGGAGGGAGGGTTCTGTACAAGAATGACTGACTTTGACTGGAGGTTGTATTTCTGGATAGAGTTTGGTGTCTGTGGGTCAATTTTAGAATCAAATTACCTTTGTCTGTTGGGCTTGGAGTTAATTTGGGCACAAGATTACCTGACTGTTCAGCATAAGACCATCTGTGAGCAAGCCTATTTCAGTGTAGGATTTTGTCTTTGGATTTGTCATGAACTGTCCCTTCCCCACAGGCTGTTTCAGTTGGAACCAGAGCTGGTCTTCCTCTTTCACTATAACTCGGCCGAGTTCTCGGACGTCCAAGAATGCCTGAGTTCTACTGAGTTCATGGATCATATCCGCAAAGTGAGTGGTGAGTGTAAGTGTGAGTGGCGTGTGTGGTGCCACAATCTTAATCAGTATCCGATGTTTAAACCTCAAACTTGTTAGTTACTCAAAATTGTCCGGACTCCAAATTCATTCATGACCTAATATGTGTTTAATATTCATGGAGAATATTTGGATGAAATCACAGGATAATCCTTTGCCACAAAAGCAGATATGTTTTAAATGTTGTATATTCTGATGCCAGTTGTAATATATGATTATATATTTTACTAGAACCTCTGGCAGTAAATGTATTCCTGCAAATAACTGTGTAGTAAAACACTATGTTGATCACAATAAGGAATATGTTTTGTATGACAGCTTATAACTATCAGCATTTGTCAAACCAGTTGATAAATACCAGGAGGGCTCTCTCTCTCCCATTTTACCTCAATCTATCATATCAGAGATTTACTGGTGGTAAAAATGTCTTAAGATCACTTACTAATAAACTATAAACTCATACATTTTATATGTTACATTTGAATAACCCAGATACACATTAGTGAATATACCGTACGCCTGACATTAATTTCTCCAGGGTTTTATTTTACTATATGGTCAGTTGTGAACAGGCAGTCAACAAGATACTGGAATCCCATGGCAACATTCACTATTCACTAAAGTGGGAAGTGTCATGAATTCAAAGTGAAATTTAGGCCAAAATTAACACATTAGAAAAATTATGTAAGTCAATTCTGATTTCAATTTGACTATTTTGGCCTTAAATTTACTTTGACTTTCCACTCCAGTGAATATCCTTGTTGGTGTGTTTTGGATATCTGATAGACCAGTAGGCGATTCGTGTAGCTGTCCTTTAAGGTTAAAGGATAATCTAAGCACCACAACCACTTATGTTTAATTTATTCGTTATGGTGCAAGTCTTTCACTACATTCCTTATAGCTGCAGTGATTTGCATACTTTGCAGTAGCCGTATGCCCACATTCCCACACTGTGATTTTGTAGACCATGCATCTCTGTGCATGAATTATTTGCCTGGAGCTCACACATGCTGGGCTGTAACAGTTTCTTGGCATGCGTGTCGCTCATTTCTGGAGCAGTTTTAGACCATTTTTTATTGTTTAGATCTTGTTTAGGTCGCTGTGCAACATTATCCATTATTTATTTAGTGGCAATATATGCGGTTACATTCCATGTCTCAGGACATTATGGTGGATGCATTTTTTCATGCAATAGATAAGACACCAGGTAAGAGCTCTTGGTCAGGGGATTGGAGGCTATAAAACAACCATTTTGTTGGGCAGCTATGGTTTTGATTCCTGCAGTGTGTGTGTGTGTGTGTGTGTATGTATATATGTATAATATATATATATATATTTTTCGAATAATTCTCTACTTCATGGGAGATGCTATATGTTTGAGGCTTACACTGTGAAGACACCGCTACCACCTAGTGGCCAAAAACAAAATCAAATATAAGAAATCAATAGGGAAAGTCAAAGTGTGTAATGCCATTTATGCCATAGTTGGACACTTACAGTATGTGATTATATAGATACATTAGAAACTGTGGTAACAAAAGATCTAAATCAAACAGCTAGGAATCTAATTTGACAGTTATCCATAGTAGTCTGTTAACAAAAGACTGTTCTGTGTAGGTAGACTCAGTCCAGCACAGAATAATATCGGGTATTAGATGAAAACAATCTGTTTTGCACACTTTAGTTTTATGTTGCTATCATATCACACTGGGTCTCTGTTCCTTCTGGTTATTGAAATAGACTGTGTGTGTGTGTTGGGTACAATAATTACCAAGTACAAATCCATCCAATCTGGATAGCAATGATAGGCTGAACCCACTCTCAGAAACCGTAGACGTGCATTAACTATTGGACAAATAGGAATTCAGAAGCTTCCTAAGTCTATAGCATACTAAATTACTGAAAACAAACGTTTTGCAAATGATAAACTTGGCTATTGAGCAACTGAAACAGCAAAATTAAGAAAATTGCTTTTTTTTTTTTTTCTTAATTGTGATACTTCAGCTGTTTAGTAGATAGCTCTCTCATTTGGTATGTTTTTGGGATTGCCATAAGGTTAAGTTTATCTACCAAGAGACTTATCTGCTAAGCAACTGAAAGCAAATTTTAAATTTCCCCTCTTACAGCTATTTAGTAGATAGCTCCCTACCTTGCTACCCTGATGTTGGATTACCCTACATAAGATTCTAAATTAGGTTGCTATTTGGTAGACGGCTCCCTTAAAGGGACTTTATAGGCACCCAGGCCACTTGAAGTGCCCCTGTTCCCTTAACCCTGCAATTGTAGTTATTGATAAACTGCAGTGATTACCTTGCAGGGTTAACTCTACCTCTAGTGGCGAGGGAGGAGGGCACTTTGTATTCCTAGTCCTAGCACTATAGTTTCCCTTTAATTTGTTGCCCTAATGTAGGGTCCCCTTACGTAGGATACCACATTCCGTTTAATTGAAAGCTCTCATATTTTTGGTACCCTGATGCGGGATGGCCTATTTATAGATACCAAATTAGGGCGCTGTTTAGTAGGGTTTTGTTTTGTTTATTTTGGAAAACATTTTTAATGTTGTGCATGATGTGAAAAGTGCTGCCCTCTGACTTTCAAAACCACTGCATTGGCATGGTGGCACTTTTCACATCCTGCACAAGTTTTTGCTAAACTATTTTTTTGGGGGGGGGCGTTTTTATGCTGTTCTGCAGTGTGTGACAAGTGCTTGCTGCACTTGGTAACTTTGAAAAACACAGTATTGGCATGACAGCACTTTTCACACCTTGCACAACTGTTTGCTAAATGTTTGCATTATCCTTTCTCTTTGAAAACTGTTGCATACTGCTGTACTGACCTTGGTGATCTAAAACTCCTACTGTGGGTAAACAATTTTCTCACCCTGCACAACAACAAGCAATTTCACTAAATAGTGTCCTAATTTGGCATCCTAAGGGGAACCCCACACCATGGTACTAAATTAGGGGGAACCATATACTAAACAGCGCCGTATAGGGAATAACAGATTCCCACATTTCCAAAAATATTCAGAAGAACTTCAGATTAATCATTAATGCATTTTGGCAAAACACATTTCAGAATTACTGAACCACATTTTTCCCCATTGTACATGTCTAGTGATAAGACTCATAGCACCATAACCACTACAATAAGCTGTAGTATAAATTGTGGATAGAGTCACTTTAATTATTCAGCACTGTATTCATTCCTGCCATCAAAGTGCTGTTATAAGAAAACTGGTGCAAAGTTGTTAAATTCAAATACTTTCATATAGACTGAAACTGCCTGCTGATCTTGTGTCCCCAGGAGTCTCCTGATCTATTGTATGTAATGTGCTGGAGCTTTGCTCCCCCGTTGACAGGAAAAGACTGTAAAGAACGAAACCTGTTAACAAAGCCAACATAGTTGGTTTTCCTCCTTTATTTTACAGTAACATTTTTAAAAAATCTTTTTAAATAAAGCACATTTCTGATAGCTTGCATTTGAGATCATGTCGGACAAAGTACAGGCAAGTCAATCTATAAGTAGACTTGATTCCGTGCATAGGCCCCCAGATAATTACCAAGATTAGGATGTAAAATGTTACAAGATATCTTACTATTAGAGCATTCCTGAGCTGGAGGGAACTGATGTTTTGTTTTTTTGTTTTTCACAAAAAGTATTTTTCTGCGCTCAGCACAGTATTTTTATAGGATAGGAGTGTTTGTGAAACAATTGTTTTTTTTGTTTGTTTTTTTTTAGGTTTTGCGTACTTGTTCTGCGTGTGACAGTGTGTCTGTATCTCCTTAGGTTATGACTGTTATTGATGCAGCAGTGGTCAATTTGGACTCGTTGTCATCTCTGGATGAATATCTGACCAATTTGGGGAGGAAGCATCGAGCTGTGGGGGTTAAACTGGAATCATTTAAGGTAAGAACCTTTTCATCCATAGCTTGCAAACTAAATTTCTCTGTTGGACGATCCTTATTCCTTGCCACACTCAGTTTTACACTTGCAGATACACTTATCTCCTGTCCTGTTAAAAGCCGATTGGTTTCCAGCCGAGGAATCTCTTGCTCAAAGGAAAACTATAGTGCCAGAAAAATAAAGTTGTTTTCCTGCCACTATAGTATACCCTCCTTCATGCAGAAGGGGTTACTCTTCATGTCGCTTACCTTATTCCAGTGCCGATGGTACAGGCTGCGCCTCTGGTCCTACCCACTGGGCACCTAATGCGCATGAACGGCGAGTGTCATGCTCACATTAGGACTCCCCCCCCCCCATAGGAAAGCATTGTTTAATGATTTCCGATGGGGTTTTGGGTGACGATGGATGTACTCATGCACAGCAGGGTTGAAACTAGGGGGACATGGCACTCAGACCACTTCATTGGTTGTCTATAGTGTCCCTTTTCATAGCTGATAATAGTACTCATAACCAAGACAATGCAGACTATATACCAAACCATCAAAAGATGCTGCCAACATTGTACAATACATCAAACACAAACTATATTAGAGGCAACATACCCACTCCAGGCACTGTAAGGATTATTGTCAGGAGTGTGTTGGCACTCAGCTAGGGTGAGTCAGCTTACCTGAGGTCACCCCCTCTTTTTCAAACCAAAGCTCTTGCAAGGAGTTTCTGTTAGCTCCAGTTAGCTATGATGTGGCAAAACTAGCCACTTAAGACTGTATGTGTATTAATGTGTTGCTGTGACTTTAAGAATGTTAGAACCAAGTGTGTACCTATTTCTTCATTTTATGCGAACGAGAGCGAACGAGGCAGGAAAGCCATCAGCATTCATACAATAGTTTCACGAACAGTGAATTTCAACACTGTTCGTGAAACGAACAAACTACCGAATGGGAGACCACACACAGGAGGTCGTGTGGCTCCCATTAAGTATTGCAACAATGTATCCTTCGGTAATTATTGAGATTCAGGGTGGCCGCCGTTCGGCTACCGACCACGCGGCGGTTGGCCATCTTGGATCTTTGTTAGCCCAGCGGTATTTGGTCGTCAAGTGCCTGGAACTAAAATCGGCTACTCGACGGCACGAATACCGCTGGACTTCCAGGCCGTTCGGGAGTACCGGTCATTCGGTAGTTTGTTCCCCTATATGCATTCGGTACTTTAAGGTGAATGTAAAATAATGTGTTTTCGTGCGGCGTTCTGTTGTTTATGCTGGGATGTGAGCGGTACTTCTACGAAAGGTGTGCTCAGACCCCAGCTATCTACCAAACGGTCATTCGGTAAAATAACATGAATAATGTGAAAGTTGTGTATTTTTGTGTAAAATGTCAGTTCTGCTGCATGGAGGGATAATCCACCTAACTGGATATTCTAGTGGGAGTATCCCTCTCGTGCAGCAGTACATGATGGGAGAAAAGTCCGGGTTGTTAAGTTCCCCATGTAGTCCCCTACTGTACAACCCCTGTAATGTCAGTAGGGAAACATCTTGCCTGGGGAATCCCATTAATACTGTGACCTGTGATTAAAAGCTCAGTTGACTCCCAGCCTATGTGTCGTCTAGTTCTTGGGAAGGAAAGGATTTATACAACGCTACCGGGATTATTGCATGCTGTATTTATTTTGGCTGGATTATTGTAAGCTGTTCCTGTTACCAGCGGAGACGCTGTGGATTATACTACCTCTCCGCTACATATGCCCAGCAGATCCAACTCAATATCTGAGAGCACCAACTGAGCTTGTTATGTCCTGCAGTGCCAGGCACAGATCAATGAAGGGAGCTTCCAGCGGGGACCTAGTTATCATGTTTGCTGAGAAGGAACTGATCCCTTGGTGGTTGTAAGAGCACAGTTTATATCAAACCATTCTCAAAGGAGTGCCTCAAGCATCATAACTACAGTGTGCTGTAGTGGTCACGGTGCCAGGAGTGCCTTGGCGCCCCCTTAATAAGTTGTTAAACCATTTTAGAACAGTTTGACTTCTTACCTGGGGTCTGTTGGGTGCTGATCCCCTCCTGCACCATTTCTGACAAAGAGGCAGAATCTCCTAAGCAGGAACTCCTTTTAGCCAATTGGCTGAGAGCGTCAGCTTCTCTCTCTCTCAGGAACATTATAGCTTTGGGAATACATGTATTCCTACTGCTTTAGTGTCCTGACACCTATCAGGTTACTGCGTAGTTCTCCATAATCAGGCTCCGTTTCTTTCATCAGTGTTTTATAGAACAACTATAATTAATGCAAATATTTTGCTTATATCATTGGAACAATTTATGGAAATGGGCTACCAAGGTTACACAAGGTTGGGAACCACTGACGAAAGAAACGGAGTGTGATTATGGAGAACTACGCAGTAACCGAATAGGTGACAGGACACCAAAGCAGTAGGAATACATGTATTCCCAAGGCTATAATGTTCTTTTAAGACACAGACCTCTGTCTGATCTAAGCGTGCAGGGGCCCATTGGCTGAGAGAGAGAAGCTGATGCTCTCAGCCAATTGGCTAAAAGGAGTTCATGCTTAGGAGATTCTGTCTCTTTGTCAGAAGTGGTGCAGGAGGGGATCAGCACCCAATAGCCTCCAGGTAAGAAGCCAAACTGTTCTAAAATGGTTTAACTTATTAAGGAGCGCTAGGGCACTCCTTGCACCGTGACCACTGCAGCACACTGTTGTAGTTATGATTCTTGGGGTGTTCCTTTAAGAATGGTTTGATTATAAACTGTGACTTTTACCAGCACCAAGGGATCAGTCCCATCTCAGCAAAAATGATTAGGCAGAACACATGTATTACTGGTGTTAGTTTCATCCAATGTGGACAACACTGATTGGTTGAGATTACAAGGGGTGGGTTACGGTCAGCCAATCATTGCAAAGATGGAGGCTGGCACCTTTCTTAACTGATTTGAGATAAAAGGAGCACTCCAAGCAACACTTGGCCCATTTTCATGGTCATGGAGCTAGGAGTGCCCTGGCAGCCTCCCAGGGCCAGTAGTCAAATTGTTTGAAAATGGGTTGACAACTTAACTAGGCCCGCTGCCATCTCCTCTTTAGCTGGAAGCTCCCTTCACTGATCTGTGCCTGGCAGTGGAGGACTTAACAAGCTCAGTTGGTGCTCTCAGACAATGAGTTGGATCTGCTGGGCTTAGCTAACTGGAGCCAGCACAAACTCCTTGCAAGAGCTTTGGTTTAAAAAAAGAGGGGGTGACCTCAGCTAAGCTGACTCACCATAGTTGGGTGCCAAGGCACTCCTGATACAATAATCCTTACAGTGCCTGGAGTGTCTCTAATATGGTTTGTGATTTTATGTATTGTACAATGTTGGCAGCATCTTTTGATGGTTTGGTATATTGTCTGCATTGTCTTGGTATTACTACTATCACCTATTAAAAGGGACACTATAGACAACCAATGAAGTGATGTTAGTGCCATGTCCCCTAGTTTCAACACTGCAGTGTAAACCTGTTTACATTTGGTCGCCTAACTGGCGCTGGATGTCCTCACGCTATGCATGAGGACATCCAGCGTCACACAAAACCCCATCGGAAAGCAATATACAATGCACTTGCTGCTCATGCACTTAAGGTCCAAAGCAGGATAGGAGCCTTGGGACATCAGTGCTTGAATCAGGTAAGTGACAGAAGAAGTAACCACTTCTAAAGTTTTCCTAGCACTATAGTGCTAGGAAAACAACATGCAGATACACCGATTAAAACACTGCCAAAGATACAGATGCAGACACTGCCAGACAGAGTTGTAGACACACAAAGATACATATGGAGATGCACATACAAGTAGATGTACAGACAGACACACACACAGATATACACACTATCTGCTTGTGTGTCAGTGTTTTGTATCTGTGTGTTGTGTCTGACATACATGTAGATACAAGAAAAAAAAAAGGTCATTTATACAATTTACTTAAGCATTGTGTATTATACTGACACTCTGCTTCACTTTAATGCACTTTAAAATTTTTAAAGGTATAGCGCACCTTTTTCTTCTTGTATTTATTTTATGGGGTGTGTTTAAAGCTTTTGCACTAGTAGGGTGCCGCTTTACCCTTTTTCCATTATTTCACTATTTTGAATTGTTAGCGCCTTTTTGCTTGTTTTTTGTATTTATACATGTAGATACAAATACACACATGCAGACACTCACACATTCAGATACAGACAAACACGCATTAAAGGACCACTCTAGGCACCCAGACCACTTCAGCTTTATGAAGTGGTCTGGGTGCCAGGTACCTCTAGGATTAACCCCTTTTTTTTTTTTTTTATAAACATAGCAGTTTCAGAGAAACTGCTATGTTTATACTGAGGGTTAATTCAGCCTCCAGTGGCTGTCTCATTGACAGCCGCTAGAGGCGCTTGCGTGCTTCTCACTGTGAAAATCACAGTGAGAGCACGCAAGCGTCCATAGGAAAGCATTGTAAATGCTTTCCTATGCGACGGCTGAATGCGCGCGCGGCTCCTGCCGCGCGTGCGCATTCAGCCCAGGAGGAGGTCGCGAGCAAGGAGGAGAGGAGGAGTACAGCTCCCCGCCCAGCGCTGGAGAAAGGTAAGTGTTTAACCCCTTCCTCTCTCCAGAGCCCGGCGGGAGGGGGTCCCTGAGGGTGGGGGCACCCTCAGGGCACTATAGTGCCAGGAAAACGAGTGTTTTCCTGGCACTATAGTGGTCCTTTAAGATACAAACACCGACACAGATACAGAAACAAACACTTCTACACATGCAGATACAGACACACAGTATCTGTATGGCAGTGTATGTGTCAGTGTTATTCTGTGTGTCAGTGTTCGTGTCTGTATATGAATGTGTGGCAGTTTGTCTGTGGATCTTTATGTGTGTGTGTGTATCATCTGCAGGTGTATCTGCATGTGTGGCAATGTTTGTATCTGTGTGTAACTGAATGTGTGTCAGTGTTTTTCAGACACACATTAAGTTACACACAGATACAAAAATTGCCACACATGCAGATACACACTGACACACATTCATATACAGATACAAACGCTGACACAGATGCTGATACAAAAAAATGCAGATGCACAGACATGCTGATACAGACACAAAGAAAAACACTGCCATACATACTGATACACACTGCCACACATGCAGATACAGACACACAGATACAAACACTGCCAAAGATACAGATGCAAATACAGACACAGAAACACACTGCCACAGATCCACAGAAACAAACACTGACATATAGATACACTTATGCAGATAGATGCACTGACACATATATGCAAATAAACACAGAAAAACACACTGCACACACACACAAGCTGATATTGATTGTATCTGTGTCTTCATGAGAGGCAGAATGTGTCAAACACAACATACACACAGATATACATGTGTCTTAGTGTTTTTAACTGTGTGTGTCGTGTCTGACACTTGTAGATATACAGATACATACTGTCTCACATGAAAACACACACAGATGCACACGGCCACATATGAAGAGACACACACACGTACACTTTGAATCTGTGTGTGTGCATGTATGGCAAACACTACCACAGATTCAGATGGAGACAAACACTGCCACACATGCAGAGACACAGAAACAAACACTGCCAAAGATACAGATGCACACACACTACCACACATACCCAGATGCAAACACTGCCACAGAAATGCAGATACATACACAGAAACAAACACTGCCACACATGCAGATGCGCAGACACTAACTTTGCCACAAATATAGATACAGATATGGACACAGATACAAACACTGCCTCACATTCAGATACAGACACTAACACTGGCACATATAGATGCACTCCCACATACAAATACAGACACACTGCCACACATGGAGATGCACAGACACACATTCAGATGCAGACACATAGATACAGAGCTGCAGCTACACAGATGCACTGACACCTATGCAAATAAAGACACACAGATACAAACACACTGCCATACATATAGATGCAAAGACAGAGATCACAGATACACACATTGACACAAATGCACAGACATACAAACACTGCGACAGCTACAGCCACACATGTATATACACAGAAACAAACACTGCCACAAATACAGATCCACATTCAGATACAGACACAGTGTTTGTATCTTCATCAGTGTTTATTTCTGTGTGTATGTTCATCTGTATTTGTGGCAGTTTTTTTTTTATCTGTGTATTTAGATGTGTGGCAATGTTTGTATCTGCACCTGTGTGTATCTGTATGTCTGTGCATTTGTGTCAACGTGCATCTCTATGTGTTGCAGTGTTTGTATCTGAAAGTGACAGTGTTTGTTTTGTGTGTATTTGCATATGTGTCTGTGCATGTGTGGCAGTGTTTGCTTCTATGTCTATTTGCACATGTGTAGATTCATACACTATGCACTGTGTCAGTGTTCAACACACATTCAGATACAGATGCACTATGTGTCAATGTTTGACACACACAGAAGCAGACACTGCCACATTCAGATACAAACACTGCCACACGTAAAGATCACAGATGCACTAACACATTTGCAAATATAGACACGCATCTTTGCCACAGATGCACACAGAAACATTGCCACACATACAGATGCAGATAAACACTGACACACATAAGATACCGTATTTGCCACAGATATATACACACACACACACACAGATACTGTGTTTGTTTCCGTGTGAATGTGCATATGTACATGTACATGTGTCCGTGTTTGTATCTGTATTTACATGTGTCGCAGTGGCAGTGTTTGACACAGATGCACAGGCACACACATACAATGTGCATCTCTGTGTGGCAGTGTGTTTGTATCTGCATGCGTGGCACAGTTGTATGTGTGTGTCTGTGCATCGGCATGTGTGGCAGAGTGTGTCTCTGTATTTGCATCTGCACGTGTCTGTATGTGTCTGTATGTGTCTGTATTTGAATGTGTTTGTTTCTATGTCTGTTATGTGTGTCAGTATTTGTCAGTGAGTATCTGTGCATCTGCATGTGTGGCAGTGTTTGTATCTGAATGTGACAGTGTTTGTGTGTCTATATTTGCATCTGTGTTTGTATCTGTGGTGTGTCTTTGCATCTGCATGTGTGGCAGTGTTTGCTTCTATTTCTGTATTTGCATATGTATCAGATACACAAACACTGACACATAGTGCATCTGTGTATCTGACACATATGCAAATACAGACAAACACTGCCACATTCAGATACAAACACTGCCACACATAAAGATGCACAGACAGAAATCACAAATACAAACACTGCCACACAGATACACATGTGCAAATATAGACACGCAGAATAAAAACACTACACTCACTGCCACATATAAAGATACTGACACAGATACATAGAAACAAACCCTGCCACATTCAGACACAGAGCTACAGATACATATGCAAATACAGACAAGCAGAAACAAACCCTGCCACATTCAAATACAAACCCTGCCACCCATTCAGATGTAAAGACACACACATACAAACACACTGCCACACAGAGATCACAGATGCACAAAAATACAGATACTGACACACATACAAACACTGTCACAGATACAGCCACAGCATTGCAGATACACACACAGAAGCACAGGTGCAGATACAAACACTGCCACAAATACAAATGCACATACACACTGCCACACATTCAGATACAGACATAAACACTGACACATAGTGCATCTTTATGTATCAGCATCTGTGTATTTGACACATATGCAAACACTGTCACATTCAGATACAAACCTTGCCACACATGCAGATGCACAGAGATCACAAATAGAAACACTACCGCACTGCCACATATGCAAATAGACACACAGAAACAAACACTGCCACATGCAGATGCACAGGCGCACAGAAAAAATAGTGCCACTTATACACTGACACTGACACACATTCAGACACAGAGCTGCAAATACACATACATGCAGCTATAAAGATGCACTGATACATATGCAAATACAGACACACAGAAATAAACCTTGTCACATTCAGATACAAACACTTCCACACATGGAGATGCGCAGACAGAGATCAGATACAAACACTGCCGCAGATGCACAGGTATACAGATTCATAAACACCAAAACAAACACTGGCACACATATAAATACAGATACAAAAACTGCCAGAAATGCACGGAAACACTTCCACACATGCAGCCACAGCCACACATAAAGACACAGATACAAACACTGCCACGCATGCAGATTTACAGAAACAGAGGCTGCCACAAATGCAGAAACAGATGCACAGACAGATACAAGTTTTAGCCACCTTCCAGTTTCCTACCTTTTGGGTGCTTCTGCTGGTTGGGGCTGTTGGAGGATGGGTGCTTGATCTCTGTGTACCACAGGGTGGAGACCGCTGTTGTAGATGATCTGTCTCTCACTCAATAACGTAGGGAAACATTGGGTGACTAGTGCGCATGCACAGCAAAATACCCCATTGCTCCAATAAATGGACTCTATGAGAGCATTTGATTAAATAGACGAGTGCTCTATTAGGCGGACGTTGTAAGACAGCCCCTAGAGGTATGTTAAGCCTATATTGTAAACATTGCCATTCATTACAAAACAGTTGCAGGGTTAAAGAGACGGGTCCACGACACCAAGAGTGTGTCATTGAGATGAAACATTCCGGGTGCCTGTAGTGTGTCCATTTAACCCCTTAAGGACACGTGACATGTTTGACATGTCATGATTCCCTTTTATTCCAGAAGTTTGGTCCTTAAGGGGTTAAGTAGTGGAGGTTGGTGCAGATCCCAAGTAAAAAGTCAAACATTTCTACAATGTGGGAGCACGAGGGCACTATTGGCATCATATCCACTACAGCATGCTGTAACCTGTTTGATATTAATCCAGGAGAGTCTAGGCAGGTTTGCTTTAGTGGTTATTCTGTTTAGAGTGCTTTTTTAAAATAAATGGAAACATGGATTTGATAGCAATGCAAATAACCGGTAAAAAAAAAAAACCACTTAACCATTTAATCTCACCAAATTGGTTATAGGGCCAGGAGATCCCTGGCACGGTCACTCCATTCACTGTATTTAAGCAGTGTATTACTAAATAAGGTCCCCTGGTCCCCAGTAGAGGCAGAAATTACACACTTCCTTCTGGCCGTACCACTTCGTATCTGCAAATGGCGCTGTGATATACTAAAAGCAGTTAGCAGATGCTCTCAGCCAATCAGGCCCATACTTCCTCATTAGAGTCTTGTTTAGCTCAAAATGGAAGGACGGCGCCAGGCACTCCAGACACAATACCCACTTAATGAGATGAAGCAGTTACAATGCCTACAGCATTCATTTAATAGTCAGTTCTGAGAAAAAGATACACGGTCGGGGTTTTTATTAAATTCACAGAAATTATCGCTGTATTAATCAACCCCGACTGTTGTAAATATCTATTCAGGGATAATTACACTTCTTGCCACAAATACTCCACATTTTCAACCTCGAGGGCAAACGTTTCTATTTATTCTCCTCCAGCCTCCTAACATGTATGAAAAGCAAGGTTGGATAACTATTCAATTAGAGTTTCCAAACCTTTTTGGTTCAGACATCGTTCACAGTTTCCAATTATCAGCAGAGAACAACGTTTTACTCTCAGCCTTTATTAATGCCTAATCCATCCCCTCTCTGCATTTCTGTGCAACTGTATTTTGATAGTGCTGTCTTTCCTTTGACAGACTGTTGGTGAATCCTTGCTTTTTGCTTTGGAGTCGGGGCTAGGAGATGCTTTTACTCCAGATGCTCGGGACGCTTGGAGCCAGCTTTATTCCAGTGTGGTGAGAAGAATGAGCCGTGGCTGGTGCCGCGACCCTCTGGAGCCCTGATGTGGCGCACACACTAGAACACTCACCACTCTGCAGGTGTACAGCAGTTGAAAGCCTCACCAACAGACCTTTATGTACTGTGCTGCTGGTATACAGCAATGCAGAGCCTCTTTGGCAGACACATACACATCACTCTGCAGGTGTAAAGCATTGCAGAGCTTCACCTGCAGATATACAGTTGCACAGAGCCGCCATAGCAGACAGATACAATTCTGCAGGTACAGAGCAGACGAGATCCTGAATTAACGTATTTTGCTTTGTCCCTACTCTGGTGCAGTGCTCTATACAGTTACATATGCAGTAATATAGACACTGCAACACATAATAGGCTGTGAAACACTGTTATTGTATGTTTTGTGAACTTTGATGCAGAGTAGTAAGTGCATCCAAAAACATAAATAGCTCTGCTTGTAAATACAGCTCTACATCCAGTCAGCAGAGCTGTATATGTGTTGGATGTGTACTGGGATGTTAAAGGAACATGGTTATTGCTTTTATTTTTTTTATCTTCAAATAATTGGAGGCTATTTGGGAGGATTTTTTTCCTGACTACCCATCATTTAACCTCAATATTGCTGCTTCCATGGGTCGGATGAAACCGCTGACTTTATCGATCTGTCCTGCTACAGTACATCATTTGTCACCACCCTGAGTTCTCTCCACAGCAGCAGAGACTAGTAGCCTGACTGTACTCTCTTGCCAGTCCATTTAAAAAATATCTTTTGTAGCAATTATGTGGCAGTCAGGAACTTCTGTTTCATAAAGACGGCTCCAAAGTATCTTTTGGAACTCGAAGTTAAATGAACATCCTTGTGCACAATGTTCAGCATTCCACTGACAGTCTGGTTTGTAAGGCTTTAATTGGACTCAATCAGCAGAATGCCGATGTATTGCCAACTGGTTAGAGAAAGGTGGGTAAAAGGATGTTTATTTTAACTTATAGTTGCTAATGATCTTCTGGACCTCTCTGTATGAAACCAACAAACTGATCGACCACCAAATAGATGTCATAATATAAAGAAATGAATGAACAACAAGGGTAGTAAGGCTACTAGTTTGCCCTGCTGTGGATAGGGTGGTGATGGATGATGTCACCTTCCCGGTGACCTGTTACAGCAGGGCACATTAAAAATACAAAAAAAATGGCCTAGATCAAGGGTAGGCAACCTTCAGCCCAGAGCTAGATAGCCGTTTCATCCAAACCATGGGAGTAGCAATATGAGATAAAATTCCCTGCCTCTCAGTCTTTCAATCATAATTTAACAGTTTGTTTACAATATAATTTAAATGTAATCACCACACTTCGCATTCAATTATTTAAAGGAAAATAAATGTGGCCATGTTCCTTTAAGCTTCACGTATTTGGAAGGTGGAGCTGTCTGTTTTGTAACGCCTAGAGATGGACAGCAGTCTACTTTGGGACATGGAAAGGGATTTTAATGCTGAGCTATGTATATTGGGATTATAAAGTCACATGTTGATGAGGAGCTAAATCCACATCATTAACATTAGGATGGAGGGAAACATTTTGATGTGTTCATATGTGACATGGGATCGTGATGCAGAGATTTATGTAATGGGAGTACTGAGATTTTTTTCAGTGCTTATTCATGTAAATTTTTGTATTGGGGAAAAAGGTTTCTAATCTGGAATTGTATGCATTGGGACGAGCAATTGTGATGTATAGATCTACATAAAATATACTGGGAATGTATAAACTCTTAATATAGTATAATGGGAAATTGTTACCGAGTTAAAATGTATTTAGATGCAGAGCTTAATGTATGTGTATTCAGAGTGGAACTTTTATGGAGACATAAAAATTTAGACCTGATCTACATGCAGAGTGTTGTGTGCCTTTATCTAAAAATGTACTACCAGTCTGGGCTCTGTCTGTACAGTGATACTCATACTCTTTAATTACATTAAACTGGGATTAACATTAACCCCGTCAAATTATTTGTAGTATGGGAAAGTGGGGGTGGGCGCAACAGATTCTCAAGGTGTTTGCATTACTACTTATTGGGTTCGTCTACAGCTTTTACATTCAGTGTTAAGTGAATAAACTCTAGTTGTATTATTTGAAATACTTCAACGAAACATTTAAAAAAATAAATTAAAGTGTTATTTACTAATGCAGGAGATGTGATGTAGGAATTGCAGGCAAAGAAGGCATGATGTTTTCTAACTCTATACTGGTTGGAAATTTGCAGTTTCCGGTTTAGAGATTAGACCCACAAAGGAAGGACCTTCAACATAGAGTACACTGTGTCAGACAGAAGAGAATCAAAACAGATTGACTTTACAGAATGATTTACCTTTGCTGGCTTCTCATGGATTATTAGTGGGTAATACACAATCTACACTGTCACACCGCTGTCCTCTGAGATATGCTACATACCCCTCCAGAGAGAAATGCACATTCCTAGTTATTGCTTGGGTAATAAGCGTTATAAGATCTAATCCACCTAAATATTTAGAAAAAAGGAAGGAGGAAAAAAAAAAGAAACACGTGCACACACTTACTTTTAAAATTATATTTGGCAAAATCAGCACATTTTAAATAACATTTTTTAAATGCAATATGTATTGATTCCCCACACTTGGGAAAAATATATAGCCAGGAAATGCAGCTCAAGTGGAGAAACGGGTGAGCGTGACAGGAGAGGTTGCACGTCACAGAGTGCATGTTGCATTAAGAGCACAGAGAACCCAACGTGTTTCTTTTATGGAAATGCTGCATATGTCCCAGTGTAGCAGCTGCTTGGCCAGGCCTCATAAAAGCAGGTAACAACTTGGCTGTGCACCTTCGAGTGCAGTTTCTCAGCAAAATATATTATAGCATCTTAAATTCAACAATGGATTCTTTACAGTATTAGGAAGTATGAGACTCTAATCGCATTACTGTTCTGCACACTGCCCAGGCAAGGCTTCCTCTAATACACAGCCCTGGCTGGTAATAGATATCGACCCACTACAGGGCCAGACAGAAATCAGCCCGTGACCATACTTAAGTGAGTCTGGAGCCAGCTAAACAAGGCCAAGACTCTCATACCTCGCTGACCACACAAGACCTTAGCAGCAGTGCGGCACTGACCCGTACAATATTCAGAGAGGAGCTCATAGACTGCAAAAACAGGAAGGAAACACTGACTCGCAAGTAGCCAAGATCCCCGATCTGCAGTTACACATCGGCACTGTCAATGACAAGAATCGTCTGAGTTTTCCGGTGTTATCTCTGGCTCCTCCTCTGAGAGGTCCGCCCGTGTCTCCAGAGCTCCATACGAGGCATGAGCAGGAGAGGCCAGGGGGGTGAGTTCTTGATCCTGCAGGACTGAGGCCATAAATGCCTAAACAAAAGAAAAAATTACAAAAAAGGTTTCACTACACAACATATTAATGAATTAACGGCAACTTGAGACTATAATAGCAGATTTGGATAAAATTCTCCCACTTAGCTACTAGCCCAGCTTGGAAAATTTGTCCATCTGAATATAATTTGCTTAAATATAGGGCACCAGACAAGGTAGGAGAACAGTTGGAAGGAGCAAAATCGAGTGTAGTCATGATGGGGATGGTGGAGAGATTATAAATTTACAGTAAGATTCTGCTATGGAGCTACGATACTCACATTGGATTGGATGGCGGAAGAGATACTGCTACGTTCTGCATCCTGAATAATCCCATCAGCCTGTTCTGACATCTGTGGGATAGAGGAGGAAGAAGAAAATAAATAAATAAATAAATAAATAATGAATGCGGTTTGGTGAAACATTTTTTCTGGAGAGGTAAAGGGTTATTAAGTATCCCGTTCCAGTAGCGGAAAGAGGTCATTTCCTCACCTGATAGCTGGATGGTCTCTTTGGTTGTAGCCGCTGCAGACAGAGTCCAAAAATGGAGAATAGCAAACATAGGAGAAGGGAGGCAAATGTGAATAAAGTAACGGGATGTGTGGTACCTGAGGGGAAGAGAGAAAATGAGTCCAGAGGAAGCCTGACAGTGGCGTAACGAAGTATGCCAACAGAATTACTCTGAATAGCACTGAGGTGTACAGCCTGCTTTTTGAAACCACTAACAATAAATGTAACAAAATCCACCTGCACTAGTTATTTTAAATCACTTGTTTTGTCATTAAATTAACCAGGGAAAACAAAGCTCCCTTTGCACCTGCCAGTTTTGATAAAGTGGCCGTTTTGTTTAAAATAAAACAACAAAATTATAATCCAATGTGTCTGGTGATGGATAGTCAAATATTAAACCAATCCGCAGACTTTTAATTAACACTGTATAGACAATATGTGCACATCACAACTAGACTGAGGTGATGCGCTCAGTGCCTTTAAAGAGATATTCTTAGCACTATAAAAAAACGACAGCAGTAGTAGTTATGGTGCTATCCACACAGTAAAATTTTAAAGAGTTTACTAACAGAGTAACACTTACCCAGCCCGATGGGTCACTTGCAGTCCTTCTGGTCTATGAGTGTCAGTGGACACTTCTCAGCCGATGAAAAATGGCCACAATTGGTGTGTTGCTAACGTGGAAGTCAGTGACTAATTTAGCACATCGGTGCAGACCAGAAGGACTGTGGGTGCTAGACAGAGCGAGGAAGGTGTCAAGCTGTTTAGGTGCTGTAGTTTATTTATTAATTAATAATCACGGCATCCTTACCGAGACGTAGCAAAGAGAAGAACAGGAGCCAAAACATGCAGAGGATTGGTGCTGCAAGCAGTTGCTGGGCGGCAGCAGTATGAAGATGGGGGCTCAGCTTTGTAGGAATATACGCGTAATAAATATTGTAGCGGTCGGTCATGTGTTTCAGCAGCAGGTACAGGAGGCCTAAGACACAGAAAATATGCAACTGCACTTAGATACCATGTTGGTAAGGGATGAGAATTATAATGGCTTGAGGGAAAGGGTATTACACGGACAAAAAAGGATGCACAGAAAAAAAAATGAACCGAGAAATGCAGCATTGTAATGACTGGGAGGGTCGGGGAGGACAAAGACTTGCAGCCATCAAGTTTCTCACATCTATTTTTGCTATTGATCCAAAAGAAAGAAAAAAAAAAACCGTTTGAAGTGCTTCTTCTCAGTTTTGTAACAAACACACAAAAAGAAAAAATCCCGGCCCCTGAATGGCAGTCAGATCTCCTTGGATAAAGAAACTGTTCTATCACTGAATAGAAGGCAAAAGAACAAGGGAAAATCAGAATAGAGAGAATTGCATGCAAAAATTAGCTGTCTCCACTTACCAAAGGGGACAATGATGGGACAAGTGATACTATACGTCATCACCACGGAAAAGACACAAGTGGTCCAAGCATATTCAAGACCGAACTGGAATTCGTATGCATGATTCTGTAATAAGAAATCTCTCCATTAGATCCTAATTTGAATTCCAGCATTACAGCACCTCCCCTAATGATCACACTCTTACTCGTTTGACGTGTAAACGGTCAGCTTCAGTCTTGGATAAACACAGACGTGTAGCGTAGACGGTCAGCCCAGGGATGCGAAGCAGCTCCATAGCTGTGCCAATCAGGCTTGCGGTAATCACATAGTTGACAAAGAACGCCCCATTATCAGGAAGAAAGACACACCTGGAACACCAGCAGACAGGTATAAGGAAACAGCTACACAGCAAGCAGTATGGAGTAGTATTGAAAGTACATAATTACAGTGATATGTAATTTGGGAAGATATATGGTCCAGGGTAATAGGACACATATTCCCAATAGCAGAATTGTTATTAAGACGCAACGAAAAAAAATCTACCTATGTTGCTGGCACTCAGCTGTTTGGGGTGCAGGTATCGGTCAACCCCCAAAAGGTAGCCTTACAAAAATATTTAAATTCAAATGATGCTGCACTCTCTTAAGCAGAAAGGATTTGAGGAAAAAATTACAACAAACCACTTTTAAATAACAAACAAGATATGCTGTCTTTGGATTGTACAGTCAAGACAAACTAGGGACTACTCTGTTTTATGGACAAGCCTGAGGTTGACAAAATGCAGAGATGTACCATCAACATTTGTCCAATCCCAGCAGCCATCACAAGTGACAGCTGTGGGATACCAGCATCATTGTATGGGGGCTCCTGCATTCTTGCAGGAACCGCCATTGACCTCAGTGCTGTACTCTTTCACAAGCGCAAGATTACAGCACTGACTCTGGTCCTGTCAACAGAAGCTCCAGGAGTTGAAGAGGACCTATAAGAGGAGAATGGCAGAAGCTACCAGGGATAGCTCGAGGTAAGTAAAACTTACCTTCCTCTGCTCCCTATGGCCACTGGACCCTGATTGAATTTGTAATTTTCTAGGGTATTTTCTAAATATGCTGTGAGTTTGCCTCAACACAGGATATCATCAAAACAATTGCTTTATGTGCCACCAATTCTGTGAAGCAGTGAAAATATTAAAAAAAATGTACAAAATATTATTAAATCAGCATTACATCCAGTTGGAGTAACATAGCCTTCCTTATCAGAAATACATTCCATTGAGCACAATTACAAAGGAATAACACGTTAACATTGAAGTAATTATTGCAGAGATAGGAATTTGCACAAGAAAGATAAATCTATATCTGTAATACTTTGTAATAGTTTTTTTCCCAGTCGAGATGTGCATTTTTGCTTAGAAAAAAAATTGAAATAAAAATGTAATTCTTGTTTTTTTTCCCCCTCAATATAAATGACTGTCCTTAATTAAAAGGTTGTTAAAACCATAATTCCTCCGAAGGAACTACTCTGTTTGTTTAAATAATGCTAGGGGCCATACAAGGGACAAGCGAGTCCCAAGCGTAGCTCCGGATCCGAGCCATCCAGAAGAGTAGAGGTCACCAGAGAATTGTGAGAGTTATTGGAAATTCCAGGGTTTCTAAGTTTGAGTGAGGTCCATTTATGCATTTTTTAAAACAAACTGTGTAGTCCCTTCGGATGACTGTGTGTTTTATTTTGTAAGTTTTTAATATTTTCACTACCTCACACAAATGGCGGCACATAGGGCAATTGTTTTGATATCAACCAGTGTTAAGGGAAACTTATAATTGGTTTGCTGTATTATTCACCAAAAATCTTTTACGAATACCCTTGTAAGAAAAATCAACAATTATGCATGGTTGGCGGATATTATTTTGCATGAGAGTGTATGGTATCATTTGACTTTAAACAAGATGCAACAGAGAGCCCCTCTCAGCAGTAACACATACGTACTGGAATTTCATGTTCGCAGAATCCAGAAAATGATTATCAAATAACCAGCGAAAAAACAGATCCAAGCTGCAATGAAAAAAAAAAAAGAAATAATTTAGGAGATTATGGAGCGAAAATTAGGGAGGTATATGGCCAAATCTTAAATGTACAGGTGAATACAGAATAAAGGGGTGCTGTAATTAGGCAGAGGGAAGGGACACGGTTTGATAGAGGAGAAAGACAGCATAGAGGGAAGTCAACTTCAAGGAGGTTGAAGAAGAGGGAAGTGGAGGAGAGCACGAGTGAGAAGCAGAACGAGGAGGGAAGTCATTAAGTAGAAAGAAGGACAAGGGAAGTGGGGATACAGAAAGCAGAACATGTGGCTGTGCAGGAATGCAAGTTGCTGGGTGGAAAGTACCTGGTCAGACCCAGAGAAGGCAGGATAATAACCATGAATACGAGGAAGAAGTAACACTTGTGCATTGTCAGCCGATTCTCATTAGACCTAGCATCAAAACAAAACTAAAGCACTTTAGATAAAATAATTAAAATGAAATGTAAATTATCCTTCAAATCATCTTTTAGCCGATGAGGTTAAAACAAGGTAATTTAAAGATGCATTGGATGTATTCAGCACTACCAGCCTAAATATTAGCTTGCAGGTTTTAGAATGGATCAAATTATTTGTAGTTTAGATTGGTTGCTACTTACTTCACAATAATATATTTCTGTTTTTGTGTAAGATATAGGGGATGATGTTTAAGGAAAGGGGTGGGGTTGATAGAAAACCATAGGGGCCTGTTATGGGTGTGAGAGCGTTACCTGGTCCAGTGGCACTCCAGGAATGCAGAGTAATAAACCAAAAATGGGAGGCAGACGGAGAACATCCACAGAAGGAATGTGGGGAGGAACTGAGTGATCACTGGATTCTGTGAGAAAGAGAGTGAGGGTAACCGTGAAACCGGAGAACAGTGAGAGTGAGACATTCAGGGTGGGGGGGGAAGAATGAATGGAGTGTAAGATGGGGAACATATTTGGGAAACATTGTGAACAGGAGATGAATGGACAGACAGCAAGAGTGAGGGGGAGATGAAGGTTCAGACAATGAGAGTAAGGGAGAGATGAAGGGTAAGTGTGTGGGTAAAGGGTGAGTAATAAGAACAGACAATGAGAATATGGGAGGAGGGAGAAGAACATAAGATGGTCTGAGTGACCGGCAGAAGACAAGGCAAGAGTGAGGGGAAGTAAAGGATAGATGGGGGACACCAGAGTTGTCAACAAGATACAAAGGGGTAGATAGCAGAAGAAGCCTGTCAAGGGCAAGAATACCCCAAACACTCCTCACATGCAGGCTTTCCACTGGATTGGTGACATTGAATCTGTCCATGGTGCTCACGATGACAGCAGGTGTAGTGAGAAAAAAGAGGAGCAGGAACAAGGCCAAATTCAACGCTGCAAAGCGAAGCCACCAGACCGTCCCAGTCACCGCCAGATTCTCCCTGTTGGGCACAGTGTTCAAAGTAAAAATGATTAGTGTTATACGTGTAACATCATCAGTAAGATTCACATATTATCAGGAAAGATCCTGCCGACAATGTGGTCAGAGTTTGAGGTATCGTACCAAATGATATCAATTGGTGCAGGAGCGTATTGCACTTCCCACTGGTGAGACTGTAGTATCGGCGTGACCGAGGATTGCTGGGGGGCCCGGCGGCAATGGGGGCGGCTGTAATCCTGTATAATCCTGAAAGGAGGGAGAGCCATCACAATTAGATTAATTCCACCCAAATTGCCAGTTACAGAAATTCAACTAATTTCTATTAGGTTACATTGTTCCATCTCTATTTTGCTTAAATCTCCTCCTTAACAATAACCATGTCTGATAATAAAGATTTGGCACCTCACACATATTTTTTCTGACTGCTAGAATTCTACTAACTATCAGGATACTAGTAATGCTAGTAGTAAATGGATTTCTTCAACCACAGCGATTAGTTAATTAAATTTCTTCTGGTAGACCTAAAATTCTACATACAGCTGGGCGTCACAATTAACGCACCCCCCAATAGTGTATGGAATGTAAAGCTTTCATGGAAAACGTGGTTGAAGTAGTAATGCGAACGCTATAAGTAGGAGAATGCATGTGGCGTATTTGATGCAGCCGGACAGTGATAGAGATGGGAGGTTTCTTCACAGTAAGCTGCCTGCAGTTTACAGAGTTCTAGCCACGTACACTGCAGTCATTCTCTCATCCTGGAAGGTAATAAACGCCATCCCCAGTCTCTTTAACATGACCCGGTTCCGTTCAGCAGTAAACTCATCAGTCAATTTCTCCTCCAGCTCTGCGTAATACTGTTCAGCTTCTACCTGGAGACATCAGAGAAATGGCAGAATCTCTTATTTCCACATTCAACAGAGATGCACACAGATCACAGAACATGTGGGTCAATGTTAGATTGGGAGCAGTGAAGAAAAGAATGCGCAATGAACGTAAACCGAACAACCACCAGCACTGGGTGAACTGGAGAGACCAGAAATTAATTACAAGAGAGAAAGGAAATAAGAAGGCTCATATCCAGTGACAGCTCAGACAGACACACCAGCCCACCATCCCTCCACGATTTAGCCTCTTTCTCACCTGTTTAAAGCCCCAGCAGTCACAGCGACACAATCGAGCAAGTGGGTGAGTTTTGATCATTAGTTTTCCTTCTTTTTGAGCTCGTCCAGCAAAATACATGCGTCCATTCATAGCCTTGCGCCTGGGGAGAGACAAACAGAACACATTAAGCTAAGAACGAGCGCTAGACTTGTGCACGGCAGGAGTGATCCTTTTGGACAAATAATTTTTCCCCATTTTTGTTCGACACACTCTTTCCTGTAACAGTTCGACTTGGCTCAACATCGTTCATGAAAACTATTTACAGAAAACATTTAGCCAAACTAAAAAGGGCATGAAAATGGGCCAATCTGTGAACTGCAATGCAGACTGAAAGATTTGCTATAAAAATATAATTTTACCATTGAGTTCAGCGATCAAGTGGGAAAAAGTAACCAATAGAGAAGAGGAGGAGTGGAAGTAAAATAAATAAATAAAATAATAATATTAATAATAATACAAAAATACTAAAAGAATCTGTATTTATATATTCTATATGTTTGCTAAATATATAATATAATTGTGATGAGACCAATCTCGCCACATTGCATTGGAGGAGCCTGGTTGCCCATCTGCTGCCTTTGGATTATGGACCGGCAGCTAAAGAGTTAATTTTACTGAAGGATTTATTTCTCCCTTTCTGCACAGCCGTTCGGTAGATTCTATCTACCGAACAAACAGTTTCTTTTCAGCCTCCCCAGAGCCGTGGGAAGCCGGCCTACGACCTTAATTGGCCACCCAGAAGCTGGAATGTGCCCTCCATTTACCTCCCTGAAGCCGCGGTTAACCGCGGCTTAACGAGCGTGTGCCGGCAATTGACCACCCAGTAGCTGCGGTTAACCGCAGCTTAATTGATTGTTACTGGGTGGTCGCGGTTACACTTAGCCGCCACACGATGGCGGTGTTCTGGAGCTCCCCGTGCAGCCAGCGCTTTTCTGCCCGGCTTTCCTGCACCAAACCCGGACACTTTTACGTGCAGGCACCGCTGAACCTCCAACCCCTGGTTCTAATTCGTACGGATTTAACGAACACATGTAAATTCTGTATTTTGTGTTGGGGGAATGTTTTAACCCAGATAGCCATGCCATGGAGCCTGTTCGTGGAATTAGAGACTTTGGCTCCATGGCAATTAAACTGTATTCGTGTGGTCTGAGTGCCATTCACCTAATAATGTGCACTCAGACCTGAGCTATCTGGGGATATGTTACATGTATATATTTACTGTACCATTTGTCCCATTATGTATTTTAAAGTGATAGTCTGTCTTTGTGTCCCCACGTGTGTAATGGAGTTTTGCCTTTGTCCTGGGAGATAATTGAATTACTTCTCCAGGGCAGAGGGGAGGAAGCCAGGATGCATTTTGGGAATATACTGTGACTGTGTGTCCTATTTGTCTACTTGTCTGTCTTTTGTCACAGTCTCCCATTTGGTCCCCTAGGGGAGTGTCCACCAGGTGAGAGACCTGCATAAAGTTGATGGGGCAAACGGTATATAATCACTTGAGTATGTGCCCACCAATAACCCCACATATGCCAACTTTGTGTCGCTCACCTCTCTGAGTCCAATTTTATCAGCCTCCTGACATCAAAGCAGAACTGGACATCAGTCACCGTGCAGCTGGGGTATGCCTCACTGTGACACAAACATTGGTTTAGTTACAATCACTTCCAGCTGTCAAACAAGAGGCAGTTTTGCTTAAGGTAAAATCACCCTACTTCTGCGGGGAGAGAATTTGTTCCATCCACTCAGATGAATTGGTGCAGCCATTAAATTTGCTGTTTAGTCAGTCCTCTGGTATGGGTTGTCCCCTGTTCTTCCTATCTTACATTGTGAATTATTTTACGACAAGTTTAAATTAATACAAAAGAAAGAACTCACTGGAAATGTTTAATGAGAAGAGAAGTATCCGAGATCTCCTGGGGAATATGACTGACCATCAGCGTTCTTGCCACCTGCAAAATAAAACAAAACATGTAACCATATGTCCACAGACTGCACCCTGATAGCTTAGTGTTTTCTGTGCCACACTATGACTCATAGCATAATAAGTTGTGTTGGCCCATTGTTAAACAGGATTTACTTTTTGTATGTGACCAATTGGTACAAAATATTTATTTTTAAGTGGAATGCATGAGGATGCCACAGAAGGGATCAATTGTTGCTGGACTCTTACCTTGTCATCCTCCTTGTAGTGTAAAGAGGCCGAATGATGCCGCATACTCAGAGCAGTGAACACAAAGTACAGAAACGCAAACACACTGTGCACCCACAAAAACCGGTCCCTGAGGATTACATAAAGCAAGTTACAGGAGCAAGTTACAGGAGCAAGTTATCCAGCCGTAGGTTATCCGGGGTCAAATACACTCATACTCACTGTGTGGGAACGTTAACAATGGTGGCACGACCAAACTGAGCCGGACTGTGACCTGCAGACACAGAGACAAAGTGACAGCTTGTGATTAGGTTGGAGCGCTTTGAGGTTATAATGTATAAGTGTAACAAAAGATATGGGTATCTGAATATGTGGACAACATGGCAGTAATGTGGATGACTGCATATGTGGTCTTATGGGCAACATGGCAGTGATTAAAATTAACTGAGGCACTGGTATTTATTTGTGTCTGACTTGGTTTTGTAATTAAAGGGAGACTGCAGTCTGAAACAGGTTTAGTGTATAAATCATGCCTCTTAGCATCTAAATTGCAAAAAATTAGATTTTAATCACTTTTGTTTATGCAGCCCTCGTCACACCTCCCCTGGTTGTGACTGAAACAGCCTAAATGAAATCAACTGCATAAAAAAAAACGTTTTTATCTTCTGCTCTGTAAATTGAACTTTAATTACATACAGGAGGCTCCTGCAGGCTCTTGCAAGTTATTAACAGAGAAGATGATAAGAAATTCTGAATACAACAGAATTTGCAATAAAGGAAGTGCACACATTAGATCTCTATTTACAGGAAGCGTTTAGGAAGGCTGTGTAAATGACATGCAAGAGCTGCATAAACAACGTTATTTTACTCCTAAATGGCAGAGAATTGAGCAGTGAGACTGCAGGGTATGATCTATACACCAAAACGGCATCATTAAGTAAAGTTGTTTTGGTAACTATAGTGTCTCTAACATATTCCATTTGTCAAGAAAAGGATAACACAGAGAGGAGTCCAGAGGAAGCATAGCAGACCCCAGGTAAGTTGTCAATTTATTCTTAAATTGTTTAACAACTTACACTGGTGGTACCGGGATACACCTGGCACTATAAGCATTACAATACGTTTTAGTGCTTAAAGTTTTCTTTTAACAGCTGCTATTCTTCCAAACTAGGAGGTGCGCCTATGACTATTTGTGAAGGTATTTCCACAAAAGTGGAAGTTTTCTATTGTATAGGCTGTGCAATAAATTGGTGACTTTAATTCTTAAAATCAAGGGATAATCTAGCCACCTGTCAAACTTATAGACCTCCTGCAACTGTAATATGTGAGGTCACCTTCCTAGTATTGTCTTAGGCTTGGCAGCTATTACCAAAACCCCACTACGTTAGAAGTAATCAAACATAGAAGCAATGGGTTTAGTCTACTAGGCCAAATGTTTGTGAATGTCGTGTGGGACCAGGTTTGGGCAGGATGGATATATGGGCAGTTACCATTTCTGTCAGGAAAGAGCTTTTAGCTTGACCTTTGCACTTTCATTGAACATAGGTACTATATTAAATCATTAATGTATGTATACAAAAAATATCAAAGGTTTCTGACAGAGCCTTAAGAGTCATACTCACCCAGCAGATCTCCAGAAAAGTTGATTGGCAGAATGATGGCCACAGACAGAACACAAGCCAGCAGCAACAACACAAGGAGGTGGCGCTGATAGGACAGGTATGTGATTGCATCTGCACCACATTTGCTTTGGATCTCCTCATCCCTGTGAATGGAAAGAGTGTTGCAGTCTGAATCTTCTCCTTCACGTTTCAACACCTATCATCATCTAGGCCCCTAAATAATGCTCCTTTAACTAAGACCTCCTAACCTCACACCTTTCTCCAATAACATTGGCTTATCACAGCCCTCCCTCAATAAAGAACTCTTCCACATAACCATATCCCAAAATAATGCATCCTAACTTTACCTCTCCCCAGATAATTAACCCCTTCATATTGTTGTAGAATTATTAGGCCTCTATAAAACTGTAAGGCCCCTTTAAATCCTCTTGCTATACCTCTAAGAGGCCCCATAGTTTTACAAGAAAGCTTTGTCTATAGAACATAGAATTTGCATGTCAGCAAGAAATAGCTTTGATAAAATGTGTATTTACTAAAAGCCTTGAAACCTAACCTTGAGAAACTAACAGTGCCAGCTACACTCTAAATGGATAGCTGCCAAAAGGCCCCTCCCGTCGAGTGAGCTCCTCATGTTAGCAAAATGGCGCTAAAACCTGGAGGAGATAATCATGACGAGGATAGTGACCTAGGATGGTACACCCCATAGGGAGGGCATTTTACTAACTACTTAGCACCTAAGCCAATTAACAATGTCTATTTGTCTATATCTTGATTTTCTTCAATGATGTAATAATGCCTTTAAAAGGGCCTGCGAGCCTGCTTTTTAAACAGAAGCCATTAAACTTCTCCGAAGTTCTTTCATTAACCTGAACTCTGTGTCTCAGTGTGAATTTACTTCTGCGTGCACGCAACTTTATTATCTTTAATTTGGACAGGAACAGATAGTCATTCAAACTAATTGGTTTGCAGTAAATCAACTACAACAATATGAGCCCCCTGAATTACTTAATTCCTAAAAATAAAGTCCTTCATCTTGCCACTAACGCGAATCTCACACATTAGCAAAACTTCCCCTTCACTTGACTGTCCTAAACCAACCCAAAGATCTCCTGACATCCCCCTTTAACAATAATAACATGCCCTTTTCTAGAATTTCTCAAAATTTCCACACTCGTTACAATAATATTACACATTAGAGACTAACAAACCTTACAATTCTACCTCAATAATGCTCCCTTGTGTTGAAAACAATTAAAACATTAATGTGACCTTCTCATCTCACTATGCGTAGATCTCAACCTGGACCTATTTCAAACCATGTGCTCCCAAGCCCTGACCCCAAGGGAGGTTCTCACTTTATCTGGTAGAGTGAACTCAGCCAGGAGCAGAATCCCTGTAAGCAAAAAGAAAGGAAGAGGTTTTAAATGCTTGTTTATTAGTTTTGTTGTGTAGTAGATATGTTTACCGAAACCATCCATCCAATGTTTCTTCTTTGATATCCTGCCTAAAACATAAAACACTAAATCTTTGTCTAGTTTATTCTCAGGAGTACCGAGACCACTTAGTTCAACTCAATCTCAAATATATTTCCTGGTGTGCTAACATCATCCAATTAAGTAGCATTCCTTATTTTCTATACTGTATGGTAGAGAAAGTCAGTTCACCACAGCAAGACCGCTACGCTGATTTTCCAATTGCCATATCAAGATAACCAACTTGGCATAGCTCACTCATGTATATCAAGAGCACCAAACTGGCTTGCCTCCTTTCCAGGTATACCAAGATTTTTTAACTGAAAAAGCTGCCTCTTTGGTACATCAAAACAACTCAAAAACACTTCTCCCTTTCTGGTATACCATGAATACCAACCTAAGAGTTCCCTTCCCGGTCTTCCACGAATACCCCACCAACAAAATGTTCTCTCCAGTATACCAAGAATACCCAACCAATAAAGTTCCCTCTCTGTTATACCAAGAATACCCAACCAACAAAGTTCCCGGTTCTGTATACCAGGAATATCCAACCAACAAAGTCCCCTCTCCATTATACCAAGAATACCCAACCAACAAAGTTCCTGGTTCTGTATACCAGGCATATCCAACCAACACAGTTCCCGGTTCTGTATACCAGGAATACCCAACCAACAATGTTCCCTCTCCATTATACCAAGAATACCCAACCAACAAAGTTCCCTCTCTGTTATACTAGGAATATCCAACCAACACATTTCCGTCTCCATTATACCAAGAATACCCAACCAACAAAGTTCCCGCTTCTGTATACCTAAAATACCCAACCAACAGAGTTACCTTTCCTGTATACCAAGAATACCCAACCAACAAAATTCTCTCTCTGTTATACTAAGAATATCCAACCAAGCATTCCAGAAAAAGCATTTATTGATATAAAACAATAAAATCAGGACATATATTATTTATATTCAGGACTTATTGCATATTGCGGTAGTGTACGTTTTTCCTTAGGACACTGCTTACATATGTCCTGACTTTATTGCTTTATATCAATAAATGCTTTTTCTGGAATTGCTGTGGATCTCCATCTGAGATATCTCCGTAGCCAACCACTGGCACCCTTATACTGATTTTATAGAGCCTGGCACACCACTATATTTGTGAGTGAAATGTTATATTTTATTTCCATTATACTGTTGTTATACAGATTTCACTATGTGTGGTTACATTTATTTCTGATAGATTCTATGGGAGATGCAAAGTTGTAACTACAGAAAGTGACTACTGGGAAGTATATATATGTTTCTCACTATAAGTGTTACACTGAGTGTTGTATACATTTGTGGTAGTGTCATAATTACCAGAGTTGTTGTTCTATTGTAAGGTGACTGAGAACACCTATATCTATACACACCCTATAAGTGTCCTGAAGCACCTAGACACCTTAAACTCTTTGAGTATTTGTTTGTGTTTAAAGTTCCCTCTCGGTTATACCAAGAATACCTAACCAACAAAGTTTCCGCTTCTGTATATCAAAAATACCCAACCAACAAAGATCCCTCTCCTGTATACCAAGATTACCCAACCAACAAAGATCCCTCTCCTGTATACCAAGAATACCCAACCAACAAAGATCCCTCTCCTGTATACCAAGAATACCCAACTAACAAAGATCCCTCTCCTGTATACCAAGAACAACCAACACAACTCACTCATGGATCTTCTCTCTGATGTAAAATGACTACCCAACCTTACACGGTTTCTTTACACAGCTTACCAATAACCCTAGACCCAACAAAAAACAAAACAAAAGCAAAAAAAACCCTCTCCATTGTTTACTCGTCAACATACAAACAGTTCTAGCCCCAGGACAGGCACTACTAAACACAGCCTACCATGTTTCTGTTTACTCACCCCATCTTTACTTCTCAGTTCTGAAGGGCTCACTTCACAAGGGGACTTTTCCTTGTCACTTGGCTCACCATAAAACAGGGAGGTAAGACTGTGTGAGGAGAACAGACAGGATTAATACGGAGGAAGACACTAGTAATGGGTATAGCACAGAAAGATGGATAGGACGTAATTACTGCCACTTGGTCCCTTATACCTTTTAATTTCTACACCAAAACCTCAATTACTTTAGTAAACCTAATGTTCATGCCTCCACCAGTTCATCCACCATAAGACTTAAACATATTGTCCCTTCACCACAGTCCAACCCATTCCCCTCCCCCTCTCCAAACAAAGACATTACTCGTATGATGTGAATCTGCGGCGCTGAGCAGGGCTGGGGAGAGAATGGACAAGTTAAGGGCGGGCGTCATGCTTTATATATATATAAATATTTATTTATTACGAGTTAAGGATAGAGCAGCACATTGCACTGTGTACATAAACTTTGTATCAACACATTTTGTAAAGCAGCACATCCCATGGTGTATGGAAAGCATTGCAGCACATCCCATGGACTATGGAAAGCATTGCAGCACATCCCATGGAGTATGGAAAGCATTGCAGCACATCCCATGGTGTATGGAAAGCATTGCAGCACATCCCATGGTGTATGGAAAGCATTGCAACACATCCTACGGTGTATGGAAAGCATTGCAGCACATCCCATGGAGTATGGAAAGCATTGCAGCACATCCCATGGTGTATGGAAAGCATTGCAGCACATCCCACGATGTATGGAAAGCATTGCAGCACATCCCACGGTGTATGGAAAGCATTGCAGCACATCCCATGGTGTATGGAAAGCATTGCAGCACATCCCATGGTGTATGGAAAGCATTGCAGCACATCCCATGGTGTATGGAAAGCATTGCAGCACATCCCATGGTGTATGGAAAGCATTGCAGCACATCCCATGGTGTATGGAAAGCATTGCAGCACATCCCATGGTGTATGGAAAGCATTGCAGCACATCCCATGCTGTATGGAAAGCATTGCAGCACATTCCATTGTGATTGGGATTATCAGAAGCAGTGTATTATTACACTGTGTCTAGGATCACGGTCAGCACATTTCACTGCATCCAAGAACACAATCATCAGCTCGTTACATTGTATTAAAAAATGAATCCGCTCGTTACACTATATGTAACAACTCATCAACATGCTACACTGTATGTAACAACTCATCAACACGCTACACTGTATGTAACAACTAATCCACACATTACACTGTATGTAACAACTCACCCACACATTACACTGTATGTAACAACACATCCACACATTACACTGTATGTAACAACACATCCACACATTACACTGTATGTAACAACACATCCACACATTACACTGTACAGGGAGTGCAGAATTATTAGGCAAGTTGTATTTTTGAGGATTAATTTTATTATTGAACAACAACAACCATGTTCTCAATGAACCCAAAAAACTCATTAATATCAAAGCTGAATATTTTTGGAAGTATTTTTTAGTTTGTTTTTAGTTTAATTTAAGTTATTTAGTTTAATATACATTTCTGACATTCAAAAACAAAACAAAAACAAATCAGTGACCAATATAGCCACCTTTCTTTGCAAGGACACTCAAAAGCCTGCCATCCATGGATTCTGTCAGTGTTTTGATCTGTTCACCATCAGCATTGCGTGCAGCAGCAACCACAGCCTCCCAGACACTGTTCAGAGAGGTGTACTGTTTTCCCTCCTTGTAAATCTCACATTTGATGATGGACCACAGGTTCTCAATGGGGTTCAGATCAGGTGAACAAGGAGGCCATGTCATTAGATTTTCTTCTTTTATACCCTTTTCCTGCCAGCCACGCTGTGGAGTACTTGGACGCGTGTGATGGAGCATTGTCCTGCATGAAAATCATGTTTTTCTTGAAGGATGCAGACTTCTTCCTGTACCACTGCTTGAAGAAGGTGTCTTCCAGGAACTGGCAGTAGGACTGGGAGTTGAGCTTGATTCCATCCTCAACCCAAAAAGGCCCCACAAGCTCATCTTTGATGATACCAGCCCAAACCAGTACTCCACCTCCACCTTGCTGGCGTCTGAGTCGGACTGGAGCTCTCTGCCCTTTACCAGTCCAGCCACGGGCCCATCCATCTGGCCCATCAAGACTCACTCTCATTTCATCAGTCCATAAAACCTTAGAAAAATCAGTCTTGAGATATTTCTTGGCCCAGTCTTGACGTTTCAGCTTGTGTGTCTTGTTCAGTGGTGGTCGTCTTTCAGCCTTTCTTACCTTGGCCATGTCTCTGAGTATTGCACACCTGTGCTTTTGGGCACTCCAGTGATGTTGCAGCTCTGAAATATGGCCAAACTGGTGGCAAGTGGCATCGTGGCAGCTGCACGCTTGACTTTTCTCAGTTCATCGGCAGTTATTTTGCGCCTTGGTTTTTCCACACGCTTCTTGCGACCCTGTTGACTATTTTGAATGAAACGCTTGATTGTTCGATGATCACGCTTCAGAAGCTTTGCAATTTAAGAGTGCTGCATCCCTCTGCAAGATATCTCACTATTTTTGACTTTTCTGAGCCTGTCAAATCCTTCTTTTGACCCATTTTGCCAAAGGAAAGGAAGTTGCCTAATAATTATGCACACCTGATATAGGGTGTTGATGTCATTAGACCACACCCCTTCTCATTACAGAGATGCACATCACCTAATATGTTTAATTGGTAGTAGGCTTTCGAGCCTATACAGCTTGGAGTAAGACAACATGCATAAAGAGGATGATGTGGTCAAAATACTCATTTGCCTAATAATTCTGCACTCCCTGTATGTAACAACTCACCCACACATTACACTGTATGTAACAACTCACCCACACATTACACTGTATGTAACAACTCATCCACACATTACACTGTATGTAACAACACATCCACACATTGCACTGTATGTAACAACTCATCCACACATTACACTGTATGTAACAACACATCCACACATTGCACTGTATGTAACAACACATCCACACATTGCACTGTATGTAACAACTCATCCACACATTACACTGTATGTAACACATCACACTGTATGTAACAACTCATCCACACATTACACTGTATGTAACAACACACCCACACATTACACTGTATGTAACACATCCACACATTACACTGTATGTAACAACACACCCACACATTACACTGTATGTAACAACACATCCACACATTACACTGTATGTAACACATCCACACATTGCACGGCGCTAGCAATTCATCAGCATGCTACACTATGCCTTAGAGCAGGGGCAGGCAACCTTTTAGTAGTACTGTGCCAAAACAAGAATTTGAAGTCTCTTGGCGTGCTGATCCTATTTTTTTTAAGGGTGTATGTTGCCGCATTCTGTTTGTTATTTATCGGTGCGGCAGTTGCTTTGAAGCGTTGTATTTGTGCGGATGTGATGTGGGCTGTAGTATTTTATATATGTTCATGAGTAGTTTGTGTATTGTGTGTGATACCTATGGATGTGGGCTGTGTATGGAGGCTGCTTGTGGAATTTTGTATGTGAATGATATGTCACATTGTGTGTTTGTTGGTGTGTGTATGTGTGGGGCTGCTTGGGCTATTGCATGTGAGAGGCTGCTTGTGGGGTTGTGTATGTGGATAAGTCTAGTGTTGTGTTAATGGAGTCTAGACCACCACCTCATACGGTCTCTGTGCGTTACACTGAGTAAAAAGATGGGTCACACAACGAAGACATAAACTGGGCAATACAGAGGGGAAGATAGAGACTGGTCTAACCTGTCATTGTCGATAAGCAAAGCTAGACGGCCGTAATCCCATGCAGACTTCCTCAAACATGAAAAGACCAGGAGCAGCAGCTGGAGTGAAAAAGACAGACATAGTGAGCCAGTGATGACACATCCTATGGATTATATGTCCTTCTACTAAGCAGCCATATGGATTATGTGTCCTTACACCAAGTAATCCTGGGGTATGAGGGTTCTGCGTCCTCTCACTGAGCTCAATAAGGGTGGTTCTATGTTCCTTACAAAGGTTCTAGAGGTTTCAGTGACAAACTTAGATAAGAAATTGCTTGGTTTAACAGACAAAAATGCACCAAAACCATTATATTTGTAGGAGTTGTGGTGCACAGATGGTGCCTCTTTTCTTGGTCAACTTAAACAATGGCATTTCTTAGAAACAACAATGTTTACGTTAATCCTGAAGACCTTAGAAAATCAAAGGCCTTCACCCTCGGTATCAGCACGCGCCGCATGATAATGCAGATCTCATACAGAAGCATCAGATCGGGCAAAGATAATCAGTTACGATCAAAAGAGTGGCTGCTGAGAGGAGTCGCCCCCACCCCCCACCGGCACTGGATTAAAAGTTGTAGAATGACATTATTTCATTTTAAATATATTTAAAATAGGCAGGCCTTTAATCTAAAACAAAAAAAAACGCTTATCAACATTTATTTTTGACATATTGTTCATTGTAATGATTCAACAGCTCCATCTTGTGGTGGAAAAGTATGTGTGTTGGCCATTTCACTGATCAGATAGCTTTGAGGACATTTCAGTACACAATACGAAGAGAACTGCTCTGATTATCTTTCTTTTTTAAACAAATAGTACTTTATTGCTGAATAATTCAGAAAACAATTCTAAAGAACAGATTCACAAACGTCACCAGAACTCATATTGTGTGAAACGAACAAAAGATATGGCAACAGCTTTCAACATTAAGACAGACACGACCCAGCTCTCTGTAATCCATTCAATACTTCCTTAAAACACTTAAGATTTATCAGTCACGGAGATAAAAAAGATCACTTGTTTGGTATTCCCTGCAGCAAGAGTCTGGAATGTTGTCAAGAATCGTCATTGGAGAGAATGAGGTTATATCAATTTGTCTACATTTTTTTTTAATAACCTAATAGTGTATAAAAATAGAATTCTGTAATAGAATTCCTGGTTGATTGATTCATTTAATACAGGAGAGATCGGTTTCGATTATTGATCGTTTGTTCATGCTGACGGGCAGCACATTGCCTTCATTCATTTCTTTATCTCATGCAGTGGATGGATGGATGTTACACACTACAGGGCAGTATTTGCATTTTTCCTTGGTATACCATCTTGATAGAGAGACTTATTCCTTCCTCCAATATATGAATTCTACACATTGCAGGGTAGTACTCCATGGACTGACTAAATGCATGAGCAATGTGCATGTCACAAAATAAAACCAAAAACACAACCAAAAAAAACCCATGACTTTTGCAACCCTGGTTTCAACAGGAACATGCTTAACTAAATAAAAATGTATTTACTTTAGTTTGTATACAGTTTAAATATAAAGAGAAAATAACAGGGACGTCCACTAAAGTGAGAAATGTTGACAATTCAAAGTTCATTTAAAATGTAATCCAAATGTAGTTGAAAAAGACTGTAGTTGGCTTAGACATTTTTTCAGTTCAGCCTTTTTGTATATCACAAAACACGAGAAAATACACACACACACACACACCTAGATCGGATGCATTCATAGGACTAGGTGGATGGTAGGATGATACATAGGACAGGGCTGGGAGAGCGTGTATGTGTGTGTGTGGAGGCTGCTTGTAGTGTATGTTTCTGGGATTGCTGCTTATTGGAGTGGTGTGCCCAGGGGTGCCTGCTTGTAGTGCTGTATGTTTCTGGGATTGCTGCTTATTGGAGTGGTGTGCCTAGGGGTGCCTGCTTGTAGTGCCGTATGTTTCTGGGAATGCTGCTTATTGGAGTGGTGTGCCTAGGGGTGCCTGCTTGTAGTGCTGTATGTTTCTGGGATTGCTGCGTATTGGAGTGGTGTGCCTAGGGGTGCCTGCTTGTAGTGCTGTATGTTTCTGGGATTGCTGCTTATTGGAGTGGTGTGCCTAGGGGTGCCTGCTTGTAGTGCTGTATGTTTCTGGGATTACTGCTTATTGGAGTGGTGTGCCTTGGGGTGCCTGCTTGTAGTGCTGTATGTTTCTGGGATTGCTGCTTATTGGAGTGGTGTGCCTAGGGGTGCCTGCTTGTAGTGCTGTATGTTTCTGGGATTGCTGCGTATTGGAGTGGTGTGCCTAGGGGTGCCTGCTTGTAGTGCTGTATATTTCTGGGAATGTTGCTTATTGGAGTGGTGTGCCTAGGGGTTCCTGCTTGTAGTGCTGTATATTTCTGGGAATGCTGCTTATTGGAGTGGTGTGCCTAGCGGTGCCTGCTTGTTGTGCTGTATGTTTCTGGGATTGCTGCTTATTGGAGTGGTGTGCCTAGGGGTGCCTGCTTGTAGTGCTGTATGTTTCTGGGATTGCTGCGTATTGGAGTGGTGTGCCTAGGGGTGCCTGCTTGTAGTGCTGTATGTTTCTGGGATTGCTGCTTATTGGAGTGGTGTGCCTAGGGGTGCCTGCTTGTAGTGCTGTATGTTTCTGGGATTACTGCTTATTGGAGTGGTGTGCCTAGGGGTGCCTGCTTGTAGTGCTGTATGTTTCTGGGATTGCTGCTTATTGGAGTGGTGTGCCTAGGGGTGCCTGCTTGTAGTGCTGTATGTTTCTGGGATTACTGCTTATTGGAGTGGTGTGCCTTGGGGTGCCTGCTTGTAGTGCTGTATGTTTCTGGGATTGCTGCTTATTGGAGTGGTGTGCCTAGGGGTGCCTGCTTGTAGTGCTGTATGTTTCTGGGATTGCTGCGTATTGGAGTGGTGTGCCTAGGGGTGCCTGCTTGTAGTGCTGTATATTTCTGGGAATGCTGCTTATTGGAGTGGTGTGCCTAGGGGTTCCTGCTTGTAGTGCTGTATATTTCTGGGAATGCTGCTTATTGGAGTGGTGTGCCTAGGGGTGCCTGCTTGTTGTGCTGTATGTTTCTGGGATTGCTGCTTATTGGAGTGGTGTGCCTAGGGGTGCCTGCTTGTAGTGCTGTATGTTTCTGGGAATGCTGCTTATTGGAGTGGTGTGCCTAGGGGTGCCTGCTTGTAGTGCTGTATATTTCTGGGAATGCTGCTTATTGGAGTGGTGGACCTAGGGGTGCCTGCTTGTAGTGCTGTATATTTCTGGGAATGCTGCTTATTGGAGTGGTGTGCCTAGGGGCGCCTGCTTGTAGTGCTGTATGTTTCTGGGAATGCTGCTTATTGGAGTGGTGTACCTAGGGGTGCCTGCTTGTTGTGTTGTATGTTTCTGGGAATGCTGCTTATTGGAGTGGTGTGCCCAGGGGTGCCTGCTTGTTGTGTTGTATGTTTCTGGGATTGCTGCTTATTGGGGTGGTGTGCCTAGGGGTGCCTGCTTGTAGTGTTGCTTTTTGGGCAGTAGTAGAGGAATAGGGACTTTAGCGGGGTAGGGCTATAGTGGGAGGAAAGGGACTAGTGTGGGGTGGCCCGTGAGTATAGTTGGAGGAAAGGGGCTATAGTGTGATGACAGGGGTTATAGAAGGGTTATTTTGGCTTTTGTGGTGGAATAGGGGCTATAGAGACTATTGGGGGTGGATAAAGTTGGGTGACTGGCTCTAGTGTTGTGACAGGGGCTGTTTTGAGAAAATAGGGGCTGTAGTGGTTGGATAGGGACTGTTGTGGTGTTGGTAGAGGGTATAGTTGGGTGACAGGCTGAAGTGGGATGACAGGGGCAGTAGTGGGGGAACAGGCCCTGTAGTGGGGGTGGGAGAAATGGGAGAATATTTTTGGGGTAATAACAGTAGGATAACATCCTTGTGCCCCACTATAGCCCCTGAAGAATCTGTTGTGGGGAGTAGGGGCAACATTTAGTGCTGCATTTAAGAAAGAAAAAAACACACATTAAAAAAATAAAAAAAGTCAAGTAACCCATTTCACACTGCATGCATATGAACTGCATGGTACCGTTTTCAAGTCTTTCTGTACAAAGTATGGACATCCAGTGTATCGCACAAAAAGATGGCAACCTGGTAGCTCTGTATGTGGCACACAATTCTGACATTTATTGTAAATCTGAGAGGAGCACTCCAGGCACTCATAAGGGGCAATATGTAGCTTGCAAGTCATTTTGGTGGTAGGGCTCTAGGGGTATCTTAAATAGCATTGCTACAGTGATCTACAATCTTTTCTTTTAATAATTTCTCTCCATAAGACACCATTTCTACCACTCACTTCCAAAGTGCAGTGATTTCATTTGTTTTCCTCCAAAAATACTGTTATACATGAGTCTACAGTCAACAATTAAAGCATGATCCTATACACGTGTGTTCTTTCCATAACTGATCAATTACAGGATAAACTCAGTAGTGCTATACATAGTTAAAGTAACATCTAAATGAAATTGCTATAGTGCCAGGAGGCCCCCGGACGCATTATTCCCTCAAAAGGTTAAACTTGCTAAACGCTGCAAACTCACTAGTTCCTGCCCTATGGTAAAAAAACAGAAGATTCCCACTAAACAACATTGGTTGGAACAGGTTGAGAAGATTAAGGCTGCTGAACACATGGCGGCCTCCTTGCAACAAAGCGCTTAAGCACACTGAACAACGGGTGCCATGGGATGTCTACATGTCCAGAAAAGGGGGACTGCAGGAGTGGGTGATAACAGGGAGACTAATATAGGGATCTAGGGATGAGTGGATAGATAGACAGACAGACACATAGATAGATAGATAGACAGACATACACACACACAGACAGAGAGTTAGATATACACATAGATGGATAGATATACATATGGATAGATAGATATACACATAGACAGATAGATAGATAGATAGATAGATAGATAGATAGACATACACACACATAGATAGACAGACATACAATAGATAGACAGACAGGCATACACATTGATAGACAGACACATACACACAGACAGACACATTGATAGACAGACACACATACAGACAGATCGATAGACAGACACATTGATAGACAGACAGACACACAGACAGACATACACATTGATAGATAGACAGACACACAGACAGGCATACACATTGATAGACAGACAGACACACAGACAGGCATACACATTGATAGATAGACAGACACACAGACAGGCATACACATTGATAGACAGACACACAGATAGACAGACACACAGACAGACATACACATAGACAGACAGACAGGCATGCACATAGACAGACAGGCATACACATAGACAGACAGACAGGCATGCACATAGACAGACAGACAGGCATGCACATAGATAGACAGACACACAGACAGACATACACATAGACAGACAGAGAGGCATACACATAGACAGACAGACAGGCATGCACATAGACAGACAGACAGGCATGCACATAGATAGACATACACATAGACAGACAGACAGGCATGCACATAGACAGACAGACAGGCATGCACATAGATAGACAGACAGACATACACATAGATAGACAGACAGACATACACATAGATAGACAGACAGACATACACATAGATAGACAGACAGACATACACATAGATAGACAGAAAGACATACACATAGATAGACAGAAAGACATACACATAGACAGACAGACACATAGATAGATAGACAGACACATAGACAGACATACACATTGATAGACAGACACAGACACACAGACAGACATACATATTGATAGACAGACACATTGATAGACAGACATACACATTGATAGATAGACAGACAGGCATACACATTGATAGACAGACACACAGACAGACAGACACACAGACAGACACACATACACATAGACAGACAGACAGGCATACACATACATAGACAGACAGACACATACATAGATAGAAAGACAGACACATACATAGATAGATAGACAGACAAGATAGATAGACACACATAGAGACAGACAGACAGACACATAGATATAGATAGACAGCCAAGACAGATAGACAGACATACACAGACAGACAGACACACACACACAGAGACTGACAGACAGACAGATAGATCTAGAGACAGAGTTAGAGAGGCGTTGGAGGGTTGAAGATAAAACACCACAAAAAAAAAACAAAAAAAACCCCCACATTGGCTATTTCACAAACCAACCAATAAATATGTTTATTATTTTCTTAATTTAAGCATTGCTCAAGGTTCTGGATCCTAGCCTTTTACATTACGTACCCCAAGGCAGTGTGCAGTCCTAGAGGTTTTAAAAAATTTAATCGCCTTATTCATTGTTTCCCGTTTTCAAAAGAGATTTTAAATAATGTAATAACTTTGTTTCCAAGGTAATAAACAGACGTTTTGAATTCTCTAATAGCAATACACATTCTGTTTCCGATGTACTGAATGTTGTACCAGCCTTATTCATTGTACAGTCAGAGGTTACTGGAACGTAATGGAACTTTACAAATAAATATGAAGGCTCAAGGGAAATATTGCTTACCAGCCAAGCCAGGAAATTGATGGCGAGAACAGTGGGTACTCCTCCAAATGGCAGTCCCTCCAACACTGTACTGTGTGAGTGTGCCTTGTAACAACGTTCCGTCACATTCCCTGGGGGATCATCCACGACCCTGGACCTATGTGTGATGTCCATAAAGAAGCTGAAAAACAAAAAAAGGATATATCTTAATACCAAGAAGCTTGATGAAGTTCTTTCAGTGTATAGATCACTCCCTGCAGTCTCGCTGCTCAATTCGCTGCCATTTAGGAGTTAAATAATTTTTGTTTCTGTTTATGCAGCCCTAGCCACATATCACCTGGCTGTGACTCACGCAGCCTGCATTTAAAAAAATAAATAAAATGTTTTTTTCTACCAGATGTTAACTTCGTTTAATCATGTGTGAACAGTGTATATACCTATTTTAAAAAAGTATCTCCTGCTCTGTAAATTGAAATGTAATTACATACAGGAGGCTCCTGTAGGGTCTAAAAGGCTAATAACAGAGCATGAGATAAAAAATACTAAAACAGACTATGCAATATAGGAAGTTTAAATATTAGATCTTTCAGTACAGGAAGTGTGTAAGGATACTGTGTAGGTCACATGCACGGAGGTGTGGCTTGGGGCGGCACAAACAAAGATTTGGAGGCAGTGGCAAGTTGTTGCAATGGAGACATTAATCTGGTACATTTATTTGGTTTAATGGAATAAAAATATTAATTTCCAAAGTTTTTAAAGTCTATAGTTTTCTTTAAAACGTTCAGCATGTTGAGATTATTTTATTTTTTTCTAAGCAATATTATATTTTGTACAGAGCAGGTTATACAAAGAGACACATTTTGCAAATTACAGATCCACTTTATAACCATTTGGCCCCCAGTTAAATCTTTAAAAAGATCCGGAATGCTCTATGGATTGCACACACACACTTCCCCCTAGGCACAGTGTCCGCTTGCTACTTTAAGAGTCTCAAACTCAACATACTCAGAAGCCACTTGCCAAATCGTGTTCTCTCATGTGGGCTGTTGATTCATGCTCTCAGAGGCCCACATACAGAACCATATTTCTAGATGCTAGCACAAACACAAATCCATACTTCCAGACACATACTCTGCAGCACTAATCCTGTAACTGCTGCATTAACTGTGCATCCACTGCATTAATCATTCACTGCATGCTATTAACTTTAAACCTGGTGAATTAGCCCCATCCCAGGTTCTCAGGGACAGCTCTGTGAGAACAAAGAGCCCTCCTTCTCAGAACTCTTAGGTAAGAATGTTGCTCATCCACGTTACAAAAAACTGCTGGGAGGTCAGATACCAGTCACCTCACAGCCAACTTATGGGTTGCATGAAGGTAGCTACAAGCCTAGAAATGTCCCATGGCTTCACAAACAGAGACCTATGCTCTAATCAAGACCATGTCACAGGTTGTAACAGGGTTGATTTTTCAGGAGGGATAAGCCAAATAGCAAACGATTAAGGTAAACTAGATAAATAGCCAGAGCTATGGCAGCTGACATTTAATGTGGATAAGCGCAAGATAATGCATTTTAGGCATAAAAACCCAAAGGCAGAGTATAGATTATTTGATAGAGTCCTAACCTCAACATCTGAGGAAAGGGATTTAGGGGTGATTATTACTGATGACTTAAAGGTAGGCAGACAATGTAATAGAGCAGCTGGAAATGCTAGCAGAATGCTTGGTTGTATAGGGAGAGGTATTAGCAGTAGAAAGAGGGAAGTGCTCATGCCATTGTACAGAACACTGGTGAGACCTCACTTGGAGTATTGTACGCAGAGACCGTATCTCCAGAAGGATATTGATACTTTAAAGAAAATATAGAGAAAGGCTACTAAACTGGTTCATGGATTGCAGGATAAAACGTACCAGGAAAGGTTAAAGGAACTTAAAGGACCACTATACTGCCAGGAAAACAAACTTGTTTTCCTGGCATTATAGGGTCTTTAGGACCCACTCCCCCACTCCCCCCCACCCTCATGACTCCCCTCCCATCAGGCTGAAGGGGGCTGAAGGGGTTAAACTCTTGCCTTTGTCCAGCGCCGGGCTCCCTCGGCGCTAGGGAACTCTCCTCCCTCTTCCGTCAGCTTTGAATGTGCATGCACAGCAAGAGCCGAGCGCGCAATCAGTCCATAGGAAAGCATTTCTCAACGTCAGCGTCTTCTCACTGCAATTTTCACAGTGAGAAGTGCGGAAGCGCCTCTAGCAGCTGTCAATGAGACAGCCACTAGAGGCTGGATTAACCCTAGTGTAAACATAGCAGTTTCTCTGAAACTGCTATGTTTACAGCAGGCAGGGTTAATCCTAGATGGACCTGGCACCCAGACCACTTCATTGAGCTGAAGTGGTCTGGGTGCCTATAGTGGTCAGTTAACATGTATAGCTTGGAGGAAAGACGAGACAGGGGGATATGATAGAAACATTTAAATACATAAAGGGAATCAACAAAGTAAAGGAGGAGACTATATTTAAAAGAAGAAAAAAATACCACAACAAGAGGACATATTTTTAAACCTTTGCCCCTCTACTTATGATTAATATCAGGAAGTATTACTTTACTGAGAGGGTAGTGGATGCAAGGACTAGCCTTCCAGCTGAAGTGGTAGAGGTTAACACAGTAAAGGAGTTTAAGCACACGTGGGATAGGCATAAGGCTATCCTAACTATAAGATAAGGCCAGGGACTAATGAAAGTATTAAGAAAATTGGGCAGACAAGATGGGCTGAATGGTTCTTATCTGCCGTCACATTCCATGTTTCAGATTCCTCCCTTCTCTCTGGCCAAAAGTTTTCAGGTCTGAGCTAAGCAGCAATTTCAGGAAAGCCAAAGGAAGGTCCTAGTAGGGAAGGCGTGGTGCGGTACCCAGCAGGAATTAGATAAGAAGTCAAGCTACTCTGAAAAAATGTGTGACCACTTACACTGGGGGGTGCAATGGCACTCCTGGCACTATAACCACTATAGAATGATGTTGTTATGATGGATGATTTAACAAAATAATTATATATATATATATTTATTTTTTATTCTTTATTTTTTCTGTGCACCAGATAATACAAAGGGTCATGATGCCACGACAGCATAGGTAAACCATGATAACAGTGAAGGGTATGGACGTGGCGTGATACAGTGGCACAGTTTTTGTAATACTTAACATTTGAATAACATTGTTTGACAACAAAGGTTTGCAACTGGGCTTGTAGTCAAGCCTATATGTTCAAGATATAACATAACAGTGATACAAGGCTAGAGAATATGCGAGTCAAGGCAGTAGTTGAGTCAGCCCAATAAACTTGTCACTTAGGAGGGTTTAGTAACCCGGTCAACTTCATAGTCGTGTCGTTGGTACACAAGTTGAATGTTGTCCTGGTCGCAGATGGTGGGGTTGGTGAAGGGCACCTTGGGTGGTGTGCTCTAGTGTAGTTGTGGTGATCGTTCTTTTTCTTACACCTTCCCCTCCCTTCTGTTGTTAACTTCCTTCCTGTCATTCCTCCTCTCCCCACCACCTGCTATCATATCTTGTGACCTTGAATGCCATTTGCGAGCTTCTCTGTGCGTTCTATTTGTATATAACGTATTTGTATATAATGGGCCCTCTGTAAGGAGGAGGGCTTAAGTGAAAGTGAGTGAGAGAGATGACGAAAAGAAGGAAGTAGGGGAGGCGCGCGGGGGGGAATAGACGGGGGAGGTAATCCTAGCTCCGGGAGGGCGGGAGAGTCGAGCGCAGGGGGATATATATATATATATTTTTTTTTTATTTTTTTTTTTTTAAAGTAGGTGAATTTATTTAGCAAAAATGCCTCCTGCTAGAATAAACCAGAATGAATTTTGTATATTTTCTATGTCTGAAATACACACACCGTTTGGATAACCAAAATGAATCTCACTGGTAACAATGTTAGTTATAAAGCAGTAGAGAGACAGTGAAGCAATCACCATGGAAACCCACGATATGTTTGTGAGTGAAGATTGGTTCTTTTTACTAAAGTGCCCTTTATAAATAATCTTATCTGCCTCTAAACAAAACAGAAAGCGAGATGCTCATTTTGTGAAACCAGCGGTAAATGTATAAATCAATTCAGTAAATATTAGAACTGTTTATTTTCTCAATCCTTTATTTGGGTAAGTGGATTATAAAACAGGAGGGATAATATCCAGACTTATAGAAAAGAGTAGGTGGTCACAGGGCAGGGCATCTGCAAAGCCTCTTAATGCTAAAAGAACATGGCAGCAAGGTTTGGGTTTGCAAAGTTGCATCTTAACAAACCAAGAGACTTCTGGAACAAAGACCTTTGTACAGACGAGACCAAAGTGGAGATGTTTTGCCATAATACACAGTAACATGTTTGGCAAAAACCAAGCACAGCATATCAGTTCAAATACCTCAAACCAACTGTCAAGCACAGTGGTGGAGGGGTGATGAGTTGGGCTTGTTTTGCAGCCACAGGACCACATGATCTCCTCTATATACCAAAGTATTCTAGAGTCAAATGTGAGGACATTTGACGGACAGCTGAAAGTGGATCATGTAACATGACAATGATCCCAAGCACACCAGCAAATCTACAACAGAATGGCTGTAAAAGACAAAAATCAAGGTGTTGCAATGGCCCAGTCAAAGTCCCGACCTCAACCAGAATGAAGTACTGTGGCAGGACCTTAAAAGAGATGCGCATAAACAAACGCCAGCAAACCTCAATGAACTAAAGCAACGTTGTAAGAAGAGTGGATCAAAATTTTTCCAAAACAATGTGAGAGACTGAGAAAGTCATACAGAAAACAATAGCTTCAACTTATTGCTGCTAAAGGTGGTTCTACATGCTCTGGAATCATAAAGTGTAATTCGTTTTTCACACACGCCTTCTCCCTTTTGGTTTTATTTTTGTTAGCTATAGAATGACACTGTGTAATATGTCATGTGCTGTTGTTCATCGGAGGTTGTATTTACCAAATTATAAGACCTGCTAAGGAACAGATAGTTATGTCAAGATATATGAAACTATATAATTCAAAGAGGTTGTACTTTCCTTTTCCCCATGACTGTACATTTCTACTAACTGCATCAAAGAATGCAATTACGTTAGACATGGCCTGTCTTTCATGAGATCCTACGGTTTCCTGCAAATTATATTTTTGTTCAAATATGAATATGAATTCTTGAAATTTTTACTTAACAGCCCTTCAAGTAATTTCCCAATCACATATGTTAATCTTGTGAGCCTGTAGTTTCTGGGTTGAGCTTTGAACCCTTTTTAAATATAGACACCACATCTGATTTTCTTCTTTGGCACAATTCCTGAAAGAAAAAGAACCTGAAAAATTAAAAATAGTGGTATAGATATTTCTACACTAAGCTCCCTAAGCACACTTGGGTGAATACCCGAGGCTTTGTTTACATTCACTTTTTTAATTTCTGAAACACTTTATCCTGTGTTAACCAATCACCTGTTTGATGTAAGGCTTTTGTAACAGGGACTCGAAAATTTACAGCCATATATTCATCTTCGCTATATACTGAAGAAAAAGAACTTTGTCCTGATCCTCCTGGATTACGTTATCCATCTCACTTTCCAAAGGACCATCACCGCATTAACGTAGTTAAACTTTTTGGGGATGGTCTTACTCTCTTTGGCTATGAACTTTTCATTTTTAAGTTTAGCCTCGCTCTTTGCAAGCTCTATTGGCACGCTTATATTTGTTATAGGATGCAATCAACCCCTCTGATTAAGGTGCTTTGAAAGCCCCTTTCTTATCTTTTATCATTTGACTGACCCTTGTACTAAGCCACATTGGTTTTCATTTGCTTCCATTATATAATGGTATCTATTGAGAAATTTACTTTTGTAGAATTGGTTTAAAGACTTTCTATTTATCCTCTGTGCTTTTGTTATTGAATATATTTTCTGCCAATCCGTTGTAAAGATGCCCTTAGCCTATCAAATTTAGTCTTTGAGTTAATCTCAAATGATACAATACTATGGTCACTATTTCCCAAGTGTGAAGATCCAGACAAGCATCCCCTCTACTTGGCCTTCTACCAATTGAGAGACGAAATTATCATGTACCAGGTTCAAAAATCTGTTTCCCTTAACTGTACTACTAGTCCCTCTGGCCCTATATGGAACAGGAGTAGAAATGTATATCCAGTTATGTAGTTATAAAGCAGGGTATAGAGTTTAGGACAAGATGGAATGTGCTATATGGAGTTGTAGAAGGAGTTACACTAGTTGGGTGGTAATAGAGCAAATTATACGTTGTAAACAGGTTACTAAAAAAGGTAAGTCTCCAGATGTTTTAATCTAAAACGTTGATAATGCCTAGCCCCTCTATTGACTGGCAAAAAATCATGGGATTTGTAGGTCTATCTTTTGGGCACTCCTGGTGTAGAAAGAAAAGCTAAATATGAATATAGCATCCACTGGAACTGGTGCCCAGCTAAGCACTGAAGACAGGAATTGACTCTACAGCTAAGCAATCAGAGGCAAAATTAAAAAGATCTCCCTATGCACCATCAAAAGTTAAATTTTTATATTATAAAGTTGGCAATGCAGAGAGGAAGATCCTGCACCCTCTATCAGATGTGAGAGTGGCTTAGAAGTCCAGAAATTTCAAAAAGATCATTAATCACTGCAGTTCTAACCAAACCTGCACTCACAACTTTGGCTGAGCTCTCTCCCTTACCATGACAGCTAAACCAGGTGCCGATAGGTGCACATAGACCTCATCACCAAAATAGTAAACCGGGCTGTGTATAAACTGTATAAGCAGTTGAAATATGGCAACGTATCATATAAACTCGGTGATTACGTGACAAGAAAAGTGGAAAATGATAGGTTCCACAGATAAGAATGAGACACCGATATGCCTACTTCCTGGGTAGCCATCATTTCTAGAAGCCCACTGAAATTTAACATAGGTCTGAGATGCATAATGCCTCATTGCATTACCATCCAATCACCCATCACCACTGTTGATGTCAGGGCAGATATAACAATGTAGAGAGCCAGGCAGCAGAAAGGAAGTGACAATTCTACATGGGGACAGGAAGGAGAGAGGACTTAAGCGGAGAAGATGTTTCATATGGACTAGTGGGACAAACGTCTTTACTAACATGGAGAAAATATGGAGGAGTGGACTGATGTACAAAGAGGAGCTATATTAATTTTTTTTTTTTTTTTAATGGATACGGTCATTGAAATAGAGACTAATGTGATAGGGATAGGAATTGACAAAGAATGGTTAAAAATGTTACTGACAGTGTGATAGGGGATACAGATACGGAAGGGGATGATAGTGAATTATGATATAGAACTGTTAAGATTGAGATACAGAGAAAACAGTCAAATGGGAATCTGGTGGGAAGGTAGAGATACAGAGCAAGGAAGTGGATGTAATCAATGGAGGGGTCTGGGCGGACCTGTGGTAGAGGACATATTTAGGGCTTTATTAAAAGGGGACTCATGGAAGGACGAGAGGCAAATATATTAATAAGCAGGAACAATACTTGAGAAGATGGTCTGTGGTGATTAGTTAACCAAAACATTTTAATAAAGAGGGTTTGAAGGTGAAGAATAAATCTCCCTCAATAATATACTGAAAAGTTGCCAAGCCTGTGGGGCCCAAGGACACTGCCCAGCATGTCCATGCGTCAAGACAGTCCTTCTCACAGAGAGGTTATAGCCTGTAAAGGTTTATAGAGCAGTTTACAGGTTGTATCCTTATAGAACTGCATATAAGGCAGATTCATTATATGCTATAGTAGCTTACATAGCAAGGCATATGTAGCACTAGTAAGAAGTATTTCTAAGAAAGGGTTAAATAACTACTGTGTACATGAAATGGCAGATACACCCAGAGGGGTTACTAAACAGTTTTTTTACAGCATTCTGATCTAGAAAGGTGCTTATAAAAGGGATGAGAAAGAAGCTAAATGGGTTAAATTGGGCATGATAAATGTAGTAATAGCAGAGGTCATATCCAATCGGTGTAAGCACTTATAAGGGTATCAGAATACTGACCAAGCTAAATGGATCAGGTATTAAACCATGGGTCACTGAGCTGTAGGAGGGGTTATCAGACTGTGTGTACAGAGCAATAAGACTGTGGAGCAGTGTATATGAAGTAGTGTGTATTTGGGGATAGATGAAACAATAGGAATTATTGGGTAGTAGAGAACACAAGTGGTGTAAAGGGTTAGTGGGCAGGCCACAGAAGGACAGAAGGGCTGTGTACAGAAAAAGTGCAGTGATTTGGGCTGTGTCATTATACATTGCTGCAAGTAAATGCAACTTGGCTCCCTTCCCACTATACATAAACCATTACATCCCGGATAATGATATGCCCTCTGATTAATCCAGGATCCTGCCCCTTTTATCTTAATACTAGCTGGCAAATAGCTCCTGAGAGCATCCTTTTAACCTTAAAGGACCACTATAGGCACCCAGACCACTTCAGCTTAATGAGGTGGTCTGGGTGTCAGGTCCAGCTAGGTTTAACCCTTTTTTTCTATAAACATAGCAGTTTCAGAGAAACTGCTATGTTTATAAATGGGTTAATCCAGCCTCTAGTGGCTGTCTCATTGACAGCCGCTAGAGGGCTTCCGCGTTTCTCACTGTGATTTGTGAATGCTTTCCTATGGTCTGGCTGAATGCGTGTGCAGCTCCTGCCGCGCATGCGCATTCAGCCGAAGAGGAGGAGAGGAGGCAGAGGGAAGGAGGAGAGCTGGAGAAAGAGGTAAGTTTAACCCCTTCCTCCCCCCAGAGCCCGGCAGGAGGGGGACCCTAAGGGTGGGAGCACCCTCAGGGAACTATAGTGGTCCTTTAATAATGACAGCTCCTGGGATCGTGCCCTTTACCCCAATAATAACACTGCTCCTGGGAGCATCCTTTTAACCTTAATAATGACCGCTCCTGGGATCATGCCCTTTACCCCAATAATAACACAGCTCCTGGGAGCACTTCTTTACCTTAATAATAACACAGCTCCTGGGAGCATCCTTTTAACCTTAATAATGATAGCTCCAGGGATCGTGCCCCTTTACCCTAATAATAACAGCTCCACGGAGCGCGCCTTTACCTAATAAAATGGCTCCTCGGAGCATGCCCCCTTACCCTAATAACACAGCTCCTGGGAGTGTGCCCCTTTACCCTAATAACACTGCTCCTGGGAGCGCCTCTTTACCCTAATAATAACACCGCTCCTGGGAGTGCCCCTCTACCCTAAAAATAACACCGCTCCTGGGAGCGCCCCTTTACCCTAATAATAACACCGCTCCTGGGAGCGCCCCTTTACCCTAATAACAACACCGCTCCTGGGAGCGCCCCTTTACTCTGATAATAACACCGCTGCTGGGAGCGCCCCTTTACCCTAATAACACCGCTCCTGGGAGAGCGCCCCTTTACCCTAATAATAACACCGCTCCTGGGAGCGCCCCTTTACCCTAATAATAACACAGCTCCTGGGAGTGCCCCTTTACCCTAATAATAACACCGCTCCTGGGAGCGCCCCTTTACCCTAATAATAACACCGCTCCTGGGAGCGCCCCTTTACTCTGATAACACCGCTCCTGGGAGCGTGCCCCTTTACCCTAATAACACCGCTCCTGGGAGCGTGCCCCTTTACCCTAATAACAACACAGCTCCTGGGAGCGCCCCATTACCCCAATAATAAAACAGCTCCTGGGAGCATCCTTTTAACCTTATTAATGACTACTCCTGGGATCATGCCCTTTACCCCAATAACAACACAGCTCCACGGAGCGCTCCTTTACCTAATAAAATGGCTCCTCGGAGCATGCCCCCTTACCCTAATAACACAGCTCCTGGGAGCGCCCCTTTACCCTAATAATAACACCGCTGCTGGGAGCGCCCCTTTACCCTAATAATAACACGGCTCCTGGGAGCGCCCCTTTACCCTAATAATAACACGGCTCCTGGGAGCGCCCCTTTACCCTAATAATAACACCGCTCCTGGGAGCGCCCCATTACCCTAATAATAACACTGCTCCTGGGAGCGCCCCTTTACTCTGATAATAACACCGCTCCTGGGAGCGTGCCCCTTTACCCTAATAACACCGCTCCTGGGAGCGTGCCCCTTTACCCTAATAACACCGCTACTGGGAGCGCCCCTTTACCCTAATAATAACACAGCTCCTGGGAGCGCACCCCTTACCCTAATAATAACACAGCTCCTGGGAGCGCCCCATTACCACAATAATAAAACAGCTCATGGGAGCATCCTTTTAACCTTATTAATGACTACTCCTGGGATCATGCCCTTTACCCCAATAACAACACAGCTCCACGGAGCGCTCCTTTACCTAATAAAATGGCTCCTCGGAGCATGCCCCCTTACCCTAATAACACAGCTCCTGGGAGCGCCCCTTTACCCTAATAATAACACTGCTGCTGGGAGCGCCCCTTTACCCTAATAATAACACTGCTGCTGGGAGCGCCCCTTTACCCTAATAATAACACTGCTACTGGGAGCGCCCTTTACCCTAATAATAACACAGCTCCTGGGAGCGCACCCCTTACCCTAATAATAACACAGCTCCTGGGAGCGCCCCATTACCACAATAATAAAACAGCTCATGGGAGCATCCTTTTAACCTTATTAATGACTACTCCTGGGATCATGCCCTTTACCCCAATAACAACACAGCTCCACGGAGCGCTCCTTTACCTAATAAAATGGCTCCTCGGAGCATGCCCCCTTACCCTAATAACACAGCTCCTGGGAGCGCCCCTTTACCCTAATAATAACACCGCTGCTGGGAGCGCCCCTTTACCCTAATAATAACACGGCTCCTGGGAGCGCCCCTTTACCCTAATAATAACACCGCTCCTGGGAGCGCCCCTTTACCCTAATAATAACACCGCTCCTGGGAGCGTGCCCCTTTACCCTAATAACACCGCTCCTGGGAGCGTGCCCCTTTACCCTAATAACACCGCTCCTGGGAGCGTGCCCCTTTACCCTAATAATAACACAGCTCCTGGGAGCGCCCCATTACCCCAATAATAAAACAGCTCCTGGGAGCATCCTTTTAACCTTATTAATGACCACTCCTGGGACCATGCCCTTTACCCCAATAACAACACAGCTCCTGGGAGCGCTTCTTTACCTTAATAATGACAGCTCCAGGGATCGTGCCCCTTTACCCTAATAATAACAGCTCCAGGGATCGTGCCCCTTTACCCTAATAATAACAGCTCCACGGAGCGCTCCTTTACCTAATAAAATGGCTCCTCGGAGCATGCCCCCTTACCCTAATAACACAGCTCCTGGGAGCGTGCCCCTTTACCCTAATAATAACAGCTCCTTGGAGTGCCCCCTTACCCTAATAACACCGCTCCTGGGAGAGCGCCCCTTTACCCTAATAATAACACCGCTCCTGGGAGCGCCCCTTTACCCTAATAATAACACAGCTCCTGGGAGCGCCCCTTTACCCTAATAATAACACAGCTCCTGTGAGCGCTTCTTTACCTTAATAATAACAGAGCTCCTGGGAGCATCCTTTTAACCTTAATAATGACAGCTCCTGGGATGGTGCCCCTTGACCCTAATAACACAGCTCCTGGGAGCATGCCCCCTTACCCTAATAACACAGGTCCTGGGAGGGCGTCCCTTTACCCTAATAATAACACTGCTCCTGGGAGCGCCCCTTTACCCTAATAATAACACCGCTCCTGGGAGCGCCCCTTTACCCTAATAATAACACCGCTCCTGGGAGCATGCCCCTTTACCCTAATAATAACACTGCTCCTGGGAGCGCCCCTTTACCCTAATAATAACAGCTCCTCGGAGCGACCCTTATACCCTAATAACAACAGCTCCTGGGAGCACCCCTTTACCCTAATAACAGCAGCTCCTGGGAGCACCCCTTTACCCTAATAATAACAGCTCCTCGGAGCACCCCTTTACCCTAATAATAACAGCTCCTCGGAGCGCCCCTTATACCCTAATAACAGCTCCTGGGAGCGCCCCTTTACCCCAATAATAACAGCTCCTGGGAGCGCCCCTTTACCCTAATAATAACAGCTCCTGGGAGCGCCCCTTTACCCTAATAATAACAGCTCCTGGGAGCGCCCCTTTACCCCAATAATAACACAGCTCCTGGGAGCGCCCCTTTACCCCAATAATAACACAGCTCCTGGGAGCGCCCCTTTACCCCAATAATAACACAGCTCCTGGGAGCGCCCCTTTACCCCAAAAATAAAACATTGCTATTTATCAGAAGAATAAGACAGCTCTTGTGGGCATGCCCCTTCACCCTAGCAGTATGAAGACAAGTCATGCCCCTTTATTCTAGCAATAAGACATTTCATGCCCCTTTACCCCAGCAGTAATAAGACAAGTCATGCCCCTTTATTCTAGCAATAAGACATACCATGCCCATTCACCCTAGCAGTAATATGTCAGCTCCTGGGATCCTGCCCCTTCCCCCTGTATTAAATACACAGAACTCCCTGACAATGTGTCTGCACCCCAGCAATAAACAGCCAGCACACACATAGTAGGAGACATTCAATATACGATGGACCCAGCCTCAAAAACAAACACTGCACCTGCACTACCAGATCCCACTCCCAGCCTATCCTCCATATCCCCCCCAAATACACCGCTATCTGGAATAATCCACGGGGTTAACCTCTCACCTGCCGGCTTGCAGCATCCCAGCTCCCCAAGCAGACAGGGACCGTCAGCAAGCTCCCAGTCAGCCTGTGCAGTCCCTCCTCCCTGACATCAGTAGCAGGGCTCTGCCTCCCGGCAGGGGAGGGGCTCATAGAACACACCACCTGTCCACATTATCACCATCTGCCTTATTATAAAGGGACAGGTGGTGTAAGACAGGGGTTATAATACACATCAGATCTCACCTGCTCCCCTTATAGCCCCCACACCAAACAGCCACCCATCACAACCCAACATCTGACCTTTACTATCCATCAAAGCTCACCACCATACACCTCCCTGTATAATCCATCTCCCACCACCAGGGGGTGCAGGGTGGTCCATGATGGACTATTTAAAGAAGGGGATATTTTGGGTTACTAGGAAGGTAGCAGGGGATATGTGATGGGAAGTTATTACCCCTCATAATAAACTACCTGCTCTCTTTATGGTGATATAAGAAGGGTAGGTGGTCTAGAGTGGGGTATTATGAGAAGGTCCAATTTTTGGTATTAAGAAGAATTCTTGGGGTTTGCTATGGGGACTAAAAGGAGAGAATGTGATCGAGAATGTGGCAGATTATTTTAAGGACCCCCTGTCCAATTTATATTCCCACTAGTACACTGATCTACTGAGCACTTTCTCTCCTATTTGAGCACTTGACATCTATCTCATATTACTAGTTTCTATTCAATTTAATTTGATGTTCCTTACAGGTATACTTTAGGCAGTGTATGGTGTAAGAGACTCACGTTCTCCTTTATGTGTGTCCGGCCAGACCTACCATACCGCCCGTTTCCATTACAGTAGGCAGTATAGGTTCAACATTGGGGTATCTACAGAGCGCTGTAATCGGGATCTATTACGTTATTGATGGCTAGTATCCTGACTTGTACTATTAGTTCGATTTAACACTGCCGTTCACCTCCCCAAAGGCTCCTTTACACCCTTTGCGAACAATTGATCTTGGAGCTCCCACAACCATAGGAAGTCATGTACAATTTACCCGCCGGGGTTACTCTTATTAAGTAACATTTATGTGTGCATCTACATGCACGTTGTTCCATCAAAGGGCTCACGATATATATTATCCTATAGGTTACATTGTATTTCCTATAGTTGACGATTCTTACTCAATGTCGCTGGCAAAAGAGACTTTGTTACAAAGAAACCGTTAACAACAGTCTTTTTTACCCTAATAGTGGCAACTATATATATTGTGTGACTACTATATATATATATATATATATATATTGCAGATCAGCGGATGTACCCTTTTTATTTTAATATTTTTGTAAATATCACTGTATATACTTTATTTTGGTGATAGTTCTTTTCTCCCTAAGAGGGTTTAATAAACATTTATTATTGTTTAGTTCTATTTAGGCTCTAGGATTAGCAATTCATTGCTTTATACTAGTGGAGCAGTCACATTCAGGGTATAGAGACTGCACTTGGGAGCAGTTTTTTAGTTAACCCATTTCAGTCTCTTCTCTATCTATTATTATTTTGGGTTATGCCCTAATGCCCTTCAACCAATACATTCTTGATGAGTGATCGTTTTTGTACTATTTTTATTTTGTATCAATGTGTGTACGGTTAATTTGTTTATATTTTCACCTGTTAATGCTGGAGGTTAGAGTGAAGTTTTGTTAATTTACTAATAGTTAGTTTGCATTACTTGATTAAAGTCTGAGCAACTTAATGACCATTATTGGTTGGTTGGCCTCTAGTTACAGCACTGTGGATTGGGCATATATTTTTGGAATTTGGCCGGATTTCTCTTTTTTCTGTCCCCATGTGACATAGGCTGTTCATTCCATTACTTACCACCGACAATAATACTAAAAGGTCCTATATAGAAATAAAGATATGCAAATAAAAAACAAAGTACAGAAAGTGGGATTTAATATTGGAAGTGGAGATAAAGGATCACTAAAATGAAAAACAAAACAAAAAACATAATTAATAATCCTTAAAATGCAAAACAAATAAAAATAAATCAGTAATAGCATGCAATTAAAACATGTGCCAATGTGTTAATAAAGACAGTGAAAAAAAATAAAATAAAAGCAAAAATAGAATAAAAGGTTTCTCGATGAGGGGCTCCATCCTCTGGGGTATTACAGTGCTGTGGCCCCATTTCAACGGTTTCCAGCTAACATATCACGAGATACATTTTATTTTGCTTCTTGATTGCTGGACACCAGTTTTAGGTGTGTGAAATACTGATGTCTAACTACACATCCCTTCTCAAAGGAGGTTCTGCACTCCATGCAAATGTAAACCTTTATTTGACTTGAATCCTCGAGAGTACACTGAAAAAGGTTCAGATAGTTATGGCATTGGCATGGAAAGCTATAATCGATCTACGGAGTCAAACAAAACCACCAAAAGTCTTAGATACATTTAACTTTCGCTTTTAACCCAGATTGGTTGGAATTTACCCCAAGAGATTCTTTGACAGGTTAGGTGCCTGTTTTCTTCCTTGAACTTCCATTTGAGAAAAAAAAAAACTTCTTTAACCACACTAACTGGTATCTAATAAGTATAGGGAGGGGTGGGGGTTAAGCCTCCTATTATTGCACTGACCTAAGTGACCTGCGGTTTTCCTTGAGCTACACCTGCGGACAACCGAAGTGTAAGGTTTTCTTATTTAAGACATTTGCGTACAGGTTGTTCGATGCAATACTGATTTTGATTAACTGTGTGATTTATTTTAAAGAGAAAAAAAAGAAGCATTCTTTGGATACTTTGTTCATACAAGAAATCACCAGCTCTCTATGATCAAGAGATTGTGAGCTGCGAATAAATTTATAAGAAAGTTAGGTTCTTTAAAGTAACACTGTCGGCGTCCAGACCACTGTAGCTCAATTAAGTGGTCAAGTTTCCATGTCCGGGTCATTTTAACCCAGCAACTGAAATCACAGCCGCTTTGCAGGAACTGTCGGCGTCCAGACCACTGTAGCTCAATTAAGTGGTCAAGTTTCCATGTCCGGGTCATTTTAACCCAGCAACTGAAATCACAGCCGCTTTGCAGGAATGGTGATGTTTTCATTTCAGGCATGCCTTTAGTGACTGCCAGGAAGAGAGCCACTTGAGGCGTTTCTGCAGCAATAACCAAGTTAAATTATTATAGCACAAATACTCTCATTGAGGAATGTGTGGCATTTTGAAATATTGATGATCTCGGTCAAAAAAAAGAGGCAGAGCAACCGCAAAGACATATCACGCCCTTTACCCTAGCAGTAAGAGGACATATCATGCCCCTTCACCCTAGCAGTAAGAAGACATATCATGCCCCTTCACCCTAGCAGTAAGAAGACATATCATGCCCCTTCACCCTCGCAGTAAGAAGATATATCATGCCCTTCACCCTAGCAGTAAGAAGACATATCATGCCCCTTCACCCTAGCAGTAAGAAGACATATCATGCCCCTTCACCCTAGCAGTAAGAAGACATATCATGCCCCTTCACCCTAGCAGTAAAAAGACATATCATGCCCCTTCACTCTAGCAGTAAGAAGACATATCATGCCCCTTCACCCTAGCAGTAAGAAGACATATCAAGCCCTTCACCCTAGCAGTAAGAAGACATATCATGCCCCTTCACCCTCGCAGTAAGAAGACATATCATGCCCCTTCACCCTCGCAGTAAGAAGACATATCATGCCCTTCACCCTAGCAGTAAGAAGACATATCATGCCCCTTCGCCCTAGCAGCAAGAAGACATATCATGCCATTCACCCTAGCAGTAAGAAGACATATCATGCCCTTATAGCCATATCATTCACCTAGCAGTAAGAAGACATATCATGCCCCTTCACCCTAGCAGTAAGAAGTAGCAGTAAGAGACATATCATGCCCCTTCACCCTAGCAGTAAGAAGACATATCATGCCATTCACCCTAGCAGTAAAGACATATCATGCCCTTCACCCTAGCAGTAAGAAGACATATCATGCCCTTCACCCTAGCAGTAAGAGACATATCATGCCCCTTCGCCCTAGCAGTAAGAAGACATATCATGCCCCTTCACCCTAGCAGTAAGAAGACATATCATGCCCTTCACCCTAGCAGTAAGAAGACATATCATGCCCCTTCACCCTAGCAGTAAGAAGACATATCATGCCCCTTCGCCCTAGCAGTAAGAAGACATATCATGCCCTTCACCCTAGCAGTAAGAAGACATATCATGCCATTCACCCTAGCAGTAAGAAGACATATCATGCCCCTTCACCCTAGCAGTAAGAGGACATATCATGCCCCTTCACCCTAGCAGTAAGAGGACATATCATGCCCCTTCACCCTAGCAGTAGGAGGACATATCATGCCCCTTCACTCTAGCAGTAAGAGGACATATCATGCCCCTTCACTCTAGCAGTAAGAAGACATATCATGCCCATTCACCCTAGCAGTAAGAAGACATATCATGTCCTTCACCCTAGCAGTAAGAAGACATATCATGTCCTTCACCCTAGCAGTAAGAAGACATATCATGCCCCTTCACCCTAACAGTAAGAAGACATATCATGTCCTTCACCCTAGCAGTAAGAAGACATATCATACCCATTACCCTGGCAGTAAGAAGACATATCATGCCCCTTCACCCTAGCAATAAGAAGACATATCATGCCCCATTCACCCTAGCAGTAAGAAGACATATCATGCCCATTCACTGTAGCAGTAAGAAGACATATCATGCCCCTTCACCCTAGCAGTAAGAAGACATATCATACCCATTCACTGTAGCAGTAAGAAGACACATCATGCCCCATTACCCTAGCAATAAGAAGACATATCATGCCCCATTACCCTAGCAGTAAGAAGATATATCATGCCCCTTCACCCTAGCAGTAAGAAGACATATCATACCCATTCACTGTAGCAGTAAGAAGACATATCATGCCCCATTACCCTAGCAGTAAGAAGACATATCATGCCCATTCACCCTAGCAGTAAGAAGACATATCATGCCCATTCACCCTAGCAGTAATAAGACATATCATGCCCCTTCACCCTAGCAGTAAGAAGACATATCATGCCCCTTCGCCCTAGCAGCAAGAAGACATATCATGCCATTCACCCTAGCAGTAAGAAGACATATCATGCCCTTTACCCTAGCAGTAAGAAGACATATCATGCCCCTTCGCCCTAGCAGTAAGAAGACATATCATGCCCCTTCACCCTAGCAGTAAGAAGACATATCATGCCATTCACCCTAGCAGTAAGAGGACATATCATGCCCCTTCACCCTAGCAGTAAGAAGACATATCATGCCATTCACCCTAGCAGTAAGAAGACATATCATGCCATTCACCCTAGCAGTAAGAAGACATATCATGCCCCTTCACCCTAGCAGTAAGAAGACATATCATGCCCCTTCACCCTAGCAGTAAGAAGACATATCATGCCCCTTCACCCTAGCAGTAAGAGGACATATCATGCCCCTTCACCCTAGCAGTAAGAGGACATATCATGCCCCTTCACCCTAGCAGTAGGAGGACATATCATGCCCCTTCACCCTAGCAGTAAGAGGACATATCATGCCCCTTCACTCTAGCAGTAAGAGGACATATCATGCCCATTCACCCTAGCAGTAAGAAGACATATCATGTCCTTCACCCTAGCAGTAAGAAGACATATCATGTCCTTCACCCTAGCAGTAAGAAGACATATCATGCCCCTTCACCCCATATCATGTCCCACCCTAGCAGTAAGAAGACATATCATGCCCCTTCACCCTAACAGTAAGAAGACATATCATGTCCTTCACCCTAGCAGTAAGAAGACATATCATACCCATTACCCTAGCAGTAAGAAGATATATCATGCCCCTTCACCCTAGCAGTAAGAAGACATATCATACCCATTCACTGTAGCAGTAAGAAGACATATCATGCCCCATTACCCTAGCAGTAAGAAGACATATCATGCCCCATTACCCTAGCAGTAAGAAGACATATCATGCCCATTCACCCTAGCAGTAATAAGACATATCATGCCCCTTCACCCTAGCAGTAAGAAGACATATCATGCCCCTTCACCCTAGCAGTAAGAAGACATATCATGCCCCTTCACCCTAGCAGTAAGAGGGCATATCATGCCCCTTCACCCTAGCAGTAAGAGGACATATCATGCCCCTTCACCCTAGCAGTAAGAAGACATATCATGCCCTTTCACCCTAGCAGTAAGAAGACATATCATGCCCCTTCACCCTAGCAGTAAGAAGACATATCATGCCCCATTACCCTGCAGTAAGAAGACATATCATTCCACCCTAGCAGTAAGAAGACATATCATGCCCCTTCACCCTAGCAGTAAGAAGACATATCATGCCCCTTCACCCTAGCAGTAAGAAGACATATCATGCCCCTTCACCCTAGCAGTAAGAAGACATATCATGCCCCTTCACTCTAGCAGTAAGAAGACATATCATGCCCATTCACCCTAGCAGTAAGAAGACATATCATGTCCTTCACCCTAGCAGTAAGAAGACATATCATGCCCCTTCACCCTAGCAGTAAGAAGACATATCATGTCCTTTTACCCTAACAGTAAGAAGACATATCATGTCCTTCACCCTAGCAGTAAGAAGACATATCATACCCATTACCCTGGCAGTAAGAAGACATATCATGCCCCTTCACCCTAGCAATAAGAAGACATATCATGCCCCATTCACCCTAGCAGTAAGAAGACATATCATGCCCATTCACTGTAGCAGTAAGAAGACATATCATGCCCCTTCACCCTAGCAGTAAGAAGACATATCATACCCATTCACTGTAGCAGTAAGAAGACACATCATGCCCCATTACCCTAGCAATAAGAAGACATATCATGCCCCATTACCCTAGCAGTAAGAAGATATATCATGCCCCTTCACCCTAGCAGTAAGAAGACATATCATACCCATTCACTGTAGCAGTAAGAAGACATATCATGCCCCATTACCCTAGCAGTAAGAAGACATATCATGCCCCTTCACCCTAGCAGTAAGAAGACATATCATGCCCCTTCACCCTAGCAGTAAGAAGACATATCATGCCCCTTCACCCTAGCAGTAAGAAGACACTGAATTCACTGAGCTCTTCACCAGAGTTCTTCAATAATTACGAGGCGTGTCCCAATACAGTTGTCCATATAGTGTGTGTGTATATATATATATATATATATAAAATTATAACACACATGCATAAATTAAGGGACTATCAGGGTGTACCCAGCCTGGATGACAGCAGTGATATTTAATAGAGTGCTAAAGTTATAGCAGGAACTCAACTGAAGATGAGATCATGCAATGGAGAGCTAATAGAAGCTAGGAAGATAGACTAAGAGAGCTGAAGAATTTTACAGAGACATGTATTGTGTGGACCTCCCTGTATTGCAGCTCTGTGTAATCCATCACAGTGATCTCCACAAAAGTGGGCAGTAGGTATTCAAAGGTTGACTACACCTGACCTATCCACAAGCAGTCCTACACTCATGAGGGGATGTCGTATCTACCTACATGTGTTCAAGACCCCATTAGCTTCTTATAGCAGATCTTTAAAGCTTGCTGATCTACTAGAAAACACAAGAATGTTTCTCCAAGGCCATGTTTTGGTTGCTTGTCTCTGGACAATCTGGGAATTCCTTTGTCCAAGAGTAAGGCAAACTAAGCGAGGAGAAGGCCGATCTTCACCATTACACTAAGCTAGAAGATAAACCTGGAAGGTCTATCATAAATTGGACAGAAGCCTATACACGATATATATACCCAAGCATATTTGTGTTATATTTCAGAGGTGTAATAATACATCTTATTACCTAGGTTTATGTTTTTTTTAGGTCTCAGAACATATGGCCCAGAATAATGTATGCTTATAAGCATTTATAAAGAACCAACATATATCTCAGAACATCACAATTACAAAATGGAGATACTTGACATGTAAAGGACATACATCATAATGTTGAAATAAATCAGTGTTAAAGAAGGGCCTTCTCAAACAAGCTTACAATCTAGGATATATCAATCCATGATATAGATGTTTTCATGCCTGGTGAATGCAAACGGTTATGGAGATATTTACACATACCATTCATACATATTGCTTATCTCCAAATCGCTAATGTGCCTAACTGTACATTTTGGATAACCTACTGTATATGCTCTTATGTCCACTATTTTGAAAATGGTACTGCTTGCTTTTCTAGGTGGAAATGCAATTTCTATGGTTGACCAGATCTTCAATCATCCAGGGCCTGACAAATTGAATTCAGGATTGCATCTGTTTTTGCATCAATTACATACTGGGTCTATGGAAGCTACAGCATCCTTAACAGCATTTCCAAGTGTGTGACTAACTCGTCAAAAATATACTTTTTTTCCCTTTCTACACAACTCCCCCCCCCGACACTTCACAAATATCTAAAATTTTACGATCTTGAAGGTGGGTATGAATGCTACTTCCACTTACTCGAGTCTGTGGAGCTTTCCCTAACTAATAATTCTTCATCAGTATGACGGGACCTTCTATGATAATCCTGTATCTCCAAATTTGTTCTGGGAAAGCACTGAATCTACTGTATTTAAAACATATTGTATAGCAAACAGAAGAAACGAACAGATGGACAAATGCTATAATACGGAAGATTATTTTACTATAAAATGTAATTTGGACACCATTATTCCCACAAGAAAGAAAAAAAGCAACAACAAAAAAAAGCATATGTGCTATTAAGCATTTACTCAGCATGTTCCAACTGGAATAGACACAATCCCAAATGGAGTATGCTGAAATCACAAAAATAGCAAACTCATTACAGAAATGTGTGTGACTTCTGTTTTTAATTAAAGATAAAATACCAGGTAGAAGTGGTATTATGGCAAACACCTGAACAAGAGGTCAGGGAGTTAAAACAGCCTATAATATGAACACAGCAGGAAATTCAAATACACAAAAATAAGTCCTGCGCTTAAACTCCCACTACTCCTGGGCGACAGCAATGACCATAGCACACATCAACCCCAATACATACAATAAAAACCAAAGAAAAAAAAGCGTTGCCTGCGCTCTAGCCCAAATCCCCATGCATAGTTAAATAAATGGAGGTTATTTAGTAACCCCAATGGCCATTCGATGTAAGCCCACCTGTCCCGTCAAGGCAAACCTCTTAGGTGGGTCCTACACTAACAATTCACCTTACTGCTTTCAGCTTCAGGCAAAGAAAACTCTAATGAGACAGAGAGAGGTATTTTTCTAAACCCCTACACACTTATTAACCCTTAATAGGGAACACATGGAGTGGAAGGCAGCATTGGAACAAGGCTGTGTGATACAAAAGCAAATATACAAAAATAAGTCCACCTAAGAGGTTTGCCTTGACAGGACAGGTGGGCTTACATCTAATGGCCATTTGAGTTACTAAATAACCTCCATTTATTTAAATATGCATTGGGATTTGGGCTAGTGCGCAGTTAACTCTTTTTTTCTTTGATTTTTACAGCAGGAAATTCCCCTATAGACTGCTATTAACAGGCTTTTCACCTATTTCCTCAAAGAGCAGCACGCCCAATGTCATACACACTGCAGACAGCCCTCTATACTGTCCACACAGTATGCAGTTCCCCGATAAACATAAAGCTGGCATTCCGACCTATAACACTCGATCAGTGGCTAACTCACGCTTACCTCCAAGCATTGGGTTGTCCTTCTAGGACATGCATAAACACTGCAGACAGCCCTCTATACCATATACAGTGTGATGCCCCCCTTTAACAAACAACAGGCAGTCTCCCTGTAAAAAACACGCAGCAGGCAGTCCCCCTATTTCAAACAGCAGGCAGTCCTCTATAACATCCATCAGAGATGCAAAATACAAACAAAAAAATTGTAGAGCAAATATGGAAATGAAATGAACACAAAGGAGAAGTGAAGGTTAATCCATAACATCGAGAGAAAGAGGGAGAGAGAGGGATAGAGAGGGAGAGGGGATGAAAAATAAATGTAGAGAAAGAGAGAAGCTCATAGAAGGAAACCGCGAGAAAGAATCAGAGAGATGTGAGAGACAAGGACAACAAAGGGAGAGAGAAGGGAATAATGAAACAGTGACAGAGAGAACAAGAAGAGGGAGATTCAGGGGGAACACGAGAATCAAGACGGGATGATAGGGGCAAGGAGATAAAGTAACAAAGAGATAGGGAGAAAGACAAAGAACATGATATGGGGGGACACAGGGGTGGAATCGAGAAACAAAGGTTTTCAAAAGACAGAAAGGAGGGCATGAAATTGGGGTGCAGATAATGTCAGAGAGAGACAGAGCATCAACACACAGAATGTCTGCTTCCCCACACATTAGGGTTACTCTGATTAAGGGGGAGAGTAAGGATGTGCCAGGCAGATGAGGAGGAGGAGGGCAGGTAGTGCACTGGGGGTGGAGTATTGCTGGAGTTGGCTGTTACAGAAAATGCCATCTGAAGATGAGAAGGAGCCAGCTGAGCCGACAGGCTGCTACGCATCCTGCCCAAGGTCAGTGGGACACAGGCAGTACCACTAGAGGGAGACCCCAGAACAGCCTACGGGAATCCCCCATCCCCTAGGTATGTAAGTACACAAGACACTGTATATGGAGTGTGAGTGCACAAGGCACTGGATGTAAGTATGAGTGAAAGTGCATAAGGCACTGTATAACGAATGTGATTTCACTGTATACTGTGTTCAAGTGCCCCCTTCTTTATATATGTATACCATGTGGGGTTGCACAAGGCAGTGGAGTGTGTGTGTGTGTGTGTGTGTGTGTGTGTGTGTACAAAACACTTTATTCTCAATGTTGGAGGACAAGGAACTGTATGTAGATTGAGTGCACAAATCACAATACAACTTTATGGGTGAATAACGTATGCCAAATGTGAGTTCAAGTAAGCAGGGCACTGTGGTCAGAGTGTGAGTGGCAAGGCATTCAGTGTGAGTGAGTAGGGCACCGCGGTCAGAGTGTGAGTGCGCAGGGCACCGCGTACAGTGTGTGAGTGCGCAGGGCACCGCATAAAGAGTGTGAGTGCGCAGGGCACCGCCTACGGAGTGTGAGTGCGCAGGGCACCACTTACAGAGTGTGAGTGCGCAGGGCACCGCGTACAGAGTGCGAGTGAGTAGGGCACCGCGTACAGAGTGAGAGTGACTAGGGCACCACTGTCAGAGTGCGAGTGCGCAGGGCACCGTGTATAGTGTGAGTGCGCAGGGCACCGCGTACAGAGTGTGAGTGCGCAGGGCACCCCGTACAGAGTGTGAGTGCGCAGGGCACCGCGTACAGTGTGAGTGCGCAGGGCACCGCGTACAGTGTGAGTGCGCAGGGCACCGCATACAGTGTGAGTGCGCAGGGCACCGCATACAGTGTGAGTGCACAGGGCACCACGTACAGTGTGAGTGCGCAGGGCACCGCGTACAGAGTGTGAGTGCGCAGGGCACCGCGTACAGAGTGTGAGTGCGCAGGGCACCGCGTACAGAGTGTGAGTGCGCAGGGCACCGCGTACAGAGTGTGAGTGCGCAGGGCACCCGCGTACAGAGTGTGAGTGCACAGGGCACCACGTACAGTGTGAGTGCACAGGGCACCGCGTACAGAGTGTGAGTGCGCAGGGCACCGCGTACAGAGTGTGAGTGCGCAGGGCACCACGGACAGAGTGTAAGTGCGCGTGTGCCAGGGGCCACGTACCGGCTCTGCACCGGGGACCACAGTGCGCCGGGCACCTCGTACAGTGTGAGTGCGCCGGGCACCGCGTACAGAGGGTGAGTGCGCAGGGCACCGCGTACAGAGGGTGAGTGCGCAGGCCACCGCGTACAGAGGGTGAGTGCGCAGGCCACCGCGTACAGAGGGTGAGTGCGCAGGCCACCGCGTACAGAGGGTGAGTGCGCAGGCCACCGCGTACAGAGGGTGAGTGCGCAGGGCACCGCGTACAGAGGGTGAGTGCGCAGGCCACCAGGTACAGAGGGTGAGTGCGCAGGGCACCGCGTACAGAGGGTGAGTGCGCAGGGCACAGTTACAGAGTGTGAGTGGGGTGGGCACCGCGTACAGAGTGCGCAGCGTACTGTATGCATTTTCAGGGCTCGATACATGGAGCACAGGCATGCAATGTGCTGTATGTGAGATGTGGGAGCTCACTGCCCTATATGCCTATTTCATACTTCTTTTATCTATTATCCAATGTTCTGATTCCCTGATTTTGGTTACCCCCTTCTGGTATTTGTTTGCGTATTCTAGCCATGTTAAAAATGGCTTGGGTGTTGTGTTCCTTCCACGTTATATGCATAGAAGAGGTTCCCATCTCCTAGGTTATCCTGATAAAGCACACTCAGGATCTGTGTTCTTATACAATACTGTATAGTTTGAAATACACAAATGTACAGAGAGACATAGTATAGTGTATGTGCTAAGTTTCATAGACCATGTTATTAAGCACAAAGCGACAAGTAGATCATTTTAAAATACTGATAAATTATAATAATACATGTTTTTACTGATTTCCGTGACATTGATTCGCTTTGTGATGTATTAAAGATCGTACAGAGTCAATTTTAGGTAATTAAGCTAAACACAGTTCTGGCACAATTACTAGCAAATTTATGGAATAAATAATATTTTACCTGATTTTGTTTTCTGCCTCTGTCATGAATGGATTCTTCACTCCAAGAATGCACACCAAGCCTTTTTGGAATGCAATGTATGTGATTGTAAACAGTTAAATTTGCAAGCATAGTTCCACTGGGGGGAGGTTGGGACAGGAAACCAAAGGGCCCTATAGAGTTAGGAATACAAACCTGGAATCCTAACACTATAGAATCTCTTTAAAGGAACTCTACATACTACCTACAAACTCCGGCTCCACCGGCATGGCAGAGATCATCAATCTTGATTATCTCAGCCACTCCAATGCTTTCCAATAGGAAAGCATTGGGAGGCTATTGCTCAGATCAGCATCTATTCCTAGATGTGCATTGAACCAATGCATCTCTGTGGGGAACATTCAGCGCCTCCATGCAGAGTGTGGAGATGCTGAACGCTGTGGACATGAGGTAAGTATATCTGCTCTCCACATCACTTACTGAAAAATATGCAAGAAGTGCCAGAGCCACTTTGAGCAAAGTTCCATTTTAGTTGCCAATGTAATTTTACCCACAATCAATAAGTCGAAAGAATCCCATACAAGGGCAAAGAGCAGACATCATGGACAAAGGAAAACAAAATGGAGGTGGCTGGATACTGCGATTTGATGCAAGGAAAAATATATACTAGTAATTAGAGACAATGGGGGAGGGAATATACTCATTGAGATACAAGGGAAGGAAAGCCAGAAGAAAAAATAACAACCTAAAGCGTATCGCATGAAGTCCAAAGCACTCCCTAGATTGTTTTTTCCCCATTTACAAATTTGATTTTTTTGATTAATTTATTGTAATGAAATCAGTTTAACCGCTTAAGGACCAAACTTCTGGAATAAAAGGGAATCATGACATGTCACACATGTCATGTGCCCTTAAGGGGTTAAAGGGACTCTATAGTCAACAAAACAACTGTAGCTTAATGAAGAAGTTTTTGTGTATAGGTCATGCCTCTGAATTTTCACTGTTCAATTCTCTGCCATTTAGGAGTTAAATCACTTTTGTTTCTGTTGATACAGCCCTAACCACACCTCCGCTGGCTGTGACTGACAGAGCCTGCATGAAAAAAACGGTTCCATTTTCAATTAAATCAATGAGATTTTATCTCCTGCTCTGTAGATTGACTTTAAGTCACATACAGGATGCTAATGCAGGGTCTAGCAAGCTATTAACAGCAGGAAATTAAGAAATTCTAAATTAAACATAATTTGCAGTGAAGGAAGTGTAAACATTAGATCTCACTTTACAGGAAGAGTTTAGGAAGGCTGTGCAAGTCACATGCAGTGACTGCATAAAAATGTAACTCCTAAATAGAAAATTGAGCAGTGACACTGCAGGGCTATGATCTATACACAAAAACGGATTCATTCATTTAAAGTGGTTTTGGTGACTATAGTGTTCCTTTAAGTTAGAAAATCCCTTTAAAGGTTTAGGTAAACGCTTTTAAATTTCTACAGCAATACTAATTAACTCTGCGTGCATACCACACTCCAGTCTCCCTATATGAATATTTACTCTAAAAATTTAACAGGGTTAGTTTATTCTCCATATCCAATTTATATTCTAGCGTAAAACATAATATGGCTATTCAATAAACCAGGAAAGCAGGAAACGAGAAGAATGAACAGGAATTGCTGGATAAAAACTAACAGTTACCTTGTTAATTCTCTACAATTCCTACTTTAGTGGATAAACTTAGTTTAGCTGTAGCAAAACAATATTTGCATAAGCAGATAAAAGATTAATATTCTTGTTTCTGAATTCATTTAGGAAGGCACAGCATGGTTAAAAGAATATATTCTTCAGCATTATAAATAGCTGTTATTCAAAGTATTTATTTTTAATCCATTTTATTTAGTGTTGTTGAATGAATGTGTGTTTATCCATGTCACATTAATGATTACAGGAAAGATTTAGCGTTTATTAGATTATTCTAATGTTCGGTGCAAGGCACTTAATATAAAACACAAAAACACAACGCCATCAGTGTATGGAAAATAGCTTAGAGATAAACAGAGAGAAATGGGCCAGCACTTAATGGCAGCTTAATCTATATCAGATTTGTAGGATTTATTATTCTCTTCAAACAGGGTGACCTGCCACCTAAAACGGCAACCATCTAAACCCCATGCAGAGCTGTAAATAACCAATCGTTTTGCCTCATACCAGGTGATTAAAATAAATGCACCTTACTTTAGGATGCACAGTAATGTAATGGAAATTGTAATGAGATGCAAGTTAATTTAATAAGATTCACAATCACTCAATGATGTACACACCCTGCTGAAGATTTCCGCAACTTTAACGATACATTGACTCACTGATTGCTGTTTTTCAGGAGATCGTTTTTTTTCCTTGCTTTTTTTGTGGTCGGGCGACTTAACAGAAAAAGTGAAGGATCCTCACAGCCGTCTCTGTGGTGAGTCCAGTGAATGACATTATTTCTATATCGACGCTAGTTTCTAATAATGGCCCAGTGGTTCTGTATTTTAGGGTCATATATTCTTAGTGTTTGTAACAATACTATAAAGGGGGGAGAGAGTGGGCGGTGAAGAAAAACAATTTCAGGGGAAATTGCAATTGTTCTGTCCTTACCTTTATTTAACATGTTTTCACGTACATGCTATTCCTCGAATGTTTTTCGTTCCTGGTACTTTGAGACAATGTTCTCTCAATCTTTTTTTAAACCTTTGAGTATTATGCTGAGAAGTATTGAACGGGTTAAAAATCTGCATGTTACACAATATCCTAGTGCTTTACATAGGTTATTACGATATACATGGATGCGATCACAGTAGACGAGTAATTTCTATACTTCTACCCGCAGGACTACGGACCAAGCAATAACAGCCATATTAAATGTGTCAGGTCTAGCGGTGACATCCCCAGTGGAGACAACCTGGAAAACCCACAGCGATACTCACTGTGCAGATTACCTGCAATGCTTGCCCGCCCAGAATGTTTCTTCTCCAGATGCTAAACCTTCTTGCTCCGCTTTATTTCCTCTGCCTTCTCGCAGTTACTTTAAGCCTCCAGCTCTTCCTCTTCCTCCCAGATATGTGTGATGAGCGTTCAGATTCGGTGCCTTTCTCTGGGCTCCTTCATGGCTGCTTCTTTCTGTTCCTTCTGGTTAACACCCTGGGAAATTATGTCCTGGTGATCTGGAATAGTCCTGGTGTTGGTGGACTCAGCGCAGAGGTCGAGCTGCCCGATAAATCTGTCTGCAGGCTTTGTGCCAGAGTCTTGTGGGACCAGGAACATCACTGCTTCTTCACCGGGACTTGCATTAGCCGCAGCAACCTGCGCAGCTTTGTCCTGTTTTGCCTGCACTCCTGTCTGAGCTGTTTCCATGCTTTAGTGATGGGAGTGGGATTTATTTCATCAAACTTCTCTCTGTCCTTCTGTGATCCCCTGACTTTCCTCAGACTGCTTCCTCTGTCCATCACACGCTTCTTCTCAGGTCAGCCTCCTAGATAATCAATAACCAATATATTATTTATGCATAAATCTGTCAAAAAAAAATCCATCTACAAAACCAGGTGGGATTTTATTTGTGATTAAACATCTAGTTTGGGATGATGTGTGGTATTCATCGCCATCACTTGGTGACCAATAAGGAATGCTTGACTGAATGGGACTGAGTTAAATTTGACATAGTAATAGTACATCTCATCTCAAGTCATCCACCATCACACATCCACGCCACGTACACTGGAACTGGTTAATGTACATTCTGCTGTACGTGATAAATTATTGATCCATGCTAAATATATGGTAATATGTCATAATACACAACCTGTCCAACTATTGATCCCAGTTACACAGTAATTTGAAAGAGTAATAGTTATTGCGTTATTTAAAAAACAAAAACACAACATTTTATTATTGATCTATACCAGATAAACTGTAATTGGACTACATTTAAACTTTACATTCACACCAGGACAGGATAACACACATAATATAAGCAAGTGAACCAGTTTGTGATTACAGTTAAAATATATTACCCTCATATTTGTCCTGATGCCTCAAGCAGTCTTCTGTACATGGACTTATCTCTGGCTACTAAAAATACTTGTTTGGCCACAAACAGCCTTTAATGTATGCAGAAAGGAATGCAATTTTTTTTTTTTTTTTTTTTTAAGTGTCCGGGTGCTGCACGTCCATGTATGGTCATTCCCTTAAGGGTATAAACTTGCCATTCAAGCCTTCCACCCTAGAAACCTCCCCAGGATGAAGCAATGCCTCACACAGATATTATTCTGGAAGTATAAAGAACATCCCATTGCCCATTATGTGCAGGGGTGAAATCTTTAATATTCCGGGGTGTGAAATGTATAACTGCATGTCCCAGGCACTGGGCAGGAAGATTGTTTTATTCTTTAACCCTATCGCAGGCAAGCAGCAGGGCTGATTTGAGGAAACTGGTCCAGGGCACGGAATGTACCTCTGGCAGGTGCCTATCCACACTGGCCCGGAAATTTCCCAATTGGCTACCTTAGCTTACTGGTGGCTCACAGGGGGTGTGAGGGGGGGCAGCAACCCACTGCTCATAATGCTCAGGGCGGAATCCCACGGCCGACACACTGTTAAGGGCACAGAGAGCATTGGACAGGTTGTACACCCGCAAATGAACATCCAGGAAGCTGAGGGTAATGTGGCCTGTCAAAGAATGTGTAGTTTGTGTGTATATGTGTTAGTGGGTGTGTTGGTGGTTGTGTGTCAGTGCGTCAGTGTGCAGTGTATGTGTATATCAGTGTATCACAACCAGACAGGCAGAACATACACACCACACATCAAGTACAGTCAATACTCACAGCTCGCACATAAACAGCCAGCACACACAATATCAAGCAAAGACACGAGCAAGCAGTCACTGCACATACATGACACATAACGAGCACACACCAAACACACATTATGAAAAGGGGGGGACGATGGGAGGACAGTAGGTAAGACACTCAGGGTAATTCAGAAAACTCTGAATTTTTGCAAAGTAAATTCAAATGGTAAACTGAGGGGAAAAGTCCATGTGATGACGATAGCATAGAGAATATTCCCAGATCAACAAATGTTGCCTCCATTTTCCATTCAGATTTCATTTGTGAAAATTCAGAGTTGAACAAATAGCCCTGTCAATGTCTAGAGCTCTTGGCAGGGGCCTCGATCTTTTTAATTGAAATTTTTTTGTTTTCAGACAAGTAGATTGCCATGACACATGTCAGACAAGTAGATTGTTACCACTTTAGTCCCTTATTAGATTTTGTTTAAAGAATGTTTGTTATTAATTTGGAAACCAAAAAAAACCTCACCAAAAAGGGTTAAATAGCTGCCCCTGCCGAAACATACCAACAAGAACACTGAGGAGTCTCTCCAACGCACCAGTCGACGATACTATAAATAAAATATATACGGGTGGAAAAAATAGAAAAACAATAATAAAATAAATTAAAATCTATGGGCAGCTTGACACACAATAAAGGCGACTTTAGTTGAGAATCTAATAAAACGAAGACTAAGTGAGCGCTCCAGCAATAAATATAGAGAATTTAATCTATTGCACTGATTAAATGACACACTTTAAAAATAAAAGCAAAAAAAAAAAAAATGGGCCATGAACATAATAAAATATCAAGCAGGCTGTGCAAGATAAATATGTACCCACTGATCGTGGACACTGATACCTGTTGCAGTCTGTATGTAAAGATTAAAAAGCCAGGGTAGACGGCACCAAATTTAAATGATACACACTGCAACAAAGTTACCAAAACAAACCTTAATCTGATCAAACAGTTTAACTAGAGCCTATGGCTACAAAATTGGGGCATGTCAACTAAGTCCCGCCCTTTCCCTTTTGTCCATGCTACCATGTGGGTTTGTGGACTCTCCTACCTAACTTATCCTTAGCTGGGAAACTGTGAGTCTCAAAGGGAGGCCCATTTTATCCTTTATAAGCATATGGACTTGTGTGTTGGATTGACTAATTAGCCTCTTGACACTGTTCTCTAAAAAAAAATAATTTAAATGTAAAAAACACACTTATGTATAAATCATCTCTAGAATTTAACCTGAAGCTGTGGGAGGGACGAGTGGCAAAAGACAAAAGGTTAGTAATGGCAACATAAACAATACATCCCCTTTAAATACCTTAAACCCTTCCTATTGTTTGTTTTTTTCTCTCTGGAGAATGTATGGCTTGAGCCAAACAATGGGAACAAACTGGTCCCTTTACATAAAGTTTACTGTTAACGAAGTACCCAATGATTGTTATAACAGGAAAGGCAACCCTTCGCTCCAAACATTTCTAAAGTCAGCTTATGAAAGACTCAGCGGAATCTAGTCCTATTATGTGGCAATAAATTCTAGTAAGATGTTCCTGGGATGCCCAAATTTTATAATTTTACAGACAGGGTCTCATTTATATGCAACGATCTCACGGATCATTAACTGGCTGATAGAGCAATCTTCCATTACTGGATATACTACATTCACAGTTAGATACAGGGATACATTTCTCCTACATAACAGAAGATATATAAAAATAAAAAAAGTTGCACTTATGGACTCCACACAAAATAACGGGACAATACAACAGGTGGAGACCATTTACAGAGAACATTAAAAGTTCTGTGTATAGTGTTCACCCAAACTGATATATTATAATTGGAACATATACTGCACATTATGCTTTTACAATGTTCATCCAAGCTGGGAGTATTAATGGGATAATATACATTTTGTATCCTGTACTGCGCTGTTATATGCTGTAGGCCTGGGGAGCTCTTTTTCCAAACCATGATGTAATTTAGAGTTTGTGAGTAACAAGGATGATGATTACAGCTATTAAAAACAATATGGTGGCAAATTATTATACAGGGAAAACGTGTTTAACCAACATTTCCTACCGTCCACTTACTAACCAACCATGCATATACATGATCTTTATTAAATGCATCCACCAATTAACGTCAATGCTAGTTTTCCTTCAAGACGTATTTTTAGAACTAACCCTACACACATTTAACATGACACTGTGTGATCTCAGACTATGAGCAACACACAGATTGTGAAAGGTAATGAATGCTGTATGAAGTGCTCGTTGAATGGAAGCACGGGAACAAAGTAACGAGTTACAGGTAGCAATCTCATTTTTGAGAATTCCAGTCTGCTGGCCTTCACATAAAAACCAAATACTCTACAGTAAAATGATTTTCACTCCAATCCAGCAAATACCATGAAGGTTATTCGTAAATTTCCAAATTGTGGTAAATCAAAAACAGAGCTGCAAAATTTAGGAGAATATTGTCTATATATTGCAATAACTAGCGTCATGAAAGATGCACTTTAAAGCCTGTCTCACTTAAGGATGATTTCCATTCTTGAAGTGGATTGAATAGCAAAATAATTATTTTAAAGGAAAAAAAAAAAACACACACACACTGAATGAGGATAAAACAGTAAGACATAATGTAAAGTCACAACACGAGAAGAAAGTCACAAGGAAAGAACGCACAACATGAGAATAAACTAGGAATACAAAGTCACAACATGAGTGTAGAAAAGAGTTGCATCACTGTCCTCTTTTTGTCAACGAGTCATGCATTAAGACATTCCAAAAGCAAAGACTTCTGTAGCCCTAACCAAACAAACAAATCATGAGTGTAACCATATATACACATACACACACTCACACAAAATAGTAAAGCCTGTATTATGGAAATACAATGCCATCAACAAGTTCTGAAGACATTATAAAGGGTTGAGACTGATAACTGAATAATTTATGGATGGCATTCATTTTTATTTAAAGGTATACTATAAGCATCAAAACTAAGTTCGCCCAATGAAGCACTTTTAGTGTATAGATCATGTCCCTGCTCAATTCTCACTGTTTAGGAGTTAAATCACTTTTGTGTTTATGCAGCCCTAGCCACACCTTCAATTTTTTCTTTTCAATCAGATGGTAACTTCTCTATAAATTGAACTTTAATCGCATACAGGAGGCTCTAGAAGGCTATTAATAGAGGAGGCGATAAGAAATTCTTAATTAAACAGACTGTGCAATAATGGATTTTTAGTCATTAGATCTCACTTTACAGGAAGTGTTTAGGAAGGCTGTGTGAGTCACATGCAGGGAGGTGTGACTAGGGCTGCATAAACAAACTGATGTAACTCCTAAATGGCAGAGAATTGAGCAGTGAAACTGCAGGGGCATTAACTATACACCAAAACTACTTCATTAAAGGGAATGCAATTAATGATTATTTTTTTTAATTAGGGGTATATTAAAAAATAAAAAACAGTTTGCAAAAGCTGCAGATCTCATGCTTTCCCACCAATCCAGACTTTTTGTGGCTGTCCAATCACAGACTTCCCAATGCGTAGTCTTTGAAAGGCAGTTGCTCTAGGCAATTGCCAACCAAGAAGTAACAGTATCTGCTTGAAAGTTATGGGGGTGGGACCAGGGACGTATTAGCCGCGAGGCAAACAAGGCATTTGCCTTGGGCGGCATTTTTCAGGGGGCGGCAAAAAACGCCGCCCCCCAAATGCCCAGGGCAAATGCCTAGTTAGCCTTGCGGCTAACTGACATCCCAGGCGGTCGGGCGGGCGAGGGAGCACTTCCTATGAGCTGTCTGCTCAGCTCCCTCGCGCGCCGGCTGCAGTGTGAGGCTGGGAGCCGGAAGATGACGTCATCTTCCGGCTCCCAGTCTCACTCTGCAGCCGGCGCGCGAGGGAGCTGAGCAGACAGCTCATAGGAAGTGCTCCCTCCCCGCCCCCGCCCCTGGACCACCAGGGAGAGAGAGACCTCCCAGCACTCCCAAAGGTAAGGAGGTGGGGGGGGGGGATTTAAATTTTAAAAAAAGTTAATCTGTGTGTGTGTCTGACTGTGTTTGTGTATGTGTGTGTGTGTGTGTGTGTGTCTGTGTCTGACTGTGTGTGTGTGTATGACTGTGTGTGTGTGTTTGTGTCTGACTGTGTGTGTGTTTGTGTCTGACTGTGTGTGTTTGTGTGTGTGTGTTTGTGTCTGACTGTGTGTGTGTCTGACTGTGTGTGTGTCTGTCTGACTTTGTATGTGTGTGTATGTGTCTGACTGTGTGTGTGTGTCTGACTGTGTGTGTGTGTGACTGTGTGTGTGTTTGTGGCTGACTGTGTCTGTGTGTGTATGACTGTGTGTTTGTGTCTGACTGTGTGTGACTGTGTGTGTGTGTCTGACTGTGTGTGTGTGTGTGTCTGACTGTGTGAGTGTGTGTGTGTCTGACTGTGTGAGTGTGTGTGTGTGTTTGTGTCTGACTGTGTGAGTGTGTGTGTGTCTGACTGTGTGTGTGTGTATGTGTCTGACTGTGTGTGTGTGTGTGTGTGTATTTAGAAGGTGGGGCGGGGGGAAGGGTTGGGTGGGTGTGGCGCGGGGGGAGGGGGGTGCCTGAGTTTTGTCCTGCCTAGGGCAGCACAAAACCAGGATACACCACTGGGTGGGACAAAGTAAATGTGTAAAAGTGTAAAATACTATTGAAATCTGCACTTTTTGTAAAATTAAAAAAGGAGGGCACACTCCATAAAAAGAATTTCAGAAAGCGAAGGTGCTTGGGGGGGTCTGGTTTGCCCCTTTCAGCTAAAGTAATTTTTGTGCCTTTAATACATCATCATACCTCATAACATTTCACATGAAAAAGCAGAAGGGCACTAATTCTTTTAATGTGAGGCCAGAGGCAGGATGGCTTACTAATTATTTATGAAACTAAATAGAATTGTCCCACCTAAACAGAGGTAAGGATGATCTAAGGTTTCTTTAACATTGGTGTAGTTCCAGGCTACCCGAGAATGTTTGAAGTTACACCGGGGGGGGAGGGGGGGGGGCAATTCAGCTCTTTCCCTTTACGGACATGCCAGAAGAACCGTTTAGTACAGGGGTACCCAAAAGCTAAACCCCCTGATGTTTAAAGACTACAGCTTCTATGACACTTTGTCATTCTAAAGCATTCTTAAGGGATGCAAAGCATTGTGGGAGTTGTAGTTCTACAACATATGGGGATTTACAGTTTGGACACTCCTGGTTTAGCAAGAAATAATAGGCAGATCATTTATACATGACTATCTACACACATACAAATACAGTGAAAGGTAGACTGGAACGATGGGGGGGGGGATAGGATGAAGTATTCGGTGAAGTTTGTGCAGGTGGAAACTGAAAGAAAAAAGATCTTTTATATACGTGTGTATTAAGGACACAGGGCACACTGACAGATGGCAGATAAAAGGAATCATTTTTCAGGTGTGACAGGTGGATACATGTAGGAGGAAGAAGGCTGAACATTAGTCTAACAACTCTGCCAATAAGAGGTTAATTACCCTGTGTCATATTGATAAATGTGCCCTACTTTTCCAGCTTCTAGTGACAATGACATACGGGGCCCCTACCCGAGGCCCAAATGTTGCTCTATTTTTAGTTTTATCTATCTGTCTCAGTCATTTTCTCTGCTAGTCTCCGTTACAACCCCCTTTGCCTAACTGCCCTCCTTGGTATCTCTCCTTCCCTTTACTACCTCCCCAGTATTGCCCCCTGGGTCTGTATGACTCTTCACATTACTGCCCTTATATCAGTCTTTTTCTCTCTATCCTTCACAGTCTCAGACTGCTGTTTTCTACTAATGCCTAAAAAGCTTGCCTCCGTTATCCATGCTGCATGCTCCCCCCTGCCCCCCTACCTTTTCCAGTTCTGTCCCCTGCATTGGTATAGCTCACTCCATTATCCCCCATAACCATTATTAACCTGTCGCTTCCCAATAATATCCCCTAAATCTTTCACCACTGCCGTCAGTCTCCAGGAAGTGTCATTGCATCTGTCTCTGTTACTGCTCACGTTTCTGTCTCTCCAGTTACGTTATATACATCTTTTCACATTTTCCAATTTTTCACATGGCTAAAGGAGTACTTTGGTTTAAAGGGAGAGGATTCCAATGCAGCTTATTGTGGTTACTGCAGTTTGTTAGATGGCTTCACAACAGCTTTTTATGTAAATTGATAGCAAATTTAGGACAAATTGTTGAATTATCAGAAACAAATATATATACATATATATAGTGCCAATTCTTAACCCTTACTCCTCACCTTACACTTTACCCCTAATTGTAATGCTGAGCGTAAATTCCTAAAACCTAGGCAATAAGGTACAGCTTGCTTATTATACAATCCCCATTTGCCTTAAATAGAAGTGAGCCACTTAGCTATATACCGAATATTACTGTGTGAAAAAGATGTACCGATACACCAAACATTGCTGTAAATTCTATTGCATATTCCATACATTCTGTATGTATAAGTTGTGGAGGAAATGGACAAAATTGGTTCCAGATGAATGGCCATCCCTTCTAAAACGGACACCTAGGAGGTATGTCTGTCTATCTTCAAATTATGCTTTCCCTTCATCTGCTCATCTTAAAACTACAGTAATATAATAGGTATATCTGGCTCCATATTATTGTTTTTATTGCCCAATTCTAAAATCACTGCCACTACACCTTTACATATGTATGAAGACAATGTGTACTTTGTGGTACAGCAGGAACATGCAGATTTATACTGTGATAATAGGTTTTGATTTGCACTTTTCTTACAGAAGTGCTACAGTATGGGTATATATTTATTTATATTTGACAGTTTCATGTATACTGATGCCTTCACAGGTTTAATTACGCAGAAAGAAGGGCAGTAAAAACAGTTGTTACATGGTCTATGTACATTAGTTGTACCTAGAGCTTTACAGTTTACATTACAATAGAGTGAGGGTGTAGTAGATATAGATCTAGCTATATATATTTAGATAAGCATACACACACTTTATCTGTATTGCTTTAAGCATTATACGATGTATATTTTATATAAACACCAAAAGAAGTACTAGAAGCAATATATGTAGTAGGGGGAGGAGAAGTAATTTCAGAAATTATATATATATATTATATATATATATATATATATATATATATATATATAGTGGTTATGCATGAATTTGAATCTGTAGTGGATCAAGACTTGGTGAATGCATTATGATTGAAAATGTCGAGAGAATAGGCATAAACCGATATGGCAGCAGCGTAGGTTACTGGAGCAATAAGATGGCAGTGATTTAAAATGAATTTATTTTTAATTTCTTATATATTAACCTCAGTCCCCTCCTCACCCCAAAAAAGTGTAATGTAAACAAACTGTATGAATGGATTGCCACAGAAGAAACAGAGAATGGGAAACAGAGTGTGAAAGTCAGAATGAAGGTAGGAGATTTGGGATGTAAATGGTTTCTGTACTGGAAGATTCCTTAGTGAAATAAACTTTATTATATTGCATTGGATTCTAATAGCCGATTGAAGAAGACCGTTATGGGAATTTGGTAACTAGAAAAGGCATGTCCGGGCCTGTGCAAGGTTTTTGACCCCACCCCTCACCCCCTCAAATGCATCTTCACCTGTGTGTCTCCTATCTCTCCTTTTGAAGCTCTTATCCCCGTTCATCCCTTTGTGTCTTACTTCCCCAACCCCTCTGTGTGTCTCTTTCTCCACTTCCCCAACCCCTCTGTGTGTCTCTTTCTCCACTTCCCCAGTCCCTCTGTGTGTCTCTTTCTCCACTTCCCCAGCCCCTCTGTGTGTGTCATCATCCTCTTTCCTAGGCGCATTTGTGCGATTGTTCCATTCCCCAGGCCCTATTGTGTGTGTGTGTGTGTGTCTCTCTCCCCCCCCTCCTGCAGGTCTTCCTCCATGTAGAATGGCCGAGCAGAGCGCAGTAGAGGATCTCCAGTGAACACTTCCTGTCAGATCGGGGAGAGGACACAGAAGATCCTCTACCTCGGCCACGCTACATAGAGTGACTGGCAGGATGGGAGTGCTGTGCGCTCCACTCCTGCCAGTCACCTGGACACTGCGCTCCCTGAGACGAATGCCTGTGCCACTTTACAGTTGTGAGGTTTTTACTTTATGAAAAAGAGTGAGAGGAAAAAGAAAATAAATTGCTGCGGTGGTCATGTGGTTGGAGTAACCCTTTAATTACTTTTTTGCAGCTGCCAAATTCTACAATCTCTGCGCTAACCTCAAATGTATTGTACAGGTTGCCTATTGATGGTTGAGTTATAAATTGTCAAAGTGTGGTGAGGCAACCACTTGATAAATGGCTTAGCAGAAATATAACTCCAATCAACCTCATCTAGTCGTTGGATGAGACTGATGAGTATATTATTCCATGATAGCTTTATGTGGCAAGTCATACTTTTATGGACACAAAAATACTTAAAAACAGCACTTGAACAGGTTTTTGGTTTTTAACAATTGCCTAAATCTCAATAATGCCATTCATCTCCATGAGAAGCTTTAGACTGGAGATTTGTCCTTTAAGTATCAAAGCATTTGATTGGGCAATATCCCAGGCACTAACAAGTTAGGAAGTGTTAAACAAAAAGGGGATGGATATTCATAAGGCCAGTTCAGGAGTTAAAGGATCATTTTGGAAATAGTGCAGAATTTCAATGAAAATGTACACTTTTATGGCGTGTGTTATCATAATCCACATGTCTGGATTGCCCTCACAAGTTTAACACCTGATTTTAATGTGGACATGTCAGTCTAGTCTGTTATGAAACCTGCCATTAATATACAAAAAAAATTAGGTATTGGAGGGTGGAGCTAGCTCTCGATCAAGCAAACCGCAGGGACAAGAAGCTCAGACAGCGAGACACACAATAAGCCAAAGTACACTTACCATAGTGCAAACTGCCCAAGGTAAAGTCTGAGGTGCTCCTCCAACGATGGGGCGAAAGATTAAGAAGCCCGGCCGGATCGGCCTAGATTCTGCATTGATATAGGAGATCTGCTGTGGATACCGCATGGCGAGGTGAGGCCTGAGATGGCGGCGGACCTCTGGGATTTCTCCCTCCACGACATGGAAGACCTGGGCCACCCAAGCCCACTCAACCCACTGTGGGCATGTCCCCCCCAGTCACCATAGCCATACTCACCAGCCTATTAGCAGACCTCCGTCAAATCCTTTCTTCCGAGATCACACAGGTTAGAGAGGACGTTCCCTGCACGCCTGGACACAGTTGAGCAAACCACAACAGCTTACACATCACAAGTCCTAGAGCTGCAAAAGCAGGCCAGTGACCTCAATTTGGCCCATGCCGCCCTTAGCCACCGACTAGCTGCACAGAAGGACAAAAGGAGGTGCAAACACCTGAAAATTAGAGGCCTAGCAGACAGCGTCAGCACTGCCTCATTTTCTGCGCAGACTGCTTGCGGCCCCCCTGCCGCCCAAACAGGCAAAAGACAATATTAGCCAGGATGTTCCGCCTCCCTAAACCTCCATCAGCCGTGGCTTCAGCCACCAGCGACCTACTCATAAAATGTCTAAATGGCCAAGACAAGGCCACCATCTTGAATGTAACCAGAGGAAAAACACCATATCGGTTCAAAGATATGGACCTTGCCTTTTTCTCTGACCTATCCCGTGTGACACTGCAAAGGAGAAAATCACTGCACCCTCTCACAACAATTCTGTTGTATCAAAGCGTTAAATATCGCTGGGGAACCCCTCACATTCTCATCATACAGCACCAGAACGTGGAATACAAAGGGTCTGATGCCTCCGAGATAGACGCCATCCTGACCAGGCTTGGTCTGCTACGCACCTCAATATCCAACACTCCAGCCTGGGATCCGACCACCATAACCCCTATTCATACCAGCAACCAAGAGCAAGACCACTGTGGTAGTTACCTGATTGCAGCACCCTCTTTTTGTTTAGTTTTTTTTTTATGCCTTATTTACAAAAAATTTCTACCTCTACAAAGAAGGACTTGAGCGTCTTCAGTTTATAAGTTCCTAACTTTTAAATATTTAGTTATGTTTCTTGGGATTATAGCCTACCAAGTTTATGGGTAACCCCTGTGGCCTTCCTGGGTCAATAGCTCCCCTACTACCACCATCCCCCCCCCCCGCCACCCCCCAGCTCTGCACAAATAATTTCTCACTGTCCTCCAATATGTGGAGCTGCCATCATGGATTGCACCGCATCCCCTATCTTTAGGTCCATACTCACCTTTTTTTTTTTTAATTTTCCTTATGTTATGTTTTATTTTGGCCACTGCAGTGCCTTTAAACTAAACCTACTGCTTATAACAACTATACAAACTGCTTCAGCACGGCTTTTTACTCTAATTAAAAATACCCACAGTCATTACGGTTAACATTGCAGTTGAATGTAAGTCGCAAACCATTATGTTATATCTCGACAATTGTATTACATGTTGTGATTACAATGAACCTGCCTGTGGCAAAAATAAAGAATTATAAATTTTTTTTAGGTATTGCCAATTTTTGAACTTCTGTATACTGCATGTATATTACATCTTGAATCCTTCATTGCTTGTCATGTTACTCTACTTACCTCAATAAAACAAAGAATGACGAAAAAAACAAAAAAGTACACTTTTATAAATTATTCTGGTTACACCCCACTGGCTTTTCAAGCAGACAACAGGCCCTGTTACTTCCTGGTTTGGTTAGCTTATTTGCATTGAACTCAAGAGGCAGCAATTGCCCAAAGCACCTGCCTTGCAAAGACTTCTCACTGAGCTGCATTGGAAAGTCTGTGATTGGACAGTAACAGAAAGTTTGGGAGGGGTTAGAAGAGGAGGGGTGGCAAAGGCAGAAGAAACGAGATCTGCTGTTTTTTTAAAGTTGTTTTTAGAAAAACGCCCTATGAAAAAAAGGCATAATTAAATGCATGCAAGTTCGCATTTGGGGTATATCTACTAAACCGTGATTGTTACATTTATTTTGTATTTGGGAAGTGGAGTGTCCCTTTAATGAAATGCGAGTCGATAAGGCTTTGGAAGTATTTGTGCAAATTTTAGTAAATGCTTGTTTAATTTATTGCACGGATTATTACGAACATTACATTTCCCTTTAACTTCTGGAATAAAAGGGAATCATGACATGTCACACGTCATGTGTCCTTAAGGGGTTAAATGTGCACAAGATGGGCGATCAAATAAAAATTCTGTATGTGTCGTTACCCTTCTCTATATCACTGCTCTTTTGTGTTGCTCGCCTCTACATCACTGTACCCTCTCAGTATTTGTTGCCCTACACCAGCCTGTCTTTGTGCTGACCCCGTGTCTGACATTTCAGAATGTCTTTGTAACCTATTCTGCCTTTTGTTTTACAGGATCTCTCCTGAGTTCACACATGCTTGTGGTTCTCATGCTTTACCTCTGGTTTACAGTGGGTTTGGCCTGCGCGGCTTTCTGCGGCCACCAGCTTTTACGGATTTCCATGGGACCGACCTGCTACCAGCCCCAAACCGCAGAGCACAATGTCATGACTTGGACTGAGAACCTGCAGAAAGTTTTTGGGAAGCAGTGGTTACTGGCAATTCTAATGCCCCAGTCAAAGCCCCAAACTTGTCCTCCGTGATTGTGCTTCTTCCCCAACAATAAAGAAAATCACGTAGAGGTTAAATATACTGGAGGAAAGCACCTTATATAGTCAACTGCTCCCTGGTCCATTAATTTCAGAATCTAATCACTGCTTTTTGCTGCTTTCCCAACTGCCTTTGGCTGGTAACCTGATCACCTCACACCTACAAATCACATGTTCTATCACTATTTCCTGATATTAGATCCTCTTTAAAAAAAAAAAGTTATAGAATAAGTATTTTAAATATTCAAATATATATGTGTAAGGTGACTTGAAGAGGACACTAGCCACAAAGTAGAGTTTAGAGAATGCACAATAAGGAAATGGTTCTAGGATCGGATTCCTACATCAATCGTAAATCTAGATAAAACACAGACAGAGTACGAAGCAGGCAATTAAGTAGATCTAGTTTCACTGCTCACTGCTGGCTGAGTGCAGTGCCAGGTATTATGCTATTATTATAAACAATAAATTTGTTCAATTATACCAAAAACATACCTAGATGCTTTGGCGTTGATTTTAAAAAAAGTACAAAATGTGGAATGTGCGACATCTACATGTGTAGAGAGGAAAGATGGGAGGAAATATTGATTTATGATAATTTAATAATTTATTACAAATTGTGAGAGGGACACATGGATGCCAAACAGTAAGGAGGAGCTTTAAGGGATCTCCAGGAGCAAGACTAGAGGGATGGGGTGTGTGAATAGCATGAAACAGGGGTTAAATGGGGAAGAGTTCTCCCACATAACCCGAGTAATTAAGGGGAAGGGGGGAGACAATCAAGTGTGTACGCCATAGGTTACAGTGAATAAAACACTGGTATATGTGTGGGCCAACTAGGATTTTTGTTTTGGGGCACTTTCGCTTGACGGAACATTATTCCATTTTAGCAATGTATATGTATATCTACATGTATGTGGATTTAGTAGTGACAATTTCCATGGCTCTCTGCCTTCATCGTGCCACCGCCTGTCTGGAACGGTCTGAATAATTCATGCTGAGCCTCGGCTGGGCGATTGGCTGCTCTGTTATCTGTCACATATAATTTGTGCTTTTCTATCACACAAAATTATCTTGTAGATGCTGACATTTAAACTTGTCCTCACTGCGGCTGCTGCTTACTATGACTCAGGCTCCCTGCAGCACTTGCGAGCTCTGCTGACGGAGGGCTCATTTCCTCTGATGGGTATTGTCTTGGCACAACACAGTCACCAGCAGCTGCATGCTTTCCCCTGGGTGTTGGGCAGCAGTACGTACTTCTTACGGCCTTCATAGAGCATACAAACACCTTAAAGAGCTATGACATTTAAAAAAAAAAAAAAAAAGAGTCCAGAAGCCAAGCACTTTTTTTTTTTTAGCTATTAAAATATTGAAAAGGGGAAAACATGACATTTTTTTGATTATATAAGTATTTGAAAAAAGGAGCAGTAATTTTTGGTTGGTGTATCACTACCAGTTTAATTCTGATGTATGCAATTTTTAACCAAGAGGTTCTATAAGGAAAAAACATTTTAGCATTTAAAACACAAGCACATCACCCAGAATGGTGTAGCACTCCCTCAATGGTGTAGTTTTGTATTATTGATTTTAGCTAATCAGAATATAAGAAAATCTAACTCATGGTCAGTGACCACAAATGCATAGCTGAGGAGAGAATAACTGTCTATGTATTACCCATCTGCTGAAAAAGTTTATACAAGAGAACACAACAGGAGACAACTGGAACGTTTACCTGCATGTATTAGTTAATTGATGGTGAAATGGCACAGTAGTTAGTGCTCCATCAGCTGTATCTGTAGTACCTAGCGAAACATCAAGATGAAATATTCAATTCCTTTTAGACTCAAGTGAGGAAAAACAAACAATGACAAGATAATTTATTTTAAAAACTCTTTATTCTGAAACCTGGTAATTCCATAACTACACGCGGATTTCCCATACCCCTGACCGGACTTCTTTGGTAAACAATTACATGATATTTATAAGTCATTTAAGTTAGGTCGGTACCACATCTACTGGTCCATTGGTTATAGGAATGGAATTGTACCCACAGCGATATGGGCATGGTATGTTAGTTTTGATAGGACTACATTCCCTATGTGTTTTGGGACCATTCAAGTTCCACTCAACCTATTGTGTTCTACAAGTAGGAAAACACGGGTTTCCAGACTCCCTACACCTATTGTAGACAGACACCACTCATTATCTCTGTAGGAGACCGGTCTTCTATCTGTATTTTTAATACAGTAGACTTTCTCACTGCCCAGTCTTTTTTTCATACAGAATCCCTTTACATTGTCCCCAATGGCAGCCTTCCAAGTCTGCAGCAAGCACTCCACATTCTGTAAATCACCTCTGTCTACAAGACATCCTTGCTCACTTGAAGGATTCTGAGGGTTTGTTCCACTGGTCATCCAGAGTCAGCTTAGTGCTTTCAAACAAACAGTGTATGACAACAAGGGTTTCTCTTCAAATACCAAGAGAGTTTCAGTTACAGGTTATCTTCGCTCATCACTAGCCATGGAGTCTTCTAGCTTTTGCCAGTCCTGTGAATCGTTGCCATTCATAGCTTTAGTATATAGCTGAACCTGCTCCTTCAACCTTTTTAGCTGGTTCTCAGTGACCTGATTTAGACGGACCAGTTCCTTAGTCTTCATGGCAATACCAAGCAGGCCAGAGTGATTTAAGATTTCCCAGGTGTTTTGGAATCTTTGCCTTTTGTTGGTTTTATTTTCCGGGATAGTAGACTCAACATGCGGTCTGTTCTGTGGTACCTCTTGGGAGGACAACTTCCCACCAGAATTGCCCTGTGTACCAGAGTCTGTTGTTGGTACTGTGCACATCTGTTCCTCCTCCTCAGTTTGGTCTGAAGAAACAATTACAAACCTCTGTAAATTACATTCGCTCTCTTTTGTTTCAGAGCTTAAGAGAACTGGAATTTCTTTGCGATTTGGGATATTTATCCTAGAATGTGGCCTCTTCACTTGGCTATGATGCAATCTGTGAGACCCCTTCTTGCTTCGAAGTGGTAAAGAGGAGTCTGTTTTAAGGTCACATGGGTATGGTGCTATCTTGGTATAAGAGTTCAAGATTGGCAGGTACTTTGCACCCTCCTTACAGGTGGTCTCAGTCTTAGAAGTGGACACTGCTGAAGGAAAGAGCAGAATTTGTGGAGTAGATGGGAGCAGCTGAAAGGAAGGGTGGATAGTCCAAGAGTGGATGTTTGAATCAGGGCTGGACTCCTGGGAAAAATAAAAATAAAGAGTAAGCCTCTACAGTATCTCTGCCACCTATCCCCTTTCATTATATGATATGACAGCACAGCAGATCTTTGGCATTTTATGTTTTTGTGCGTCCCCTTCCTCACCCTGTGCACAGAACTAGAAGTGGATTGTTAAATGCACTGTGAAGGGGAAGAGCAGCTGAGATGTCTCTCCCGGGAAGCCTCAAACTAACACTAACTGACAGTACAATATACGCTTACCCTCCGCTCAGACCAACAAGCGTCAAAAGCTTCAGTTTGTGAGAGCAGATAACAGAACAGATTATTAAAGGGACACTATAGTCACCAGAACAACTACAGCTTAATGTAGTTGTTCTGGTGAGTAGAATAGTTCTCTTCAGGCTTTTTCCATGCAAACACTGCCTTTTCAGAGAAAATGCAGTGCTTACATTGCCTCTAGGGACCCCTCCAAGTAGCCACTCCTTAGATGGCCACTGGAGGGGCTTCCTCGGTCAGTGCTGTCTAAAAAGCAGCCCTGACGTTCAGCGTCCCCAAACTCTGCATGGAGATGCTGAATTTTCCTTATAGAGATGCACTGATCCAATGCATCTCTGTGAGGAGGTCCTGATTGGCCAAAATGGCACTTGGCCCGGACCCCATGCTGATTTTAGCCAATCCAATGCTTTCCCTATGGGAAAGCATTTGAGTGGCTAAAAATCTGCCATTTTGATAAAGTCACAAAGGGGGCGGGAGCCAGCGTCAGCGGACCCGCATGGCGCTGGAAATAAGGTGAGTTTTAAACTTTTATATGGGGGCTAAGGGGGGGCAAGCCATGTAAATGGTGGATTTAGCACTATAGGGTCAGGAAAACATGTTTGTGTTCCTGACCCTATAGTGTTCCTTTAATAGTGCCACCACAAGGGTGTAATATAAAGACTGACTTAACAAGCTGTGGAGACATAGACTTACTCTTAAACTGGCAGAAGTGGGAAGTAATATGGAAAATGTACATGTAAATAAATGTTAAAATTATAAATTCCCATAGAGCATATATAAAGTTAACATAGAAAAAACGTTTACTATAAATGTGATTACAGTAATGTTTTAAATACGTCCAGTTTATGTCTCTCTGACACACGTGAAGTTATTTGTGGAGATATATATATATATATATACACCTATAATTGTCTGTTATTCGTGCCATCACAATAACTTGAAATAGAAACCCAGGTATAGGGGAGGGTTATTGCTTCCATTTATATAGCAAAAGAATATTTAGCACATTATATACTTTAAGTTATACGTTATGTTCTCCCCTGACTGGCCTGGTCTGCAGACAACTAAAGCCTCATAGTTTGGGTAGGCATGTTCATCCATGTTACACAAAACACATGCCAACCAACAGCTGTGATTTGCTGGTATGTGCTAGACACCTACTGAAATGGGAGAAAAGAATACAGAATACTGAGAATGGTCCTTAGAGAAGTATTTCAAGTCCAATTGCTCAGTTCCCAACTTCGCTGTTTTATCAAGGGTATACAAATTAAAGAAAATTGGGAGAAGCATCAGTCTCTTAAAATTCCCATGGCTACTTAAGCATATTTTTGTAATGTTTACAAATTCTTTATCTGAAATGTACATAACTACCAAAAAAACAAAACAAAAAAACAAAGAACCTGATTATTTACGTACAACCAATCCTCTGTGAAAATAAATAAATTACCAACACTTGAGTAAATATATGACACATGTTAAGTCAAATATTGAATTTGTACAGGAACACATGACCCATGGCTGGGAAGAACATTAAAGACAGCAGCCAAACATGCACATTTTCAATCATGTGACCTTAAGGGGGAAAAAAGTGCGATCTTATCTGTGACAAGTTAACCTGCCCTAAAAGTAATAAAATGAACAGAACTTAACCTGTCTTACCTGATCCACAAGCACATTCTTCAAAGCAACAGGTGGAGGGTGAGAGTCAGCCCGGCCTGAGGAAATCACCACATTCCATCTCTCACAGTGCACTCCATCCTCACAATCGGTCTGCTCCACACAGCTCTGGCACTCCGAAGCAACATCTGGCAAAGGGATAAAAAAACAATGTTATAGGGATCCATAATGGGGGAAGTGGCTGCATGACTTGTCTTACATTGTGAATCCCACCACCCCAGTTTTGTATTATAGTAGCCATTACCCAAACATTTTCCAGGTCAGTTGTGATTTTAAATGCATAAAGTGCGCTTCCAGAAATATGTATTGAAATACAGAATGCGACATTGCAAGAAGTTCATGATTAATGGATCTAATGTTTTAAAAAAGATATTTGTGTTATGTACACTGAATTTCCATTTAAAACTCAGGTATCTGTACTACAGATGAACATTTAAAGGGACACTATAGTCACCAGAGTAACTACAGCTTATTGAATTTGTTCTGGTGAGTAGAATCATTACCTTCAGGCTTTTTGCTGTAAACACGGTCTTTTCAGAGAAAATGCAGTGTTTACATTACAGCCTAGTGATAACTTCACTGGCCACTCCTCAGATGGCTGTTAGAGATCCTTCCTGGGTCATGGCTGCCTAAAATGCATCCAAACATTCAGTGTCTCCTCCCTCTGCATGCAGACACTGAACTTTCCTCAGAGATTCATTGATTTAATTCATCTCTATGACGAGATGCTGATTGACCAGGGCTGTGTTTGAATTGTGCTGGCTCCGCCCCTGATCTGCCTCCTTGTCAGTCTCAGCCAATCCTATGGAGAAGCATTGTGATTGGATCAGGCCACCACTTCTGATGACGTTAGCAGACAGCTTGTTATTCAGAGGCAAACAGCATGCAGAGTTACAGCCTCAGGCTTGAATACAAGTAAGGTTTTGATATATTTAGGGAGGCATGAGGGGCCCAGGGGGGCTAGATGGTGGTTTTAACACTATAGGGTCAGGAATACATCTGTATTCCTGACCCTATATAGTGTTCCTTTAAGGTGTTTCAAAACTTCCTCCTGATAAGAATCTGAATTTGTGGGATATTACACAGCAGGCAAAATGCATCATGCTATACACAAAGACGGTCAGCAAACGAATTATTGTCATTTGTTCCAGATAGCTTAGATACAATTAAGAAGGCAAAGAAAATCTTGGAAGGGATCCCCCTTTCATTGGTTTCATAAAGAAGAAATGTGTACATATGGCAATAAAAGTCATTCTTAAACTCCAAAATTACATAAATTAAACTTTTGACAGATTAATTTCATGCAGGAAATACCATTGACTAAAACATTTGATGTGTCTTCACCTGCGCAAGCTGAGAAGGTTTATGGTCACTACAGTTGCGTGTGCAATGCACATTATTGCTTCATACAGATCTGTCACTTGTGTGGAAAAACCTAAATCTCTGGTGCAAAGATCCACCCATGTAATGTGTCCACTGGATAGTGAGGCCTGGTAGGAAAATCTACTAACCTTCACTTCTTCGTACTTTTGTATCAGATTTGGCTTATTTTCTCCTGAAATGCCAGGAGCTGCAGTTTTCTTGTACACTCTTATTTTAAACTGTGTACAAAACAGGGCTGTAGTTACAATCCAGAGAAATTATCCACAGATATCCTCTCAAGTGTCTAGAGAGATGGCATAGGCATATTTTGTACATCACATAAGAAACTATAGATCCCTGTGACAGATGGTGCTAAAAAGTCAAGGCACAGGAGCCGGAAATATATATTCCTTTTCCCAAACATGTACAGAGATAACTTGACTTGCATATAAATTTTGATGCAAAGGAATTTCAGCAATCTTCCAATGCAGTTTTTATGTATAGATTGTATCTTGATGTAAATGTGAAATATACGGGTCTGCTTTAAAGCAGATAGTGAACACCTTACAGAAAATTTATGAAAAACCATCAGCGGTCAGATGAACAGTTAGAAAACAGAGGAAGCACCCACCTGGACAAGTATTATACAATAAGAAATTCATAATGATCAACAGCTAGAATACACAGACATCTGCACACTCTACACTAAATCAGTGTATAGAGCTTATAAAAATGCATTCAATATACACATTAAGCACACGCAGGCAATGATAGCACACTGAAGCGAACTATCAGCGCAAACACGCACGAATTCACACGCCAGGCAGGTAGGCGCCAGGGAGTGGAGGGGGGCCCAGTCAGGCCAAAATGTATCTCAGTTCTATCTAGTACAAAGCAGGAGTTGAACGCGGGCTCCACAATACAGGGGACAATTTGCAGCTGGAACAAGTCAGAAGGGCCGTCACCTGTATTTAACATAGTTGGAGACTCCACAGCATCATTAAGAGATATCTCATCGCCCAACGGTACCCCGAAACCCTCCAATAGTGCAAGGATAGGCACCACCGAATGCCTACAGAAACCCACCTTCACGCTCTGGCCACCTGTAACTGACTCAATATACAATAAAAAATTGACAGCACAAAAGTGATGTCCAAGCCCCCTAATAAAGAGTCCTGTGCTACAGGCACTTATTGTAACATAAGATGTCTACCACGCTTATCAACTGTATGCCTATGCTGTAATATGTTATGTTATACTTGACCACGGTTTATGCTTAAACCGGAACATCTTGCCTTGTTCTATAATACTTTGTCAAATAAAAAAAAGAATTTAAAAAAAAAAAAAAAAAATGCATTAACATGAGTTAGATGAAGCAGTAAGGATTTATTCACACCATATGGCCATAGTATGCTTAGCCTGCCATACACCAAAGTACACCAATTAGGCACATTCTGGCTGAATATATTTCCACTGTGTAAAATCCCAGTATATCCAAAGAGAAGTGTCTATTCTGGGCTACTTATGAAGTCATTAACCTAACACTAGTCACCAAAGTTAATCTCTGAATTAACTCCTTGAGTGGTGGTGGGTTTCGATACACATTGCAGGGCACTTAAATTGAAAGTTAATCCACCCATACCAACAAAATAATAATTAAAAAAAACTTCACATATTTTCTTTTATCAGAATGGATACATTAAATGTATCTAGCATTTCCTATCAATACAATTCAAGGAAGCAGGGTATCACTCACATAATGCAACAGGTAGACAAGCATAGGCAGTTACCTCCTTCCCCTAAACCCTGGTTACACAGATGCCAGATGTTGTGGTCAAACAGCTATTGCTTTAAGCCTCAATATTATTCATTTCGTGTAACAAATGACATTGCTGCCAAGTACCTAATTACATATCCCATATACCTTCCTGACAGGCCGACTGAACGTCAGACACTTTCAGGCCTGGAAGGAATTCTACTAAAATCTAGGATCACTTCCAGTTTGGAAGATCCATAGCCCAAAACCAGAAGTCACTGCAGACTGATTTGGTGCAAACATTGATACCCTACTTAAAAAAAAAAAAAAAAAAAACATATGACAATAAAATTACTTGCTTAACATGACACTCCTAGCACTGAAACCACTAGAGTATACTGTCCTAGAAACCTTACCATTTACATGATCTTCATCTCCATCTACGGCATTCAGACTCAACCCATTATTCCCTCTGAAATCATACACGGAAGTCTAGCTTCCCTTTTTAATCGTCCAAGCTTTTTTTTCCCCTTTCCTGCACAGTTCTTTGTGCATGAATGCACACTGACTCAATAATCATGGAAGAAGAATGATTATGCTCAAGCCATACAAATACTTCAACTACTCAAGAGGAAAGCTAGGCTTCTCAATATGATATCAGTGGGAAGAAAGCTAGAGACAAGCTGGATTGAACTCTGAAAAGCTAGAAGACAGTAATGTTTTAAAAAGTGTGCTTTCAGGGACAGCTTTCCAGTACTATACTACTGTATATAAAAGCTGTAGAGATTACTGTTTGTAGAGTACCAGAGATTTTGGTAAAATACTTTGGGTTTGTTTTCCCCTCTATTTACACCATGCTAGCCATACAGCCGGCAAACAGGTGTAATTTAAAGGAGCACTATAGGGTCAGGAACACAAAAGTGTATTCCTGACCATATAGTGTTAAACTTTAGCCCCCTTGGCCTCCCCTTAAACCTATTAAAGCTTACCTTATTTGCAGCGCCATGCAGGTCAGTCAGCACTGTCTCCCCACTGACCCACCTCCTTCGCTGACTTAATCAGAATAGGTGATCTCAATCAATCACAATGCTTTCCCATAGGAAAGGGCAATGCTTACACGAAAACACCTGCAGGGAGTGGTTATAGACACCAGAACAACTACATTAAGCTATAGTAGTCCTGTGACTATAGTGGCCCTTTACATATACTTTCTGGAACAATTTCAGGCACCAAACCTTTGCATCTACACAAATTATTTCTGCAATTTTCAAATCAAACAACACTAGTACAGATGGATGTAAGTACATTAGCCTACATTAAGTATGGCAGCCATTTTGGTGGACACAGACGTGATCTTCAGGCAAGTATATATTAAATCCATGCATCTGCAGGTGATTTCATCAGTACAATGTAAAAGTTCTAATTTAAATGTGCCACTAAGTTTTTCATCTGTTTTTTTTTTTCTGAATTACGGATTCTCTTTAGGTACCAAAAAAAGTGTACACATATAAAACAGAGAACTTGTATTGACAAAAGTGACCAAATTATGTAAAATTATATATCCAGTGTCCCGTCAAACTGCTAGTAGATGTATTGCGCTTAATTTAAAAATTTGCAGACGTTGGCTCCCTAAACCATCCCAAAACACCAACTGACCACATTTTTAATAACAGCCCCACTGAAACACAATTGGGCAATTCCTTACCGACGTTAGGATGCAATGACACGTCCGAACCATAATGGGCTTTAAAGCCTTTACGATTAAGAACACACCCTGCATTACTGGTGTGAGCAGGGTTAAATCCAATTTAGGGAGACCATCCAATGTCTAAAATGGACAGATTGGGACTAGTGTCCAGCACCAATCTATATATAATCGGCTGGGAACTTGGCTTCATTCAGAATTACACTAAGTAATTCCGAAAACGGCCAGCAGATGGTGGCAACATACCACAATCTACTGTATTAAATACTAAAACCCATTTCAAACAATAATAATAATAATAATAACAACAAAGTATTTAACCAGGAAAGGTACATTTAGATTAGTCTGGTTTTCAAATACAATATCAGAATTAATATTAGCACAGGGTTACCATAGGATTAGTGGTGAGGTAGGGTTAGCTGTAGGTTAGGGTTAATGCAGTTTTAGTGTTAAAGGATAGTGTAAGGGTATGATTATGGGAGGCATATGGCTAGAGTTAGTGAAATTGTTGGGTAAAGAATATGGTTGGTACATGGTTAATGTTAACTACCAAAAATGTATTTAGATCCTAAACATATTAGACATTTAACAATTTGGACTTATATGTAAATCTATTTTGAGTTATTTTTAATTGGTTGCACTGGATGTATAAACATTAATATAAGGAAAAAAGGGGGAACCTTTTGTTTTTTTTCTAATTGTAAACATTTTATTCATACATAAAGTTGTGTACAGTGTAGATATAGGATATTAAAAGAAAGCCCGTTCTCTACTTGAAAAAATGATATATAATACATATGGTGGCACTTGAAAAGAAACCCTTACATTATAGTGGGACAAACCTATAGCCCAAATTCAAGGTTTTGTTTTGGTTCAGAACGTGAACAACGGCCTCTTAAGGGGTTAAAATGAACATTAAAGCGTTAGGAATACAAACATGTATTCTAGTAATTCTTTTAACCCCCTCCACAAATGAAATAAAAAATAGAAATAAAACAATGTAAATGCTTTATTTCCCTAGTGTGCCCGTCTCTGTGTGGACACTTCATCTAAACTAGTGGAGATGATCAATCCTAATGGTCTCAGGCAATCCAAGCATTAGAATGCTAGTGCACATGCGGAGCAATTTGCCACACTGCAGCAACCAACTACTGATAGAGATGCATATCTATGAGGACCAGTGTCCTCATGAAGAGTATGGAGATGCAATCAATCTCAGGAAGTCCTCTAGTGGCAGTTGGAGTGAAAGCCACTACAGCCTAACATAGTTGTTCTGGTGAGTATAGTCCGTTCCTGTAGGTTTTTCAATGCAAACACAGCTTTTTCCAAAGAAAAGGTAGTGTTTACATTGCTGCCTAGTAACAACTCCAGTGGCAGTCACTTAGATGGCGACTAGAGATGCTTCCTGGGTCAGTGCTGCACACTGTGCAGCATTGAAGTTCAGCATCTTCACACTCTGCACGGAGATGCTGAACTTTCCCCATAGAGGTGCAAGTTTGATGATCTCAGCCAAGAGAGCGGACTGTGGGGTTAGTAAAATCACCTGTAACTTAGCTGACGGGGGGCCTAAAATGTTTTTTCATAACTACACAAGTTAGTATTCCTGTCACTATAGTGTTCTGGAGATTGAGAGAGGCAAGTGTGGTTCCAAAAGATTGTCCCTTAATTATATAGCATCACTGGGAAGCAAGACAATATCCATGTCATAATTAAGGCATGACCCGGTAATGTTCTCTCCCCCCTCCGAAAATAGTACAGTGCTCCCTACCTCGCACCCGGCTATCTCCCGCAGAGCCAGCGCTATCCAAGCGCCAGACCTGCCGTGTGCCCTCATGGACCAGAGGGGAAATCAGAGATCCGGCCCACAGGCACATTGCTGGCTGCCAGCAGGGGGGAGAGAGAGGACCCAGTAGCTCAGCCTGCACTCCTCTCGCAAGGTCGGAACGTTGCCACCGTCCACCTGACCACTAGGGATTGCAGGAAATATCCCCCCCTCCCTGAGCCAAGGTAAGAAGCGAGAGGGGATATAAAAGTATAATAATTTTTTAATAAACGAATAATAAATGTAATTTGCTCCCACCTGCCCCCCAAAATACCCACACACACTCCACCCCTCACACACACACACACACAC